AATTTGTAAGTCAACTTTAACTAAGTTAATGAACGAATTAGGTTTTGGATGACAACTCATTATGCGTAATATAAACAGCAAACTGAAACACAAAAACATAATCTACTCATATATTCATATAGACGATTCAAATAACACTTTTAACTAATTTTTGAAATAAAAAAGTAATTTAAAAAAAAAGGAAACAAATTGTAAACGAAAACTGCAGGGCTTTTTTTTATACAAATTTAAAAGGAATCGCCATAAAAATAATCAATCCCTCGCTATGGTATTATATTCTTTTAAATAATATTATATCATTGTGTACAAGACGCTATAGATAAAAGATGTGTTCGTCGTTGAAAATCTAAATACTAAAATAGTCTATCTTTAAATATAAAATATAAAAGAATGTTATATCGGTTTTTTTTTCTGTATACACAAAAAACTGAAACAAAAAAACTCTGCATAGCGATAAGAACTTCTTGAAAATAAATTGCATCATTATTATTTATTACTTTTCCGTGTAATATAAATTTAGTAGATATTTCGGCTAATTACAGTTTTTTAATATAAAAATGTAAAGTATTAAATAACTTCTTTAGTGGGGAACATTATCTTTGTATGTATAAACATAAAAATATATTATAAACCTCATATAAATACAATATACTTGCAAATGAACAGTGAGGAATGTGGGAAGAATTACGCTTGTCAAGATGGTCTTAACATCGAAATCATGTCGTACTATCGAAAATGGAAGAATGTATTGTTACAATGCTATTTGTTCGACAACCCTAAACCCGTTATATTATGACGTTTATGACGGCGGTCATCGGTAAGAAAAAAAAAAGTTTAAATAATTTTCAGTATGATTTCGCATACTCACGAGTTCGATATTTGCGCGCGCACTATAGTAATGATATAGGATGTGCGCGAAGAAATCGAACTGAAGAATATTAGAATGTTTAATCTTGAGATTCGAAATGTAGCGATAGTGATTCATATTTTTCTGTTGAGCTAAAAACGTTTTTAAAGAAGCACGGAACACAGAAAAACAAATTATTATTAAATGCTAAATTATTTTAGGGTGAGAACTACAAAAAACGGATTTGTCAAAATCCAATCTAAAGACGAAAAATATTTAAGAAGATATTGGGATATTTAGAATAACCGCGTGACGTCGTTGGGCCGGGACTCGGCATAATCGCCTATCTTACGCGTGTAAACATTGTTCGCTTTAAACAATGATTTACCAAACTAAATATTTAAATTGTTGATGCATGATTTATGGATAAATATGTGATTATTTAGTGCTTAAAGACGATAGAATTTTAAAAAATACAATATAATGTTTGGTTCTTTTTAAATATTAAAAGTAGATATTAAAAGAGATATTTTCGTTACCGTGGTTTATATTATTAAAATTGTAAATACCAACTAAAAATAAATATTATACAATAGGCAAACGGTAAATATGAAAACGGTTTAGAATAAAAATAGAATGCGATAAGTAGGAGTCCAATATTATTTTAGGTACCTAATACCTATTCAGAGTGTCCCACGAATATATAATGGAGATATATTAAATACCCGTTGTAATGACTCCGGACAAGATAAACAAATTTCGTTTTTTTTTTTATTTCATAATCCTTACACGATTAATTAACTGTACACTTCTTTTGTCTGGACTTTCTTCGTAACTAAAATTTTTATTAAAAATCATTAATTTAAAAAAAAAAAATTAATACGTCAAAATTTTCTAACAAATTAACTCTATAAAATGAACAATGGCTATCTTCAGTTTTTTTAAAAATAATAAAATAATGTTATTTTTTCAAATGTTAAATTAACTGCAATATAAATATTTGTAGTTATGCAGTTTAAAAATAGAATATAATGATCATTAAAAACGATGCAGGTATAAAAAAACGTCCTAGGATAATGGGGACGAATCTAGCCACTGTTATAGATAATTTAATGTACACCTGTAAGCAACGATAAACCATTCCTTACGAAAAAACGATTCTAAATGGAGTTCAGTTGATAATAATACTTTGTCAACAATACATATGTAATTTTATAACATAACTAAATAGGTTTTATATATTTTCTTTAATAATATTTGTTTAATGTGTTACCGCCGATTTTCCCAATTTTCTTACGTTTTTTCCGATGTGCTAGGCAAATCTGACTCCATGGTGATTGAATTAATTTTTATTAATATGAATGTTTAAAATTAATTATATACAATTTATTTTATATTTCCTTATTTATTGATTACATTTTAAGTTTTTTACATTTTACATTTACATTTTCAGTGTTGCAAAGAACGTATTTGTTTTACTAAATTTTATTTGTTTTCCTTTTTATTTTTTATTCCTGTGTACGAAAATTCTACTAAAAACCTTGCTCAGATATACATGCGTGGCACCATTTCTGAAAGGGAATGTTATTCAGATTGTACTATTGGAAGGTAATTTTTTGATTTGCCAAGCAGTTTTCATAATATTTTGAAAAAACCAGGATAAAACGTAAGAAAAACGGGAAATTTATGAAAATAATCCCTTTATTATTTTTCAGTTTTGTTATTTATTGTAATTCAATTAAAAATATCCGGAGAGATTTGAAATTAGGACAGAAAACTTATATTTGCCTTTTCTAGACGTAGTACCATTTTTAAAAAAACTTTAGCCATTTTTATTTATTTTATTTAATATAATTTATTTATTATAATTAAATAATACGGACTTGGCCGATACAAAGTACAGTAGTAAATATTTACAAATTACAATAACAATATTAATAATAATAATAATAATTGTAACACGATAGTAAAAATAATACGTTCCGACGTGAAATCTTTGAGAGTCGCCGGAAAATTCGTAATGGGAAAGGCGGCTTTCCTCTTCTTCGTAACGCATTATATACGCCAGTGTCACGGGCATTTCTTACAGAGTAATATCTAACCCCCCCCCCTCCAAGGTACGATTATGTTAGGATTATCATACTTCGCCGGTAGTATAATGCTAGGATATACCCCCGAATTCGTTTTCCGGAGAATAATTATCTTGACATTATCATACCCCTCGGTACCATAATTCTAGTATTTATATACCAATTTACCGTATATTCCAGAAAGGTATAAAATTGGGAATTCGTTCGCGGTCGTGTATGCGGGGTCGAAGTTTCGGACAACACGCGACAAATTTTTCGAAAATAATAAAATATAAATTTATTTTATTATATAAAATAATATAATACTGTTTTAAAGTTTTTGGACGAATTGACATATATTTTTGAACATCCTCGACACTTACTTGTACATTTTACGAAATAGCTTCGAAATTTTTCCTTTAAATGGAATGGGAAAACATACCTCACCGTGGTAGTTTTGTGTCACTTTTATATCTCACAAATATCCACTAATATTAATATCAGAAATCTAGTATAAAACAAACAAAAAACACCATAGTAAGTAAGTACAGTAAGTGGTGGAAATATTCAATGTAAATATCTGATAAATATTGCGAGTAACGGGTAGGCATACATTTGCCCGGCGCAGTTCAACCTTACAGTCATATGTAACTATAACTATGCTATAAATATATAATTATATATTTTTATTTCGGCCTAAATCAATTTTATTAGGTGGCGTTATAAGTGATATTGAGAATTTTTAAGTTTTTTTTACCATGAATCGTTTGTACAAAAGAATAGTGGCTTCGACATATATACGAAATATAGGGCTAGAAATGGGTGGAGAGAAGCGTCAAGTGTTATATGTGACAAGAGATGAAGAGAATTCCAATGAAGCTATTAATAGTAAGTTAGACAAGAGTGCTGAAACCAGCTATGTTGTATAGTTCGCAGTGCAGGTGCGACTTCAAACTTTAAGAAAAAAAGACTATCATACTTTGCACGATGGGCGGACCACTGTTATAGATGAGAAGTTGGGAAGGTAGGATATTGAGGGAAATTTAATGTATATTTATACTTTATTTAAGAATTGATGTCAGCATTATGTCTTTATTTGTAGTCGTTCCAGCGCACGGAAAAAATCAATACAAAAACAACGCGCACCGCTGAAACCTGATTGGTCCTGCGGTGAACGCTGATCCCCACTCCAATGCGTGTTAACGGAACGCGCAACTACGCGCACGCGCAGCAGCTTCGGGAGCCCCCGCCGTTACGACCGTGAGAAACTGAATGCGCGCGCCGATCTTCAACGGAGTGGCTCAGTGAGGTCTATCGACGCCGCTGTTAAAGTTAGTCTACGAACAGCATTCACCACTGCAATTTTGAACATTTTAAACTCCTCTTTATCTATACTTATTAAATCAGTTCAATTTATTTTTTTTTTTTATAAGTTTAACTTAGTAAAACGTCCATAAAATAAAACTGATTGTGAACATCCGCTCCGAGTTCAGTGACTACCCATTTTATTATGTTATTCCTAACCATGTCAAACGATCCCTTGTCATTGACGTATAGTATATGCGTGTGACTTAATGGCCGCATGCGTGTGCGTCAGGGCTCTCGTTCACCACAGAAAGCACCGTGACTCGCAAATCCTGAGCACAGTAGCACCAGAAGAAAGAGCGAGACCCCATAGCGTGTGCACTAGAGTTTTGAGTACGTCGTGAGTACCACACCACCTGCCTTACCAGCCACAACACACACTGACCTTACCAGCCACAACACACACTGGCCTTACAAGCCACACACACTTAATACCTTATACAATATTCATACTTATCATTCTACTTATAACGCCCGAACTTTCACACATTACCTAAATGACCGACTCCGACTAGTCTTGACTCTCAGTCTCCCACATTACACCATAACCTTATGTCCATGGAACACGACGTGACCAGCCGGTCCGTGTGTTTGCATGTGAAAGCGTTCCGTGGGACGGGCATCAAATGGGTCTATGCGTCCCGCGGTGATTATTGTTACGGTATGAGCTCTTAACCACACGGACCATCTCCGTTCGTCTAGGACGTCAAGGCGAAGCCATGCACGGCCTCTTGGTGATAAGGAAAGTCAGTCATATAGCATGTACAATTTATGAGCGGTGCTCATGTTCACCACATGAGGAAACAAGACCTTCGTATGGCGATTTCGTGTTCAACCTTCCCTTATACAGTCCATTGTCGATGACCCCACAACCTGACGACCTGATGCAACCAGCTGTTGAACAACAACTAAACTAGTATGCAGATGCATTACAAGACCCTAATTCACTGCCGACATAGTAGTCGTATATATTAGTTACCGCCAAGCTAAGTTAAATTATTTATATTAAATCATCACACTTCATCAAATACTTAGATTAATACTTAGATCCTTAGATCAATTACTTACAAATACAAAAATAAACTGCTGCAATTTTTCTCTTTTTTGCCTTTGTTTTCCGAATTATTACGAAAACCACTTGAAAAAACATAAAATTACCTTCCTCAAAGCACAATCTAAATCCAAAATGTTGCAAAAAAAAGTCTTTTGTTATTGTTTGATTGAGGTATTATTTCTGGTAGAAAAGACAGGAACAAAAAAAGAAAAATGCACATCACACATTATATAGGTATACCTATTAAAATTGATGCAATCTTCACTACGTTCAGAATCTACAATTTACTGTAACTGTAATAACTGTAACTTTTTTTATAAATCCATATGTTAAATATCGATAAATAGATGTGTCATTCCTTAGATAAAATTGAGTTCTTTAATTTTTATTGTAAACTGTTTTCTAACTCTAACGTTTCAATTTTTTACACGTACAAAAACAACGACTACGTCCTCTTATAAGTACCTGTAGTAAATAACGTCATACCCGCCGCCATTCCAATACTATTTAGATACTATTTAAACCAGTGGTACCCAACTGGTGGTCGATGGACTCACTACAAGTGGTTAGTTTACTGTATTGCTGATTTCGTTTATGTATGTATAAGTTATAAACTATAAAGAAACAACTGTTGAGGGGGAGTAGTGGAATTAATTAGGAATACGTGATGATGGAAATTTTGCCATAGTGTTCCGAGCCTAATTTTGAATTGGGAACCACTGATTTCGACAGACCACATTAGTATCTAAATAATATAATAATAATATTGTAAAGGCAATAAGAAGGCCTGCAGCTGTCGATTTTAAAGAAAGGAAAAAATGTATTGTACATGTAATGTTCTCTACACATGACACATAGACTGTACCTATGGGTAAGAAAACTGTTGTGTACGCAGGTAAAAATGCTTTCTACGAACATAAGTAGGCTTTCGACAGAGAAAATCTGCTCGGTGACGCGTGTTTTTTTTTTTTTATACAGAAGACGTTAAAACACTGTCGTATAAAACGTAATAATATATATAATATAAAATGTATTCGTTTAAATTTGAAAACTAAACACGTCAGTTACCCATAATCTAATGATCTGAACCTTATGATTCAATAACTTAGTGATGGGCAACGGCATAATATTGGGTATCGATATCGTATCAAACATATTTTAAAACTATTTTATTATTAAATATAAATATTGAATTAATAAATATCATTTCACAACACAATTTGCACTGTGAATCGAATTATCTAGTGGTACTAATAGATACCTTGTTCAAATATCAAACGTATTTAATCAGTGAGAATATATATAATATCGAACACAATAATATAGGAAAACCGAAAAAAAATTATTTTTAAACTATAAGAAACTACGTAATACCTAATTTTACAGATAACATTATAACTTATATAATAATATTATAACGTTATCGGCCGACAGATGTTATTATTTAACATTTATCACAGCTGCAAATAATTCCAGATGTAGGATGTTATAATATCGATATCGACATTTTGGTCACGATATCGATATCGTATCGAATTATCGATATTGTTGCCAATCACTACTACTATAGGTATATTCAAACGCCGCGCGTTGTGCTGCCGTACAAATTACGCTCCGCTACACTCCCCCTGCCCAAACTTAAAGGTGGAATATCTCTTTTTCAACATATTGACCGAATCCGTCGTGCGCAACAAACGTTAAAAACCGGTAGGTACAAATTGGCATTCATTGTACACCGCAATATATTTCCACTGTAGAAACCGCGTATCGTGGACGTAGGTTTCGATAACAATGCAGAGTATTTCGTTTTTCGTGATCCATTACACCATCATTATTACCTACCTTTTCCCCACTCATCCGGTCTAAATCCTATAGGATTATTGTTTATAAACTGTTATACACGCATATCTAAACGGTAAATCAAACATTTAAAAGTATTATTATATAATGGGGGTGTATCAACATTTTTTAGAAAAATATAATTTTTTGAGTTTTTCAAATCTGTGTTGAAACTGCGGCGAAGGGAGTTTCTGTTAGGAAATTAAAAGTTACCCAATATTCATTTGAAAATTCGAAAATTGCCAATAGATATTAGGTATGGTGTTAAAATCTTGAAGAATAATTAATAATGATGATAAAAGAAAAAAATTGAAATCTAAAAATTTAAGCCGGACATTTTATTAGTTTATTGATAAAAATTAATTGGGTACAGTGAAATCTGTACCTATATAACGGACAGTTACGGGACCATAAAAATGTCCGTTTTGGACAAGTGTCCGTAATAGACAAATACGGATGGTGTCATGGCAAAGAAAAAATTAAAACGAACGGAGAAAAATGTACAACACTATAACACGGTATAAACACTGAATAGACTTTACGTTTTATATGCGTTTTTGGTTATTTTCGTCCTCGCAATATTTATTGACTTATATCATTATTATCAAACGTGTAATCCGTCATAATCGGTATTCGAAATTGACCCCCGCGACGCTATTGCGCGGCAGGGGCGTCCTTATAGGAGGGGGGGACGACAGGGGTGATTACCCTCCCCCCCCGAGAGAAGTGGACTTACATTGGCATTTGGCATAATCATTGGTCCAAAAGTAGATGTAATCAATATATTATTTGACATAATTTTTTTCTTATCAATCATTAATATTAAATTTAATATATTTCGCCACCCCCCCCTCAAGGTCTGGAGACGTCCCTGTTGCTTGGCATGTATGTACACGGTACACGTTTGCAATACATTCGATTTTGAACTAAGACAGCTGTTCGTTATCGAGGTGTTGGCGAAAAATATTATTGTCCTTGTCCGCGACAGAGAGTCCATTATCGCCAAATCGAACTGGAAGCCTATCTTTTTGCCGGGACCTTATTATTTTGTCCGTAAAGACATGTTCCATTGTACAATTGTTTTAAGCGAATTGTATCATAAATTTGAACTTGAAAGGCCTATAAGTCGGAAGTCGACTAGTACCAGTACCTCCTTACGTTTATATTATAAACATGTTTTTAAAACCTTATCACATTATCAGTTTTTATGTGTGCGTTAAATGACCGATAACTATTATTAGGTACACTTTTTATTTTAAAAAGTCACGTTTTGATCTCTTTTTATACATCATATTAAACTTTAAAACTGAATGGTTTTTTTTTAATTATTATTCAATTGGTTCGATTCGGTTTACAAAAATGCGCACTAAACCGTTTTCACATCTATAATATAAATCTGATAATGTACATAAAACTATAAACAAATATAATATTCAACTTAATCTTTTTAACGCTTTCACGCGGACATATTATATTAGCGTGGTAATGAATAAACGTCAAAATATCTCAATAATAATTATGAACATTATATTGAAATAACCACAATTTATTCAAAACCGCAATCGATTCATTCATTCCTCCATGACCGATGATTGTCTGGCCGTTTTGCACATAAATCTGATAACGAGTAGACGATATCATGTTATATTTTCTGCTCGGTGCTGGTACAGGTTATTTAGTTTTGTTTTTTTTTCCATTATAACTTTGTACGTCCGTTGACTATATTGGACGGTGAATCTGTTGGCTGGCGACGCTATCTATAAATAAAAAAATCGTTTGAAATCAGCCGCGTTCTCAGCTTTACTGCTGCGGCTGCCGTCTAGTCGTTTCGTTTTGCAGGTACAGTTGTGATTCCGGGTCTTCTAGGTAGCCGTTGTTTGTGCAAGGACGATCGGATTTTGATTGTCGTACGACAAAAGAACAAAAGTTAGTACGTAGTTATCACAGGTGCACGCCAAAGCGGACGAACTTGGGTTGCAGATGAGTTCGCTAGCAGACCAAGACGCCCCTGGTCCGAGCTCTGTCGGTGATTTGCGATCTTTCAGGTTTGCAAAGAAACCCAGCTTCAGTCACGAATCTGCCGGTCAGTCCAGTTCCATGGATACTATCGTCATCGACGAAGAACCTGGTAAATAAATAACATTATTTATTTCTCCGTAGGTATATTATTGTTTGATTTAAAAACTTGCCCACTGGGGTTCCAATTTGTATTACCATATTCTTTCAGAGTTCATTTATTTGCAAAAAAAAAAAAATAAATAAAGTTTTAAAGTCCATAATATTATAATGACCTCAAACAAGTCATATTTTAGAAAGTGGAACTACCTACCAACAAGTCGTGTTTATACTATATAGAGCGAAATTTTAAAACCTCATTCGGTTTGAATGGTTTGATATTGCCTTTATTGTATAATACTATTTATTTTTTGAATAGTAATATAATATTTTTTTTTTTTTTTGCAACTTAAATATCTATTTAAGTTATCTGTAAGATTTTGTTTGTTTATATTGTATCAAACCAAACAATATATTATATTTGTTTTGTTCCCAGTATTTACAAAATCTAGAAATGGAAGAGTAAAACCCATTATTTTATCATCAGATGATGATGAAGAATGTGTCGTTGTAAATAATCAAGGAAGTTCTGCTGGAGTCATTGAAATAGTAAAAACAAAAAAATTTTCGTTATTTTAAATATATTCAACTGAAAAAAAAATGTAATTGTTTAATTTTATATAATTAGATTGATTATGAAGATAAACTTCCTGTTAAATCAAGGACCATATCAATTAGTGATGATGATAGTAATAATTCTTCGAGTGTTTTAAAAAATGAAACGTCTTACAAAAATTCTAGTATTGGAAATTCTCTAACGCCTGTAGCAATGCCTTCAAGAAAAAGAGTACAACCACAAAACAAAAGTAAATTTTAGGTGGATTTTCCCCCCTTTACTATCTGTAAAATAATAAAATTCAGTGATGTAAAACCTAACTTAACCATTCATTGAAATATGCAATTACTTCATATTCCTTGACAAAAAACTTCCTTTAAAAATATGTGTGAATGTATTGTAATCCTTAGGTTTTACTTTTTGATAGTGTATTTCATTATTTGTAATAAATGTATTTTTTTCAATCGTATAATGCTTTTTTTTAAACATGAATATTGTAAATTTATGAAATAATTATATTTTATTTGTAGAAAGAAAACGTATTAAAGCTAATGCACAAAACAGTGACTCTGATGGGGGTGGCAGTGAGGACTACGAGGAATATAAAGAGTATGCATTCATTTTTTTTTTTTTTTTATACCTTTATATTATTTATAAAATTGTTGGTAAATTCTAATCATGTTTATAATTATTTATTTAGAGAGAAAAATTTTGTAAAAGACAGTAATAAGGAAATGCGCGAAAAAGCCCTGGAATTGTTGAATATTGCCACTGAAGCAGAACTCCGAGTAGTTAAAGGAATGACCACTAAAAAATTTGATTCTATTGTTGCTCTTAGACCATTTTCCTCTTGGATTGAAGCGGTAAATTGATATTTTTTTATTAAAATTTATGTAAGTGAATGATTAATAATTGATTAAGTTAGGTTAAAAAAGTGAATAACTCTCGTCTGTTGGGTGAGCAAACTTTGCAAAATGTTATGCACATGATTTCTTGTCAAGATATAGTTACTCAGTTGATGAAGAAATGTGAAAAATTAGCATTGAAAAATGGAAATACTATTACTACTACTAACATGCTTATTAAATCACAACCGTCCAGTTTAAATAAAGAGTATGATAATTTTGGTTTCTTTTTTCATAATGCCTTTTAAATCTTATACAAAGAATAGTTTGCAGCTTTCTGGGTACCAAATGATAGGACTCAATTGGCTTATGTTGATGAATTCACAAAAACTCAACATGATGTTGGCCGATGAGATGGGTTTGGGTAAAACCATACAAGTAATTGCATTTTTAGCCTATCTGAAAGAGTCTGGTCGTACAATTCCCGAACTCCCTCAGTTAATTGTTGTGCCGGCTTCTACTTTAGGTACTTTTGAAATTTATTTAAACTGTATTTGATTTCAAACATTTTTGGTATTATTTTGCTTTTTTTATTTTAATTCTCAGACAATTGGTACCAAGAATTTGGAAAGTGGTGTCCTTCAATCAAAGTTGAAAAATATCACGGACCAATGGAAGAAAGAAAATATCTCCGTACTCAGTGGTCAAAATATGGATTCGGTGACATTGATGTGATATTGACTACGTATGTATAATAGTTAAATTGGTATTGAATTCTATATTTTGGTATGACTTTGTATAATCTCTATAACATAGTGTTTAATAACATAAAGATTAAGAAATTTAAAATATTAGTTTTTTTGGGAAAAAAACAGTTTATTGTGATTCTATTTATGATAAATGCTAAACTTCTTTATTATTAGAAAACATTTTTTAAAAACTGTTCTTAGGAAACTTCTTATTTTCAAAATTTTGTGTACAAAATAATATTATAATTGTTTAATATAACAACATTTTCTAAAAAAATGAAACTCACATAATTTATAAGCCTCACATTATATATTTATATATATATATTAGGGTTGTCCTTGACCTATAGGTGTTAAACATAAATTGGAATTATGTTACGTACATTGTTAAAATAATCTTCGTACATTTTGAGTATGTTGAGTCAATCCGCGTCAAGTGGCTCAATGGGGTGAAGTTAGTAAAAAATGTGTACCTTTATATTAATTTTTTTGAATTTTGAACATAAATAAATTTATCAAAAACTTTATTATAGTAAAAAAGATTTCCTACATTATTATTAGCTATTGCTCTCTCTAACATTTCAGTAAAATATCCTTATATGTAAAAAAATGAATTTAAAAGTTGGTAGATTTGAAAGTTTACATAATCTTGAATATTCTATCACATATCTACCAAATTTACAAGTTTTACTGAAATGTTAAAGATAGTTATTTCATAATAAATCTTTTTACTATAATATAGTGTCTGATAAATTTTTTGTACATTTAAAATTAAAAAAATTAATGTAAAAAATCCAAAAACGTCCCTTTTTTACAAACTAACTCTTTTAAGGCATGTGAAGGGGTTTACTTATCATACCCAAAATTTACAAAAATTATTTTTACTATTTACCTAACAGAATTTTAAGCCCACGGTACAAAATTATTGAAATTCAAAAATAAGGACCATTTGATATAAAGATTTGAGAATTTTGTTACTATAACTTATTCTGTTCAATATTTCTAAGTTATTTATTTTTTTATTATTTTTTTTTAATTCAATTAAATTTTAGAAAATTACTCATCATTAGTTAACATTTATTGCAGTAATATTTTTTTTTCAAAATAAATTTATGAGATGGCCATTTTGAATTTTATAAAATAAGATTTACATTTTTTAAACATAATGACAAACAGACATACTTCACACCACGGGTGGGCTACTCTTGTTGGTGAGAAATTTGGAAGGTAGAATATAAAGGGTAATTTAATTTATGTCTGTATGCAATGAGTAATCATTGGTTATGAAAAACGATTCTGAGCTGAGGTCTGTCTTTATTATTGCTTTTTCAACAATGTACGTTTTCATGACAACAACGAATGTTTAAAAAAAATTGAAATAATAATAACAAAAAATAAATAAAAACCAATGACTACCTCATTTTTAATATTTTAGTCATGTTTAATCTAAAGAACAGGTTTTCTTCATTGAAGAACCTTCTTAAATATTAATGAAAATTTCAAAATATGACCTTTAAAATACCAACAAAAACTAAAATGAAATAAAAAGGGTCTTTTGTCATGTTTTGATTGAAGCAAGATTTCTAAAAGAAAAGTGCTTTATAGATGGGGAAAAAAAATACACAGTTAAACTAATATATATCTTACTGTAATTAGAATCTAAAATAATCTAGTAATTATTACAAAAAAAAAAAAATAAAAAACTTAAAATATTTAACAAAACAAAAATTAATATAATTGTCAGATTTCCATGGGACACCTTGTTTATTTATTTAATAATTGATAACATTAATATTTTGACTGATGAAAATTGCACAGTCTAAACCATTTGGTCTAGAAATAAGGAATTTTTTCCTGAACCCATACAAATCTTGACTCATACCTTGATAATATGATTATTGAAAATGTATATATATATATATATATATATGTGTGTATGTATGTATATAATATATTGACTATTGATTTTACTTTGTGTACAGTTATAGTTGTGCATCAAATTCTTTGGAAGAAAAAAAATTATTTAAAACAAAGGAATTCCATTATATTGTTTTTGATGAAGCTCATAAGCTAAAAAATATGACGTCACAAACTTTCGAAGTGTTTTCCAATTTTAATGTAAGTAATCTAGAGGTTTATTTATTATTAAATAAGTGCTCAATTGTAAAAGTTATATTTTATTTTTAAAGGCAAACTACAAAATATTGTTGACTGGTACGCCACTTCAAAACAATTTATTAGAATTGATGTCGTTGTTAATATTTCTTATGCCTCAAATGTTTCGCGGTAAAGTGGATAACATTAAATTTTTGTTTTCCAAGGGAACAGTAAGTACTTAAATTGTTTAATTTTTAAGCTTCAATCATTATTTTGCTAAATTATACAGACTTTGTTCGAGAAGATGTAATTTATGTATAGTTAAATAAATCATTGCTTATTGCATTTTATTATAGTATATATTTCGATATTACAGAAAGGCACTGGTTCGAAGTTTGAAATTAACAGAATCGAACAAGCAAAACAAATTATTGAGCCATTCATGTTAAGACGTTTAAAAGCTGATGTACTGAAATCTTTGCCCGTGAAAAATATAGAAGTCAAAAACATTGCTATGACAGAACACCAACAAATGCGATACGTTACTTTGACAGAAGAGATAAAAGAAGCTTCTTTATCAAAAGAACTGACTGAAAATAATCATATGATGTGGTTGATGATGTTGAGGAAATTGGCTAATCACCCACTTTTATTAAGATACCATTTTGTGGTAAGTTTTTAATCAACCCCATCAATATCTCATTTTCAATTTTGTTTATTTTTACTCAAAATTCCAGGATGACAAATTGTATAAAATGGCAGAATTGTTGGCTGTAGACCCGACTTACAAACAAAAAAATAAACAATACATTGCTGAGGATTTATCATTTTTGTCAGACTTTGAATTGCACAAACTATGTACTGAACATAAAGTAATCTAATTTTCATATCTATAAATTACATAAATATTTATTTTATGTTTTCTCGCAGTGTCTTAATAAATTAGGATATGATCTTCCGATTCAAATTTTCTGTGATTCAGGCAAATTCAATATGTTAAAAGATATTTTGCCCAATCTCAAAGAAAACGGCCACAGAGTTCTTATATTTAGTCAGTTCCTATCAATTTTAGATCTATTAGAAATATTCATGTCACACTATGGTCATTCTTACCTGAGACTGGATGGTTCTACTCAAGTACAAGAAAGGTGTATAATAACTAACAATAATATAATAAAGATAGTCATAAAGTAATGGGTTTTAATATTGTTATTATTTAGGCAGCTGATGATCGATTTGTACAATATGGATGAGAGTATATTTGCATTTTTGTTATCAACTAAGGCTGGTGGACTGGGTATTAACTTGACGGCTGCCGATACTGTCATTCTGCATGATATTGACTATAATCCCTATAATGATAAACAAGCAGAGGACCGGTGCCACAGGGTAGGACAGACTAAGTAAGTTATTGGTTTTATGAAAATGAAGTTATACTCCTTTTAAATTAATTATTATTATTTTATCATATTCATATATTTATCATTATTATAATGTTTTTAGACCTGTCAGTGTGATTAAGTTAATTAGCAAAGATTCAATTGAAGAATCTATGTTCAAGATTGCACAAGATAAATTAAACCTTGAACAACAAGTGACTGGTGGAAATGGTTTGTTTTTTTATTTTAATAATGTATTAGGTATTATTATTTAAAATTTATCCAATAAAATAATTTTCGATATTTTTTCACTTTCAGACGAAGATGAAGCTACTGTTAAAAAAACAATGGCTGAACTACTTAAACAATCTTTGGGTATAAAAGATGTTACATTGTGATAAAATATTATTTCTCTAATTTTTAAGTTTACAACATAATGTATATTATTATATTATCTATTATTTATATCAAAATTGATTCATTCATACTTATAATTTTCTACTAAATTTTTTTTTCTTTTTATCCAATGATTTTTAAACTTTTCAAGGTAATTTTTGTTTTATTTTCAAATGTTAATGTTTTTTATAATAATAAAATAATTGAAGTTGGCTTTTACCACAGTGTGTCAGTTTATGAATCTTCTCTACACCGGGAATACTCATATGTCGTTATTGTCCACCATTATTGCTAATGCTTATGTTTGCCATTAAGAAGCGGAGAATTACAATAATAGATAAATTAAAAAAATGTTCAAGTGGAAAAACTTATAATTTTGTCATGGTTTTTATAATAACACACGTGACAACTCAATATAGTCTTATCATTTCATTGGTATATTTAAATATCAAAAAATAAGAAATATATTGAATATATAAAATGCTTTGATGTATATCAATAATATTAATGATAGGTATGCCTTATCAGCTCAAATTATACCACATTAAATCTGTGATTAAATGAATTATTGAGATGCAGTCTAGCGCAGGGTAGGTTAGTTTAGACAGGATAGATTGGGGCAGTAAAACTGCTCTACTCACATGACCACCACACATTGAAACGTAGTTTCTTGTCATTTTAGTACATAATTGGTTGTAGAACGTATAAATTATGGCCAAACTATACGAACTAGACCTAAGTTCCAAGTCTGATTTAGACGAAAAAATATATGAACTCTTACTATTTTATTTACTATCAAAACGAAATAAATTTATATGGAAGAGTTTGTACATGAAAAAAAGAAAAAGTCACAGTAAAGGTTCGTGTCATCAGCGTGGCTAGTATCATACAATATTTTGTGTGGACGGCTTCAATTAATTTTACTTTCGTTGTGATATTATGCAAGCAATATTTCAATAAAATAATATGAAACACGAAAACTGCTTGACACGTTGGCAGTAATCCGTGTTACAGACACTGCATAAAGCAGGTTCACGAAGGTACTGAACTGCTCTGCCCTATCCTGCCTTCTAATGTTCTGTAGTACGTTCTAACAGATTATAGAAAACTATGCTACGCTGTTCTGCGTCATAATGTGTGCCCGGCCTAATACTGCTATTGTTGTTTAAATTTATTATAGGTACATCGGCTTAGCATAATATTTTGCACGGTAGCCAGACCTAACAGGGGCTGTGCGCAATTGTCACAGTCTGATTTGTTTACTTTATACAATATCGTGAAAATCACTCTACTCTGGAGCTTCGAGAAGAAGGCCTAGAGAACGAGCTCAGCCAGTTCAAATAAAATATTGTGTTATATTTTGGAAGACTTTTGTTTTTAAGTATAAATACTGTTTCACGAGGCGTTCTGTAGTACTTACCGAGTGAACTGACATCTATATACCATAAACTACCAGCAATTTACTGAGGTTTTTCAATACAGGAAATACAAAACTACTAGGGGCGGTTTTAATAGATATTTTTGTATGTGGCAACAACATAATAATTATAATTGTATACTGAGTAATAACAGATATACTCACGGTCAACATTATTTGTGTTTTTCGTAATTACTAAAAGACGATTTAGAGATAATTATAGATTCTAATTTAGAAAAAAAAAAAAAAAATTGAATAACTGAATAATTCTTAAAATAATATTATCAAACACTTTTTTTACTATACAAAAGGCTAGATAACTTCTGTGTTTTATTTACTAAGTTCCTTTATTTTGTTATCAATTCATACTGTTATACTTAAAAGTAATGATAACCATTTCATTTTGTTTTTATTTTGTAAATATTTCAAATTGAAACAAACAAAATGGATGGTTTCAACTCCAAGAAACTCGACTAAGGTCTTTTTAAAAGCAAATTGTTTTATTGAAGTTAAACAATAAAATTATCCAAAAGAAAATCCACCGATCATTTAAGACCCGTATTTTCTAGTTTTAATTCACATTCAAACTCCACGCGTTCGACAAAACGCAGGGAAAACACAATCCCGTACAAATGTACACGCGTGAAAAAATGTTACGATACAATGATTTAACTTTCCGATCTTTATCGTGATTTTTTTTTCATCGCCGAAATTGCGTGTTTGCGACCGCTGAAAACGAGGTACGGCGCTACAGCGGGGAATTCGTAATTCACCGTCGTCGTCTCGCCTGCAGCCTGTTGCGCCGAATAACTGAACGAGAGTGACCCGCCTGCTCTTAAAAAAAAAAAAAAAAAAAAAAAGATTATACATAAATTACGAATCGCTAAACCACGGGCGTTTTACGTGCGACCTAATCGCAGGACCGAGCGGGCGACGACCAGCCAACGAACCGCCGCAATACAACACGAACGATTTTCATGGCGCACGCGATCGACGGTTATTTCGGGCTCGTATCGATTGCCGTGGCCCCGGTGAAAAACTACCGCCGAAACGAGAAACCGGTACGTTTAGGGTTTTACAATTCGAATGGAGCGGGGGGGGGGGGGGAGTAGCGTATTGGTTTTACGACGGCGATTATTTGTATAGTATTTTTTTTTTTTTTTTTATTTTTCCGCGAACAACTTTTATTCCACCTGTGTTTTTGCTCGGATTTTTTAAAACGATGGCGCTTTTACTGAAAGCAAACCCAACTGGGGGACGGTGCTTTTAGGTTGTTTTTTTTAAATTTTCCCAGGAGTGAGTAAACGTAAGAAAAATGAGAAAATTGGTACAGTATTGAAGAAAATACACGGATAATGCGTACGCAATTATTTTACAAATAATGTGACGTATTATATGTTGTCGACGAGTCAACACTATCGACCGAACTCTGCTCGGAATGGTTTTTCTGGTGCTTTTAACACAATGCAGTCGCTATCAAAGTAAGTCGTTTGTCATAATAATTGGTAAAAATCAAAAATGATGAAAATACGATTTTTTTTTTTTTTTTTTTATAAAATTACAGCACAACGATTTCGTTATTTAAAATTTTTAAGGCTCATGTTTTCTACCAAAAATATTGTTCCAAAAGAAAAATAACAAGAGTACTTTTTTGTAGAATGCTTAATCTAATTTGTGACTAAGAAGGGAGTTTTTTCGAAAATTGAGCAAAACCAAAAAAAAAAGGAAAAATCACGGGAAAATTTACGAAAATAATTGTTATTATTTTAGATTCTGAGTGGAGCGAGTAATGTAATTAGTTTTACAATGATATTTTTTTCAATTTTTTTTATGAGAACACTTTCTACCAGAAAGCATACTCCGATTATCAAGTATAGCACCTTTTCTGAATGGAAGTGTTCTCCGAGTGGTACTTAAGGGGTAATTTTTTTTAAAATCGAGATAACGAGGAAAACCTCGGTCTTAAGGATAAAAAAGATTAAAAGATTGAAAACAAGGTTACCATTGGGTACCGTTTTTATTTATTTATTCTTATTATTAAGTTTTTATTATATTAATCTTTTTTAAACAATCGTTGTTGACAAAGCAACACTATCAACCGAACTCCGTTCGGAATCGTTTTTTTTTCGTTTGTAACAGTATACATTAAATTTTCGTCTCACAGTGAGAGAAATTGATATTTTAAACGGACAAATTGCATATATTGCAAAAAAAGTGGTAGGACGGGAAGGACGCACCCCTCAAAACTAATCCGTAATTCAAAACCAAAAATGTTATGAAAAATTATGTTTAAATCAAACTGACATATTAATAAGTGAACATAATTTAGAAATGTAATTTGTCCACACTCCTACAGTGATATTTACTTACCCGATCTCACGACAACACGCTAATTTGAATTGTATGATTTAAGAAACGATGGAAATTAAGGGACACGCGGAATGGGGGATTCGAAATACGGGAGTGCACGGGACCGAGAGGGTTGTTTGTGACGTTTGGTCGGGACACCGGGACGGCTTGTCTCAAATACGGGACAATCCCGTATGAGGCCGTACCCACAGTGGGAACGCACATCGTCGTCAGACACACACGCGCGTGTCGGATGAAAAACACCCGCGCGAAGTGAGGCCACTTGCAGTGCGACGGAACGGACAGAGCGCGTACCCGTACCCGACAGCTTTGGGCAGCGTCGGTTGAAAATCGGACCATTTCGTTTTCCAACGCGCGTCGTCGTCGTCCGACACGCGCGTCTGGATCGGTGCGCGTTTATTTCTTCTCACGCTTGTTCTATCGTTTTCACAAGAACACGGATGATGAATTTTTAATCGAACCGGCGTGGGAAAATCCGGACTCGTGTAAAACCCGTTAAAGAAAACAAACGAAATTCACGCCGGTCCTGAAATATTCGCCGTTGTTTCTATTTTTTTTTTTCATTTTCTCGAAATTCACGAATTCAGAACCACGCACTTCGGAGGAGCTGTGCCGGCTAAACGGAAATCGGCTGTATGTTTGAGATAAGAAAGTCTATATAATTATTACTATTTCCGTCCGGCTAGTATAACGTAAAAAAAAGAAAAATATAATAATATCACTGCGACATTTATTAACAATAGAGTGCAATTAAAATTTAAATGACAATGATAATGAATATGTAATTACAAATTTTTTTTTTTTTAAAAAACTATTACTCATTTTATTAATCCTGTGTAAATGTACGGAATCCTGACACGTTTCGTCGTTGATGCAATTGTTGCGGTTTTAAATGTCCTAGTTCCAATTCGGATATTCCGGGGAAAAAAAAAAACTCTAGTTTTAGCTGAATATGCTGATGACACGGAGAAAACTGTTTCACTGTCAAACTCATACTTTGGAAAAACTTATCAATCACATCAATTTCTGTTTAGTCATTTGACTTGACTCCTTCTACTTTTTTCTTTTTCGATAACGTATTGCATCAAATGCGAGGACGCGGATTCTGATGTGGTACATCGTTCTGTTTTTTTTTTCTTCTTTTTTTCGGAATCGCAATTTTCTCAGGTTGAGGTACACAAAATGTTTGAGACGGTGCCGGTAGTGTACTGGGTACTATGTGTAATAATTTCATCGGGTGAAGAAATACTCTCCACGGCGATATTGTCAGATTGATTAGTTTTTATTTTCATTAAAAGTTTCATCGTCTTCTGTACCGGAACTATTTTTCTCCACGTCACTTTGAGCTTCAACTGAGGATACTGTTTCCCTTTCTTTCATACGTGGTTTCGAAAAATTCATCTCCGATTCATATTTCCATTTTTTTAAATATTTAGTTTTTTGACCCGACACTGTAGCATTTTTTTTTTTTTTTGATAGCTTTTCTATAAGCGTCTCTTAAATTTGCCCATGCCTTTTCACATTCTTGTGCCGCAAAAATAATACTTTTTTTAACTTTTATTACAAATTTAATTAAAACCAATAAAATTATTTAAATTTGTTTAATTTGTTTCTTTTTACAGATTTTTAGCGACTGGAGGTTACTACCAAACCATTGCTTTTAGTTTTCGATTGGGTCATTCTACAGTACATTCACTTGTTATAGAAGTGTGCACGGCAATCATTAAAAATTTAACAAGACAATACATACCACAACCAAAAAAAAAAAAAAAAAAAAAAAAAAGAAAGAAAATCGGGAGCAGATAGCTGCTCCCGATAGCTGCTTACGGCGAAAACAGTGACGGAGGTATTTTTTTTGGAATTCCAATTTGTGTCAAGCGATTGAACGACAAAAACTCGGATATTCCTGATGGAAAACCGCTACCGGGAACTATGGAAACATTACTACCGTTCACATTTACCGGCGACGGAGCGTTCACCCTCTAAAGACACACTTATTAGGACCATACCCGGGGGTGTCCTCGAATGTACGTAGACGATACCCAAACATAAATCTAATGGCCGGTGGTCATCTACAGCCAGGGAAGTAGCGGAAGGACACGCGCGGACCGCTTACGCGAACATTATTAATTACGTATTTCGATTCGAGTAGAACGGAAATATCACCACGGGAATGCCGGTAAAATTATCGCGACCGCGCGCCGCTCCTCTCTCCGTGACTTTACGAAACGACACGGGCACGGCGTTCGGAATCGCCAACGCCGTTGCCGACAAATAACAGCGCGTAACGCCACAACGGCGCCGGTTTCGAAACCGGCAGGAAGTGTGTTCCGTATGCCGCCGACACTCTACGGTCTTTCGCAGAGCGTTTGCCGGCGCCCGGTTGCGTTATGTTGTAAATCCAACAACACCGGTAATTTGTCATCGATTAACATTTTAATTCGTCCGCGCGGTCCGGCGTGTGTCGGCCCGGCGCGCGCGGAACGACGGACCACTGACGGAACCCCGATGGATTTTTGACGTCGCCGTGTAATCCGCGGTCGAGCCCGAGATAACAGTAGGAATTCGAAAAAAAAAATAATAAATACACCGATTAAATATCAATCGAAAATAGAAAAAATAGAAAAAAAAAAACCCATTTTATTATTATTCGCGGTATTACCGCGCGAACGCACGGTTCGAGTTTATCGTATTCTCGGTATTGCGTGTCGCGCTGGGGAAACAATACGGAATTTTCAGAAATTGTATTTCCGTTTAATCGCGGTTTTTATAGTACAGTATTTTCTCAGAACGGAGGCCGTAAACGGAACGAAATGGCTTCCGATCGTATTTTATAATGACAAATTATAGTTGTTAATCGTTACAATTACGCAGGCGCAACGAAAATTGAACACGTTTGGATAATATGAAAACCGACATTATTGTTGATGTGCAGGGATAAAAAAAAAGTGCGGGGGGGTGGCGGGGTGGGAGGGAGTTCAATTGATATACGCGCGGACCGTACAACCGCGCGTATGAAAATTTCGTAAAATAAAAGTTTTGTCCGCCTCCAATCGCGTCAAATCGTATTTTATTGATAATTTTTCACACGCTTTTACTGGTTTCACCGGTACGTTTCGACGTAACGTAAACTTTGCACACTTATCGAGGACTGATGATAATGCGATAATTTAATAATTTTGTCCTATTAATGACGACTACCAATACAATCGCTGATCTCTTAACAAGTTTTTGATAACCATTTCCGCACGAAAAAAAAAAATAAACTTTTTCTTAAATTTTCGATTGGCAATAATAAAATACGCAAGTACCTATGAATGATACAAATTCAACAATGCCCGGGGGGCGGCGATCGCCCCTATCTTCCCGCCCCTTGTTTGTATACGCCCCTGTTCTAGACATGGTATGCTTTTCAGAACATTTTTGAGATACGTATAGGCATTTCAAATTTCTAGTTTTAACCGAAGGTTTTTCGAGTAATGGCCGTACTTTATCGATACGATAATTATAATTACTATTATTTTGAGGATTTTACTCCAGTTTATCAATAACCAACAAGTTTTTAAAATAATAAACTTTATTTTATTAATTCTAATCAGTGATTTAAGATACAATAATCACCCTGTATACTTACCTATATTAATTAATGAAAATAAGACACAATATTAATATGCATAATGTTGAAATATGTACATACAAAAATACAATTATTATTATAGTCATTTAAATTAATAGAAAAATATGTTACATAATAAATAATTTCGATGACTTAAAACAAAAATAACGCACGCACAAAATAACAATTGGATAATTAGAGCAGATTCAGTTTTTCAAATTTATATACACGACTGGAAAATTTGAGAAATAATCGAGTCCAGTTAAATTCTCATAGACAGTACACTAAACTGAATAAAGTCATTTTCGTCGAAAGCGAACGTTCAACATATTTTGTTTTAAGCCATTGATTAATAATAATTAGAGTCGTTTCATATTTTATAATAATATATAGAAATTATAAACAAATAGAAATCAAAAGTTATCCGTACGAATTCAAATATACAGTATTGTTATTATTACTAAACATAAAAATACGATTTTTTAACATTTAGAAAACCACTATACCTAGCGAACGAATACTTGACGAATTAAAATAAGTTATTAACACTCTTATTAACCACGTTTGTGCAACAAATGGTAAGTATAGGCCAACATATTTATACGAATATTTATGTACAAAGTAAGTAATAGCAGTTTGAACTGAAACCGCTTCATCGATTTTATTATTATTTTTTTTTTTCTATTTATATTATCATCATTACAAGAGGGTCAGGCGTACGGGCCTGTTGAAAATCGGCTTGTTTTGCAGAGAGTGAACGGCCTGCGCGGCCTCTTGCGGGCTCCGGAGGTTGACGCGCGCCTCGCCGGTGGGCTTACCAAAGTCGTTGAATCGCCTGATGACGTTTTGGCTGCTCAGATCGAAACCGTCAAAAAAGTCCACTATTTCTTGGACGTCGGCCCGGTACGGAACGTTATCCAGGGCTATCACGCAACCGGGCTGACCGAATCCATCGGGTCCCGTGTTTGGGCCACCAGGTCCGGGACCGGGACCGCGCATACGGGGAGTGTACCCTCCACCGCCGTTGTTCATGTATTGCTGTTGCGAACGATTTCCTCCGAATTGGCCATTGTGACCACCGCCACGGCCGCCGTACGAAGACTGCTGCGGCCCTTGATGGCGGTGCTGGTTGTGTCTGGGTGGGCCGCCACTGTTGCCGCGCATTCCGCCCGTCCACGAGATATCCTGATGGTGGTTATGCTGTTGCATAGGTTTCGTGATCGCCTGGATCATGTCCGCCCTGGCGATCAGCTCCACGTACACCAAATTCGGTCCCAAATAACACTGGTCTTTGGTCAGGGCCAAGTGCGCTTGTTGCGGATTGCTGAACTCGCAGTAAGACTCGCCGGTCGGCCTGCCCATTTTGCTCAGCATTATGTGTATCTTGTCCGGCATCACCGAGACGTCGCCGAAGAACTGCGTGATGTCCGTGTTGGTTACCGTGGTGGGCAGGCCATACACGTACACGCAATTCGAGGACCTGAGCGCGGGCGGCAGATTGTGAGGCGGCGGCCGCGGCGGTTGCATCATGACCGACTGCGGGGGCGACGTAGAGTTATGCTGATTGTGGTGATGGTTGTGGCTGTTGTTGTGATGGTGGTGATGGCGATGGTGATGGCCAACATCTCCCGAAAACCGTCTTCCGCCGGCTTCGGACTTGCGTTTGATCTGCGCAAATTCTTTGTACGTGCACCGCAATACGGGCACCGGCGTGGAGCCCAACAGAACACACACGAACCGCTTGAGCGCGGTTTCGGCCTCATCGACGTTGGTGAATTCCAAAGCGGCGGCCTTGAACTCACCATCCGGGTAGAAAACCACCCGACGCACGTTTTCACCACCATCGAACTCGTTCAGTACGTCCTCTTCAGTCACCGCCATCGGAAATTGATTCAGTTTCAGGTATTTGGTCGGTAAATCTTGCTGTGTCGGAGAGGAGAGTGCATCATCAGGGCAACCTTCGGTCGAAACCTCAGCCGTATCTTTAGCAGTCTTTTCACACGCTACCACATTGCAGCTGTCGTCTTCACTCCCCTCCGCTTTGTTCTTTTGCTGCTGCCCTTTGTCCAATCGCTCCTCGTTATTGTCCGCCACCGTCTTGTCTGGCTTGCCGTCTTCTTCTTCGTCGTCGTCCACCAGATCAACGTGGTCCACGACCGTCGGCGGAACCTTGGCGGGGTAGGGCCGATCGTCCGTATTCTCCCGCTCGTACGCCTCGTCGTCTAGATGTTTGACTGACACTGGACTGCCCTTGTACATAGTTCCGTTGATCTGCATGGCCAGATTCTTGCTCTGGTTGTTGCCGAATCGAACGAATGCCACGCCTTGCCGATGCTTTTGGATTTTAATGGCCGACCCGTCGATGTGTATGTTTTCGAATAGCAAACGAATGTCACCATATGAAAACTGGTTAAACTTGTTGAACACTTTGACGCACAGACCGCCAAATTCTTGGGGCGTTGTGGTATTCCGGACATCGTATCGGTATCGGTCGTTGTACCGCGGTGGTGACGCTTTGGGGTTATCCGAGTCGGCATGGTCGTCTTTTCGCTGTGGCGGCACTACATTTAACTTGGGACCGCCAGTATCGTGAATCGAGCTGAACCTTGACGGCCTGCCACTGCGGTCTGAAAAATTGCTGTACCTAGGTGGCGGCTGCTGCTGTTGCTGTTGCTGCTGCTGATGATGATTAAATCTAGGCCCACCTCCACCGCCTCCGAATTCGTCAAACGACCGTTTGCCGCCACGATGCTGTGAGACGCCAGTCGACCCGCCTCGCTTGGGAAATCTCGGGCGGCCGAACCCTTGATGAGGACCGTGAAAATCTTGTCCTGGCGGTCCTCTTCTTGCACCTGGACCGTTATTATCATTGTACCTACCTCGGAAATTATTGTTGAACTCGGTTTGTCGGTCGTCTTCGTCGTCATCGTTACCAGCATCGCCACTGTAATTGTCCACTGATTTCACCGGCCTGGTAACAAAATTGTTTGAAAGCACATACGACTGCTGCTGACGTTCTTCGGAAACCCACTCGTTCTTGGGCGGTTGTTGGGGCTGTTGATACGAGTTCTGTTGTTGTACATGAATTATTGTCGGTTGAGAGGGTGCCCTGAATTGATTGAACACCGTCGTAACGGGCTGTTGACGATTATTGTCAGTCACTATCGTTCCTGCTGATATTTGTTGTTGAGACGAGTTGTATTGACAAGCCCATGGCCTGATCGGCATTTGATGTTGCTCACCGCCGACTACCGCCTTATTATCACCACCGTTGCCATCGACAGGCATTTTAACGACCGGCGACCTGGACCTATGTGAAGATTTGCTCGCATTTCCCCGGCTGGCCGAGTTCCTGCTTCCACCATTGGTGTGATGCCTGTCCTTGGATCGGTCTCTCCCGCTACTTCGGTCCCTGCGCCGTCTGTCCCTGGACCTCGACCTGTCCCGTCTAGTACCGCCACCGCCGCTACGAGATGACTTCGACCTACGATCCCGTGACTTTGACCGTGTCCGTTCGCGTTTGTAACTCTTGTCTTCACGATCTTTATTTTCCAGCGATTTCGGAGACAGATGTTGTAGCTGCTGCTGTTGTGGTAGTAGTAGTTGTTGTTGTTGTTGTTGTTGTTGTTGTTGTTGTACCTGCTGTTGTTGTACCTGCTGTTGTTGTACCTGCTGTTGTTGTACCTGCTGTTGTTGTACCTGCTGTTGCTGTAGCTGATGAGGCTGTAGCCGCTGACTTTCTTGAGACATAATCACCGGGGCCGTTTCCATTAAAGTCTGATGTCTTTGCTGCAACATACTCACCATACGGATGTGGCCGGGCTGAATTTGAGGCTGCGGTAATACCTGTGTAAAAAACAAAAGAAATGTGTTATATTTATGATACTATAGTCATAATTTTATGGCGATCATTTAACGACCGTGCGTCGAGTGACCGTCCAAAATCGATTACAAGAAAGGTACGAATTATTATTGGGCCGGTTCTATGGCTTCGTGATCAATACCGATGATTTCTTTTAGCCATAATAGGTACCTTGGCGGTCAGCGGTGGCAACGATGAACCAACGATGGGCTGCAATAGGGGCTGCTGCATTTGCTGCATGTAGGCCTGTGAGAGTTGCATCGCGTGTTGCCGAGCGGTCTCTATGACCTTTTGCATCTCGTTGCGAGAGCTTAACAACAGTCTGATTTGAACTTCTTTTATGCAACCGCCGTCCGACATCATAGCTTGTCTTGCATCCTCATCAGTACTGTAAACGGTCGAGAATACAACAATATTATATGATAAGTGCAACTACGATAATGTTTAAAACCCGTTACTGTTGTTTGTTTACTATACTAATATAATGAAGGTATGTACCTAAATGAAATGAAGGCGTCGCCTTTTTCGCCACCGACGATGTGAACCCCGCCTTCGGGTATCGATAGCCCTTGGAAATAATGCCGGATGTCCGCGGCATTTGCCGCCCAAGGCAAATTTTGTAATCTGATTATCACACTCATAATGGCGCTTCTAAAAAAACCAAAATAAATAGATTTTCGTTAATAACTTTCGTGGTCTATCGGTTTTTAATAGTGTTTATAATTATTTGATACATGTATGTGAACAAATTTCGAACATAATATTAAAACGGTTCGAGATATAAACCAGTTGTGAATTAACGACGTAAAAAAAGATATGTAAATACGAAATTAAATGCTAGACAGTTAACACATTTCTAACTAGGTTTATTTTATGATGTTTATGACCTTAAAAACGCTAATAAAATCAAGTAAATATGCCTAATAAATATCAAAATATACCCTTAAAAGAAATCGATTATGACATTTAAAGTTTAGCATACTCATATTATGTAAACAATTTAAAAAAATAGCTGGTTCAACTATAATACTTCAATGCCTCAAAGGGTTAAAATTGGAGGGGAAATCTGAGCAATGAGAAGCGAAGAAAATAAATATGGTTGTCTATGTTAGAATTTCGTAAATACGTAGGTACCAATGCTGACATACATCTTAATTTTATCATGGATAAACGTTTAGGTAGTAAAGATATGAATATTATATTTGAAACCAACAATATCTATGAGTGTATGTAGTATATATTAATTCCAGTATATTTATTGATTTTTGTCATCAAAATATAAATTCATTCATAAAATCCATAAATATGCGAAATAAAATTAAATGTATCTAATTCTGTGTCATATTAAACCAATTTAAAAAGTCTTGGTTAGGTCTGCTAAGTGCACGACTAAAATAATAAAACCCTATTAACCCTATAACAATACAAATAGATACCGTTCGATGTAAATAATTTTAAGTTTAAAGGAGAAAAATAAATACAAATAGATAATCGTTTAATTTAATATATGAAGGAGCTTTCAGTTACAAAAATTCTTAGAGTATAGTCGGGTAAAGTAGCCAGTTCATAGTCCCTCATACGATTTTACTGCAAAATACTTAGAAACTACTTAAAGTGTTAAAGATCATTCCAATAATGTTTCCTTTTATTGAAAAATTTAAAATTAGTTTAATCTGTTGAATTCAGAGTACCTGTATAAATTATTGAAAGATACGCGAAGATGCAGAATAATTGAATAACGAAAAAAACAAATCATTAAGCATTTCGAATAAAGCGTTATTTTAATAAACTATAGAAAAATAGAATCTGTACAAAGTGATCAATCGAAAGTTGGTAAATGTTTCACCACTAAACACAAAGGTGAAAAAATTGAGGGTAATTATTATTCAAATTAATAAGTAATATTTGAGAATATTTCGCGTGTGTATCTTAGTTTCCAAAAAGAAAAAAGCGAAAATATTTTTGCTTGTTTAAAAAACAAGTGTTTTACGAACAATTAATCACCTTGTAATGTGACCATTTATATAGATAATGATTCAAATATGTTTCAAATAATTTGGATGACAATTATATTGACTTATAGAATCGCAAAATGTATATAACAAAGAAAATCAAGGTATCTACTGTCAAGAGGACGTTACTCATAAATGTGTCGTTTCTGTCTTAAAAACACAAGATATAGTAAAACCACGTTTACGCAGACCACACAGAACTCGATTGATTTTGGTTTTAGAGTAAAAGCACTTATTATGAAATTAATAGAAAACAATATTCCGGAGGGCAAAACATTTTTGCGTATTTTTTTCGCGATTGATTTTACGATGCTGTTTATTTCTTTTTTTTCTTTGTTCTAGTCTTTGGACACGTTTTTCTTCCTAGTAAACTTGCTCCGATTTTTTACGTGTAGCAACTTTTCAGAAAACTCAAGTTGTTTAGAAGGTAATATAGAAAGGATACTATTTGATTTTTGACGCTATTTTTTAAACAAAAGCACTGAAGTGAGAGAAAACGTAGAAAAACGTACAATTTCACGATTTCATTATTTTATAAAAACACGGACGTTTTCTACCAGAAGAAATGATTTAATCGAAAAATCACAAGATACCTTTTTGATTTAATTTTTTTATGGTATCATGGTCAAAACTTTTAAGCCACTTTTGAGCTTTTAAGGACTTTTATATTTTGGGAATTTTTTTTATTCGGTTAAAAATACACGAAAAAACTTGAAATTTGGTAATAATACTTATATTGGATTTACTTAGACGTGGTCAAATTTCCAAAATCATTGGACGACTTTTTATTTTTTAATAAGCGTTTTGAAATCAAATTTAAACAAAAATCGCACAAAAACTTACGGCACTTCAAATTATGTATAAACGAACTGCTCTCGGAAATGTCTTTCGTCAAGCAATGGTATATCGTTGCTTATAAATAAATATGAAATAACCTTATGTATCCTACCTTCCCAACTTCTCACTTGTAACAGTGGCCGCTCTCATCCATATATAAATAAAGGACATTGTGCTGAACGATGACGAAATAAATCTATTTAGCCTTTTTCATTTAAAATCCAGTAGAAAATCACTACAAAATCTGTTTCAATTTGGACGGCACCCGGGTAAAAGGGAATAAGTAAAAAAAACATTATCTTGAGAAAACTAAAAAAAACTGTCTACAATATTCAAAAGTTATAATTATTTATCAATATTTTTGACATTTGTTTTTCAATTGGTTTTATTTAAACTTCAAATATTTGATTAACTTAGGACTAATTCCCTTAAGCACATGACTTATTACTTTTGGGTAGTTTTAATTTAACTTGTTCCCTATTATTGGCTAATTTATTCTTTTGATCAACGTTTAGTAGTAATAAGTACAACCTTTTAGTCAATATATTAATAATTATTATAATTATACTATATAAGGAGCTGTTTATTTTAAAACCATGGCATGACCGTTAAAACTTTTATTCATTTTGTAATTTTAATTTAATTTTAATTTTATTCATTTCAAATAAAATTATATTAATTGCTATATATTTAAGGACTAAGATAGTAAAATGCAACTACTACCTATATTATATATTATTTACTAACTCAATATTAATAACATAAATATCATTGTAAAACCAATTCATTCCTCGTTCCACTCAGAATCTAAAATAAAAATAAACATTGAAACAAGAATATTAAATACAAATTATAATTATCAATCAATATTCTTCTTCAGAATTAAGTACGGGATCCTCTACTTGGTTTCCTACTTGGATAAACTGAAGGTATATATTTGAACAAAGACAGTAAATCTTTTTTTTTTATACTGAAATGTTTAGAGTATTTTCATTACAAATAGGAATTGCTAGATTTTCAATTGTTATTGTATTCATTCTTACTGTGAACCTAACCCTTGCTCAACAGGAAACCAGTTTTGTCACATTTATCAGATGGAATTTTCTATTATCAGCTAAAGTGTTTTTGTTTTTTAGTATTTGTATGTATTATATATGGTAATGATTATTAATTTGTTATCAATATTTTTAATTAAAATAAATTAACAATTATTTACAATAAATATTGCATATTATATTTTAGTTAATTTTCGTGGTGTGTGATAATATTATGGTGTCCCGTGGGTGATCTACAAAATAAGAAAAAAAATCTGAGTTAAATTGTAAGGAAGGAACGCAAAAATATTTTGCCCCGGGCCGCTGAATTACTTGACACGACTTCACCTGTAACCTACACTAAAACATTGCTAACGATTTGGAGCGAAGTTCGGTTAATATGTTTTGAAAAGCTGTACTATTTACAATTTTCGTTAAAATTTGATTTTAAAACTCTTAAAAAAATAAAAAATATTACATTTTAATTATTATTATTATTTTTTTTTTGAGTTCTAAGTACGACTCATAATGAAGCTCCTGTCAAATTTTCAAGCATTTCTCTCAAGTATAATAATTTTTTTAATAGAGTACCTACCAAATAAATATTACGTAAAAAACTAGCAAAATTTAAATGTCTATAAAATAAAAATAGCTTAAAAATGGATCAATTATTTTGAAAATACCTAAAATGTTTACGTCTAGAAACAGCAAATAAGTTTTCTGTCATAATTTCAAGTCTCTACAAATATATTTAACTGAATTACATTACAAGAACAAAATTACAAAAACGGACATACTTCGCACGGAAAGTTTGGAAGATAATTTAATGTACATCTATAAGCAAAGATAAACTAATAAACCATTGCTAGTGAAAAAATGATTCCGAGCGAAGTTTTGTATGTATTGGTTTTACAAAGATATATTTTTTGTTTTATGTGAACACTTTCTACAAGAAAGCTTAGTCCGATGTATACGACGTAGACTCCTTTCTGAAAGGAAATCTTCTTGGAGTGGTACTTAAGAAAGATAATTTTTCGATTTTTTCAATGTTTACCCTGCAAATTTGAAAAACATAAAAAAAATGGGAAAACCCGGAAAATCGGTACAATATTAAACATTACTAAAAAAAATTTATAATGTCTATTTAATTATTTTACCATCAAGAAAAATGTTGGCCCTCCCTAAAAATGCTGACCTCAGTTTGGTCCACTTGATGTAAAAGTTTTGGCGTTGCCACTATATGGGAACATTGGTTACGACGAGGAAAATTTATAGCAGGAGTGGCTAAATGCATGCTAAGTATATGCTGAATATTGGCACAAAAAAAATTTTAATTTTTGAATGGGGGGGAAGGAGGCTGTTGGAATGTACGTTATTCTTACGGTTTAAAATACTTTTTATTTTTAGTTTTGGAAATTTTATTTAATTTTTTTAAATTGATATTTATTTCTCTATATAAACAGTATAAACTAGGGGTGTTCCCGGTGTAATCGAGTAATAATTTATACGGACACCGGGTACCGAGTATTAATATCTATCAAAAACAAGTCTTTGGACCTAACCGTCGGTCAAGTATTAAGATAAGATAATATATAATAATAATGAAAATAATCGAGTATTAACTAAGAGCTAGTGGCTAAACCACCAGCCGCAAGCCAGTAGTTATTAAGTAATTGCTCAATAAAAAATTAAATAGCAAACAAATAGGTACTTATTAATAAGATTAATTTTCAATTTCAACCACTGCGCGATAATGCAATAAAAATTATTTTTTCGTTTGGCCGATTGCAAACACAAATTTTTTTCTTACTTCATTGACACTTGGTCGATATCAGCAAAAAAATGTAATATTACGACGGGTACAGAATATCATATCGGTTATCCAGTTAGGACTTAACGACCAGATATCCGGAACATTTCTAGTAAAAACCATACGTAAAATATAAAATACTCGATGTGAGGCACGTAGAACGTTAAAGTATAGGTACTCTCGAAAAAATTGATTGGGATACCACTGGTCATACCCAGGGGCGGTGCGTCAGGAGAAACTTTGTGACGGCACGCGGCATCTCCCCAACAATTATAATATGTTACAACAAATATTTTTTCAATTATTTGTTGTAATGTATGTGTAAATCTACTTTTGTCAAATATATTTACTATAATATGTGTATATATATTGCATGTGTGTACACCTATTCTCTCCGGCGGTGGTGTGTGTATAGTGAAAACGTATGAATTACGTTCTGAGCTGCTTTCGGAATTATTGGCGATAACGACGGACGACGACAGTTTCTATTCTAATATATAGGAGGTAAATAAAAATTGGGGGGGACACAGCGATGATGGTTTTTGTATGGAGTCCGTGAGACTAAATCTCTGCCACCGGGTGGCACGTTATTTTATATTCGTTGCGTACATTTGTATAGTGCATCGTAAACTTGTTGCGAGTTTTATTAAAAATATGGAATTAAAACATTGTATATTACATGTATTGACAATGATTTTCATTAATTTATGTATGATGAATAATTTAAATTAAAACAATTGAATAAATACTAATATTTCAAGTAAATAAAATTCAAGTTTATAAATAACCAATAGTTACACAAAATTTAAGTCTCCCCGTAAATTGTATTCACAATTCACGCACCGCTACTGGTCAAAACAAAATCGAAAACTAAACTAATTTTTTAGAAAAAATACATCTAATTATTAAAAAAAAATTGCCTACTAAACATATTTTGTTTACAAATATAATACAATTTACAATACGATATGATAAAGAAAAAGAAGTATTTTCCGTCCGACAGGCACTGAAAACAGATTATCTAAATAGTTTAAAAATAGTCCAAGCTGTGCAATACAATATTATAATTATTGCAATGCACTAAACCATGTAATCGAACACAAAATAATTTCATTATCCAAGGTCATACATTTAGCAATAGGTACATCGTTACAATTGTATACCTACTTCTCAGGTATCACGTTTATTAATATTATGAACTCGTAATATTCGCAATAATGTACAGTAATATTCGTCACATACATATTATAGTAGGTATATTATACACACTGAGTGATTCATTCAAGTGGATGACTCATTGTCTCGGAGAGTATTAACATTTTAAACATTTTTTTTGATAATTAATGAAACCAACAGCTCTAAGATATTACATTACCATTATTTTTGGTGGTGAAACGACTACCTTCTTTTGATTTTCAAATGCCAACATGTGTTAAAAACACCATAGACAAAATATTAGTTTAAATCATATTTTGGGTTTACGAGATATTCTACTTTAAGGTTAAGTAGGGGAGAGTAGCGGGGCATAATTTGTGTGCCACGGGTGGGAGGGCAGTTCAATGGCTACCATCAACAGGAGCGAACCTGTTAACAGCCTATATACCTTACTATGTTACAGTACCTATGTAATGACAAACCGTTTATGTAACAATCCCGTTGAAGTGCGTTTAGAATATTAAATATAGTCTGAACAAGTACGAAAATTCGGCACACATTTGGTCATACCGTTTACACGGTTCGTTCGTGGCTTGCGCATACTGAACGGACACGAACACAACGAATGCTTTCGTTCGTGTTCGGCTAGACCATTTATATGGGTTTGTTGATTCGTCCGTTAGAGTTCGCGCATTCGTTCTTGTTCGGGCCATAGACTATGCCATGGGTCATCAAACCACGGCCCACATTGTCTTTATTTGAGCCGCTCGAGGCCAGTGAATACATTTTAACCAAATATTTTTTAATAATAAAAATTGTATTTTTGCGTAAAACATACGTTTTAATTATGAATGCGGTCCACGATATTTTTCGAAAGTAATAGATGATCCGCGGTCTTCAAAGGTTGAAGACCCCTGGTCTAAACACACCTTTAATCAATCCGTCAATATAACTGAATGGTCGCCGATATTCTACGGCAAGTGTAAAGTAGGTTACTACTACTGTTAACTGTCAAGTACTAATAGATAATATTTGTATACGCATAATGATTAACGTTTATTTATTTTTCAAACGGAGGAATTATTATTATATGCATCTAAAACGGAAATAAATGTCGTCATTGTAAGCAAAATGTAAACGATTTTGTATAGTGTCTATCTTCAGTTTCAAAAACCGTTAATAAATCCCATCGCCGCTCCACCGAGGTCTTTTCCATTATTCTCTATTGTTTGGCACTTTGTCCGTAATATATACCGTTGTAATCTGCACCCCTCTCCTCCCTACACAATACAGTTACGAGGGTCGACTATAACAAACAGAGACCCTCACTCCAAAAGTAAGGGCGTCGATTTGAAATTTCGCGGTCCGTATGGACTACAGAACCCGGTCTATAACCGTTTATAAATACGTACGAAAAAAAAAATATTAAATACTCAAAACGAGACGGAGAGGGGGGGGGTTCACATAGGGTGTTATACATTTTTATTTTAAATTCAAATATTTTCAACTAGAGGTCTATAATGCAAGTCTAAAATACAAGATTTAGGAACACTTAAATCAAAAAAATGTTGTCGATTTTAGCATCTCAGGTTCTGACGATAATTTCTTTTCTTCGTTAACCTTTCAAAAAGTAGTTTCTATCGATTTCTCCAACACTAGTAGATTCAAATGACATTTTATTTTTTACACTGTAAAACGTAATTTATATATATTAACTATTAAAATAAAAAACGGTTTTATACGGGAGGGGGGGAGTTAAAATTTTAATTAAATTGAATTACTCAGTCATATATGTGTAATGTCGGGAGGGGAGAGGTAGATTTCCGTGATGTTTTCTCTCTAAAAATCTGGAACGAAGATATCTTAATCCATAGTACATACCTACAGATGAAAAATATTATTTAAGACCATGTGTAGGGTGTGCGGGAGTAAAGTTCCACACGGGCCTGCCGTGAAAAATATCTCATGCATCCCACATTTGTAATTACGCAACTACTAGGTAGGTTATAACTTATGTGTCACAATTATGGAGGCATTTTTTTTAAATTGTGTTAAATGTAATAAATACTTGTTTTTTTTTGGCTTTTCTGTGTTGACTTTATTTTTGTCTTTTGTGCAAATGGTTTAATAATTACAGTTATTATTTATTTTAAGATTTTATACCATTTTTATCATTATAAAACAGTTATCAACTGAAATATAACCAATCACCACTCACTATTTACTATGGGTCTCTAGCAATGTGTGATGTGAATCGAGTTACGTTCTCTGGATGGCTGGAGTATATCTATTATACCAGTTTTTCTCAACGAGGATGAAAATTATTCCTCTCTAGAATGGAATTTCGGTACTATAGATAATATAGCGATGACGAAATAGTAAAAATGAAATATAAAATGTGTAAATTCACCATATCTTAAATTAAAAACAATTTATTTCATATTACAAAGGGGACGTAAAATAAAAAATAGTTGGGAAACACTGATCCGTACATAAGTACGGTATAATGGAATAATAAATAGATAAAAAAAAAGCATTGAAGAGGATCTATCACCGTAAATACGCCACTATGCCTATCATAATGTTGTATATAGATATACGATACACCTACGACAAAATTGATAGTCGATAGGAATGCGTCAGCATAGCGATAGTGTGATACAGTGGTCGCTGCCCTCTCCACAAGTTAGTCTGCACTTCCAATTGTCGAATATATCCACAGATTCATAGAACTACAGTGGGCGAGATGCGCTAGTTCGGACGATGCGGTCATACTCATATTATAATATTTTGTCATGGGCGTACGTATACATTATATAATATTTTATTTGAACTTTGAACCGTTGATTTAGATATCAAACCACAAATATCGAATACAATAACACAATTACGTCATCTGTATATTTGTAAGATTAATATAGCAATAATCTAAATAACATCAAATTGAGTATACAGGAGGGTGAACATTTTATCGTGAGCCAGCAATTTTCTCAAATAATTCTAAGTGAATTGAATTTCTGTTTTTTTTTTTTTTTTCAATCATCGTTTAAGCTTTATTTTAAAACTATTTTTAATCTTTTACCCCAACTTACCTTAAATAATTATATAGATACTTTTGATTTCACAGAGGAACTCCTTTTTTTTAAAAACATATTCGAATTGGAGAACATTTTTATAAAAATGTTGACAGGAATAATACATTTCATATCCATTTTTAGAAAATAAATTCATAACCTTCCCTTACCCCTCCGGTCTAAACTTTAAGTGTTATAAATCATAAATGGTAAATCCAATATTAGTGTTACACATGTGAACATGTTTAGAAAAATATTCTATATTCGAATCAGTGTTCAAAAATGGAGAGTTTCTGTATGAAAATAATAACTATACAGGGAGTAATCGACAAATTGATTGTTAATTCGAAAATGTCTGATTTCTATCAAACCGTCGATGAGATATTTTACTTTAAAGTTTAAATAGAAAGAAAATGGTGGAACAGCTTTAAAACGACATGAGATGTCACACAAATGATGCATCACTACTTTCTCCCCGTCGAAATTTAAAAGTGAAATATCTCAACAACGGGTTAACGGAAATTAAAATTTGTTAAAGATTTATTAAACTAACACTTCGTCCATGAATGTGATTTTTAATATAGGTTGTCATTTGAAAATCAAAATTACGTACTTAGTGGTTTCACCTCCTAAAATAAGGGTAATAAAAAAAGAAAAGAAAAGAGAGTATGATATTTATATGATATTTTAGAGCTAGGTACTTATTTCAAAAATCTTTTAAAAATTAAAACCAAAGTAAATATTTTATTCCGGGATATTAAGTGTGTTACGTCATGTTGATCACCCTGTATATTAATTTAAGGTATTTGAAGTAGAATAAAAGTTTAAAAAATAAAACTTTAATGATTCTACAATAACTGAAAAAACCAAACAAAAATCAAATTCACCTAAAATCTTCCAAGAAAATTGCTGGTTCGTGAAAAATGTATCACTTTGTATATTGCGATTTTAGATAAATCAAATTAGATTTCCTGATGAAAAAAAAAAAAAAAAGCCGTAAACATACAAGTATTACAATTTATAATATAGCAGAGGTAGCCGACGTGCGATGGCTTGCGTTTTATTCCGGGGGGACGCAAAATATTTCTATAGGTACTAATACTTAATACGTTTCATAAAAAACAAATTAATATTCAAACATGATACCACAAATCTATAAATTATTTTATTATATTTGACAACGGCCAATTCATATAATAATACGAGGTATGTCCCGAAAGTAAGTTCCATTTTGTAATAAAAGAAGAACAAGTATACAGATACAGTAAAAAAATTTATTTCACAAAAATCTAGAATCCTTGGCCCTTAGCCACTATTTTTCGACATAGCTCCCGTGATTTTCCAGGCATTTGTCATAGCGTGATACAAGTTTTTGTATACCATCGTCGTAGAATATTGCCGCCTGTAGTGTCAACCAAGTGGTAACATGTTTTTTCAGCTCTACATCGCTGTTGAAACGCTGACTGCCAAGGAAAGACTTCAGATGCAGAAACAGATGAAAGCCACTAGGAGCGAGGTCGGGGCTGTACGGAGGATGGCCAAAAACGTCCCAGCCAAAACTCTGTAGGAATGTTTTTGTCACATTCGCAACGTGTGGTTGGGGGCATCGTCACGAATGAAAATCACGCATTTTTTGAGCATTTCTAGGAGAATTTTCTTAAGCGTCTCGCAATTAACATCTTTATTGGTTGTTTCACCTCGTAACAAAAAATCAATCAGTAAAACGCCTTGTCTATTCCAATTTCACAAGCGGTAGAATTTTTGATTAACTCGAACACTATGAACAAGCGCTACGAAGTACACAGAACCAATAGCGAGCTCAAACTGGCGTAATTTCATTCTACTTGATACAGAAACTGCCACGCATGTGCGAAACTGCGATCGCAGAACTGCCACGGAGAAAAATGAAAACGAAATTTGCTTTCTGGACATACCTCGTATTTTAATGGTATCTACTTTGGCCGAAAACTCGAGAATCAACATTTTCAATCCCGGGTCTTTTTACTCTCTAAATCCCTCAGATACGGATTTCAGAATAACTCGAAACACCCAATCTTTCTTGTTCAATATTTGCAATTTAAATAATATGGCGGTGTGAACACTACCGGTTAGGAACCACTGTGTTTAAATACTGTGTTGTACAAACATGAGTGCCGTACGAATAATTACTTTTTTTTACTAATAATTACTATTTTGAAAACGATAAATCATCGTAAAACGCGTATTTTTAATCGTAATAACTAATTATATATCATATTATAGTATAACGAATATAAGTACCTATAAGTATAATATACCTATATTCTATATATTATATTGTTATAATAATATTATAATTACGATGGCTCTTCACTCGGTAAAAACGGACGGAAAATATACCTAAACGTTTTAAATTCAGTATTGTTTGTACCCACGTACAATATATATTGTGCAAGTTTTCTTTCGTTTCTCGGCAGCATCGGTAATTGAAATTATTTCATTGTTCTATTCCAGATCCGTGCAATTTACAATATTTTTAGCGTTAAAATAAAATTTTCCAATAACGACGTCAGCGGCTCGTTCTGCAAATACCTCCTTCAACGGCTTTGTACATTTTACCATTATAATACAACCGACTTTTTATGATTTTTTGACTAATTATTTAATATTTCATTTTAACACCGATGCACATGAATATAGATTTTTTGCAAAAGCGATGTAGATTTAAAAAATAGCAATAAAAAAACTATAGGTATATTTATATTATGCAGCGTTTCACTAAAATAGTAACACGAAATATTTGAGAAAGACTTACGATTGAAATAGAATTTTTTTAGGCAGATCAAAGGTTCAAAATACAAATTTTGAGACTATTTTGAAAGTTTTAACTCTTGCAATGTACGCATGCAAAATAAAATGTATACGTTATTAAATTGAAATAATTATTTCTAGCATCAGATTTGACAAGTACCTACATACAATTTCCGTATTAAAAATACGATTTTTCAAAATATTTAAATCTGAAGATGTCACAAAATTTGAATAATTTGACTCGACTAAGTTTGGGTTTAGTTTGGGGAAAGGTTATATAATATGTAAAGTTATTTATAATATTACATATAAAGTACATTGTTTTAAATTTTTTGAAAAATCGAGAAAAAAATAAATTTTTTTATGAAATATAGCTAATGGTTGTAACCCCGACAAATTTCTATTCTAAACGTATTTAATCGGTTTTACTATGTATGCTTTTTTTTATTTTTTATTCATTTCGAATTTTGTTGATGTACTGCATATGTCATTTTTCATTTTCTAAATGGTTTTCATAATTGTTGGGAAAAATCAGAAAAAAAAGTAAAAGATAAAAGACAAATATTTACGGCGTCTTAATATTTTATTATTTTAAATTTTTTCGATTTTTGTTTTCTACAAGCTATTTTTCACCGAAATTTAAGAGTAATATTCTTTCTGAAAAGATATTTTGTTGGTGCGTAATTAGTGGTGTAATTGGTGCGTAAGAAAGAAGTTTTTGATTTTCCGTGCAAATTTCTTAACACATGGACGAAACCAGGAAAAAACGGAAAAGTTTACGAGAATAACAACGGTTTAATTATTTAAAATTTTTGTTTTTTTTAAAGTCATTCAGTTGAAATATGTATTAACATAAAATGTTCACGGAATATTTATATGTGACTTTGCTTAACGTTGTAAAATGTTTAAAACATACTGACGATTTTTAAGCTATTTGCAAGAATTTAACATTATTGAGTTTTTATTTATTAGTAAAGCATACATAAAAGATCCAATGGATTTTATAGATATATAACAGATAGATTTTTAACAGGTAAACAACACAATTAATTGAAATTACATTCAATTTCAAATACACACTTTCAATTTAGAAATTAAAATTAAATTCTTTAATTCGTTATAGACTTTGGCAAACGACAAATTGGACTATTGTTAACATACTTTTTAGAAGTGGAGCATGAAAACGTAATTTATCTGAATTTAAACGCAAGAACATGAAACCCGATTAGAGATAGAAGTTTAGTACAGTTTTGTTTATGTTATCATTAAATAATTTCTATAAAAATGCTACATTGAAATACTTACGCCACTTAATTGCAGTAACTAGGTCAATACGGTTAGCGATATTAGAAGTTCATGTATTTCTAAACCCCGCAGATCTTCAACTTAGCTGCACTGAGAAGGGTTCTACACACCACAGACCCAAATAATAGAATCGATATTACTAATAAACTATTGAATGCAATAAGACAATGTGGGTCTTTGAAATCAGATCAAGTATTTTATATAAACCAAATACTCTCAAGGATTTATTGTATACTAAGTTTATATGATCATCAAAACTAAAGTCTTTAGAGAAAACTATTCCTAGATTATGGACTTGATTGACTCACAAGATCTGTTGTACATAGTGTATTTATGGTTAACTGGGGTTTGGAGACGATAGAAGGTAAATGGGTTCATTTAGATACATCTACAAAAAGACTATTAGCAGCTTCACCAGACACCGAGGCTATTCAAATCCGAATGTAGATAATTGGAATTACCAATGAGATTATAATATGAATCTTCAAATTATTAACGAAGAGCGAAAAACTACCAATATTGAAAATCTTCGCTACATTATTAATAAATATTAAGAACTGTATTGACCACTTTATTATTATTATTAATATTATTTATTATAGAATGAAAAATACAAAGTAATAAACACAATAAACGCGATTAGGTTAAATTATGAGACGCACAAACCGATTATACAAATTATCCGTCATCAAACTATATTCAGAACACAGAATGTTCAAGTTATCTAGTTTTTCTTTCAAGTAATCGAGGTTTTCGCAAGGGAACAGCATTCATTTCGACTTATCGAGATTCCACTCTATTAACTAAAAGTAAAATTGAATTGAAAATCGAGATAACGGTATTACTTAAAATACGACCACAGAAAGTTAAAAGAATCAGTAAAGAATGCAATGAAACTGCAAAAGAAGAGTCAATAATTGTTTGAAAATGATAAACACAAGTTTCACGCTAGAATCTAACAAGTTATAATTGATACTGCATCTATTAGTGTAAGGTTTAATGTTTTAAATCAATTGATAGAAGATGCTTTCTAAAAAATTTAAAAAAAGAAATGCAAATGTGAGTTTGATCAAAAAAAAGCTGTACATCTTTTTCAAAAATGAGTAGTGTGTGAACGAGAGGACCTAGTATCTAATTAATACCATTTATAATAATATTTCAAGTAATACATGGTATAAATCAAATGTGATTGTGACCAATGGAAGGTTCGTCAAAAGGGGGGATCATGGCCAGAGAGACATGTCTCCTTCTTGCCCACCCTCCCTAAATGGATGCCCATGACTCCAATTCAGAAAATAACAATGAAGAAACTTGTTATATGAAGTATACGTTTTTCCAAAAACGTGTACTTATGTATTTAAAAGTGTATTTATGTACATTTAGATTATTAAAAAAAATAAATTGCCTCGAACACATATTATAAATCATAATAAAGTGTATTTATTAATGACCATCTTAATCGTCTTTTTAAAGCAAATTATAAATTATGGCTTTTGCCAAGTCATTTCGTAAGTAAATTGCCAGTAAAGCCTACAGTACCCAGACCGACCATTGTGTAATACTCGTCTAAATAAATACATATATTATTAATAATAATTACTATTTATGTAAAAATACCTCTCGCTACAGAAAAATATACACAGGTATAATTGTTTTAACCATAATTTATACATCTGTGCCACTGTTGTGGTATTGAAAATGAATGGGTTGTACACACAGCTGTACTCTATTTAATTTTTCATCTAAAGAATAACAATTAATCTTCATATAGTTATATTATAATGTACAATATGCAATAGAATCCTGGTGGTTTGTTCGCAGCCACGTAGATATAAATCGACAAAAAATAATGATAAGATTTTGAACATCCCTACAGTGCTGTTATATATCGAACAAACTATATTGTCACTCTCATCGCCAACTATTAATATAAATTTAAGATGGTTCGAAACGTTTTTCAATTTTAAAAACACGAATCAATTTCAACAACCTTAAATAAAAAATTGAATCACTAATTAGCTATGACTTATATTTATGATAAAAATTATGTATGTTTAAAGAATAAAATATTTTTTAAATGTGATTTTTACTTGGAGAGGAGACATAATCACTTCACCACCTTTAAAATAAACACAGTGGTGTTTAGATTTTAAATGAGCAAACATAATAGATTTATACACTTGTATGATTTATAAATAACCATTCCAATAACACAAGTAATATTATACTATTATATTATTTATCAGATTTCATTTTATAAGTATCAAGTTTTTATAACTTTTTTCATTCGTTATTTTAAGTTCTACAAATAGTTGTATTATTTCATTTTTAATACATGTTAATAACAGTACGATATGGTATTACATACATTAAAATATTCTATACCTATATATATATACCCCGAAAAAAGTCAAAAAATTGATTTTTGCCTACATTCTGTGTAAATATAAGTTATTAGATTAGGTTTATTAGTCATAAATTCTTTTTGATTTTTGATAGGTATGAATTTCCATGTGTTGTTATTTATTTTTTTTATTTTTTATTCGTCTTTGGGATTAATTATTAATTGTCAAGTCTTAGTTGTAAAAATTAAATGCCTAGATGTGTTTATTGTAGAAGTGTACCACTTATTTGTAGAGTTCGAATCAATTTTGACCTGTAAAAAAATCCATCAGACTAAGAAAAAAAAAATACTCCAAGTGATTTCCTTATAAATACAGTTCAACTTCCGTTAAAGGTCATTATTTCCGATCCATTCAATGACCGTTATATGGAAGTTTTACTGTATATAAGGTTTTGAAGTATATTTCCGGTTGATCTCACTAAACTTTTTGTAACATTGATACACTAAACAAATATTAGTCTTGGTGTAGAATATCAACTGCCAAAACATTTAATCTAAGATTTGTCTAAGTGTACCGAAATAAAATGTCTCATCGAGTAGGTCCACTGGACATAAGTAATATTTTTTTATAAAGTTTATTACTATATATACAATCTGTAATTATATTCACGACACCAGCGCCTCTTAAGCCTTTTTGACGGATATCCGAGAATATTAATCGAGTTTAGAGAAAGAATATGAGGATTTGAGTGGTTCGCAAGGCGACAGCGAAAACGCTTATAATACGATGTAGCCACTTCAGCGACAGTCTGTATATTAAGATCAGAGTGCAGAGTGTGATTCAAAACGAAGAAGGGCGCATTATTTATTATTCGGAGGGGAATGGATTGGAAGGTTTGGATGGATTGCATTTTATAAATGGTAGATTTTTTAGCCGCTCCCCATAATTGGACTTCATAGGCCCAGATAGATTTTGTAGAGTAGCAATTTATCTTTTAAATAGAGCTTGGACTGCTTGCTTAATAGAGGATATAATAACTTACGTCTTAAGTTTAGGAAGAGCCTTTTTTGATATGATTAGCCCATGTTAAGTGTTTGTCAAGTATCAAACCTAAGTACTTGATACTAGAAACCGCTGAGATAATTTTATTAGACAGAAAAAGGAGTATGGCCCATAGCCTAAGAGTGAAAGTAATATGTGAATATTTTTCAGTGTTTATTTTTACATTCCATTTGAAATACCATTCTTCCATTTAGTTAAGATGACTTTGTAATTGTTGGCTGGTGATAAGGGGATTGTTATTAGACGTAAAAATGACTTTGTCATCGGCAAATTCGGCAACTGTGGTGTAAGGAAATACGTGTTGATCCACCATATATATATTTTACAGAGTGGAAGACAAGATAGCCTCTTAAGGTACACTGGCTAGGATAGGTGCTAAATCAGAGAACTCAGAACCTACTTTAATTATAAAGTGGCGACTTTCTAGGTTCAACTTAAAAAATAGGGAGTACGAAGAGGGAGAATTTTTTTAAAATTTAAACAAAAGACCCGTATGCCAGACCTTGTCAAAGGCTTGAGCAACATCCAGTAGGATAGCCGAACAGTAAAGTTTTGTTTTCCAGAGAATAGGAAATAACGTCGGTCAGGCGATGAACTTAATGGATAGTGGAGTACTTATTTTTAAATCTGAACTGGATATGAGGGACTTCTTTTTTATCATTAATGAATACTGAAATGCGTTTAAGAACACTGACCGATTTTAACTATTGAAAGTTTAAAAAACAACAGTGTTTTTGACTAGATAATTTAAAAATAACTTAGTACTTTTCCCACTGAATAGATACTATAAATAGAATGAACTAGGTACTCGATAGTCTGATAGTTTTCTATCGGTAGTATTGGCACAGACTGGTTTACAAAACAACTGAGTGTTTTTTCAACTGAATAGATACTGTCGATAGTCGATAGTTTTTAAAGACAATTAAGTAAATAGATAGTTTGAAACTATCAAGTAGTACGATAGATTTCACTCGGTAGTGACCATCACTAATGAAAGGTAGTATGAAATTTAGACGATCATCAATATTTTTAACACGCATACGATAAAAATTGAACAATTTATCCGGGTAAGACCGTAATTTTCATTCTTAAGTTAATAAAACTGTCCTTTCATTAATTGCTGTGATATTATCGGTTGTACTCAATGTCCTCTTTTCATTTTCTTCCTTCTTCTTAACTCGAAAGCGCAAACTGTAGTTATTTCGGCAAATCCATGATGAAACTGAACGAATGTTGTGTCGCGTGACACGATAGTTTCGTTAAGTTTCGTTTCGCATATGTGAGCGCGGTTATGATCAAACTGTTGCGCAACTATCTACGACTAAAAATTGCCCGTCAGCGATTAGCCTTAAGTATCATAATTTTATTTTTAATTGTTTTTCTTTAACCAGATAAAAATAATATATAAAATAGATAAATTTCCAGCAAATTAAATGAAATATTATAATTTCTCAACAATGCTTATAATTTATTTATAATGAATGGAAACATTATTTGTAGGATTGTTTTAAAATAAAATTTCTGGGTTTGAAATTTGACAAATTTAATGAAAATTATAAGTGTCAATGCAACTAAATTGTTTGTTATTTATGACTCTTTTGAATTACATATCTTTAAATCATCTAAAATAAGTTAAAATATGTATTATTTTAGATAGTAAAACATTTATTCAACATTGATCATGATGACACATGAATCAAGGAAAATAAAGAGCTGATATTTCGAGATTTACATAAAAAAGTAACCAATAAGTTCAAAACAGCAGCGAGTACCTAATATTGTTTTACATTCTCGTTCATAATAACTCATAATTATAGGTATGTTGTTATAAACTTATTATAGTTTTCTAATTAATTATTATACATATAAAGTATCACTCGAGCTAATTTAGAAAGTATCACCATCAAATACACTTTATACATCAAATTTAAGTTTAGGGGTAAATTAAGAAAAATTCTAATTGAATCCTTAAGTTCAATTATTAAATTCAAGATGTGTTTATTATAAGTTAAAATACAATCTGAGAAATCTTTAATGTAAAAGTTCTCAATTTTTAATATTTAAATATTATAGATGCATAAAGTTGTTTTCATATTTCGAGTTTAGTATTTACACTAAAAATAAATGATTTTCATTTTTAGAAATTTTAAAATTATTGAAAAAATGGGTACTTATTTTGTTATAGCCATCCTATTCTGTTCTCAATAGTCAATATTTGTATAAGGTATACAAAATAAATTTATTTAGAACCTAGCTTAACTGTAATACAACTTGGTTATTATGAAAATACAACCAAACTATTATAGTAAGTGCATATCAAAATATGTATTAGTTATTCATCAAGTAAAAAAAAAAAATAGAAGTGAACAAATGAAATATCAATGACAAATTATGTACAGTTGACCTTTAACAGGCTTTGATCAATGACAACAAATGACAAGTGATGATAAAAATGGTAGTGGAGTTAGTACCTATGATATATATGATAAATGGTGCACATAATATTAGTATTCAATAGCCAATTTTATCCACTAATGTAGTATTTAATTAACCTAATAAATTTTTAGGTATTATTTCTTTTTATAATTTTGTATAATTTATCAATTTATCAATCAAATATTACCATAACATAGTAAAATAATATTTTCCGAATAAAATAAGGTGTTGATAAATAAGGAGACAATAAAAATTAATTACAATCCATAACTGGCTGTAGTATCTAAATATTTTTTGTAGATTTGTTCGCACAAAGGCATCTAAAAAATATGATTAAGAGTTAATTCAAACCCTAGTATTAGACAGATCTCCTTGATTACGTAGTAGTCCAGTACATTAATAGTTGTTGACTTAATCTGCAATTATATTTGACCAAAATGCAAAAAATGTAGGTATATTAGCCGCATGGTGAAAATAACAATTGAGTATAACAGTAGGTACTATCATAGTGTCTATAAATATATAATTCAGTACTTATTGTTGTAGTTTCATAAGTAGAATACTTAATTTTTAATTTTTAAATATATTTATATTGTAATAAATGTTCTAAACAAAGTGACCAATATAACATAGAATAGAAAATATTACTTTAAGAAACAAGCAGCTCTAAAATTGTCTATTTCCCTTAAGATTAGTTGTGAAATCATTACCACATTGTGATTTTCAAATAACAACGAATATTAAAAATTCCATAAATAGATTAAGTTTTAGTTTAAATATACTTTTCTGTGTTGAAATATTTATTCCCATCAACTAGTTTACGATATATTTCACTTTTAAGTTTTACCTCAAGAGAGACAGTGAAAATAGCGTGCCACATGACGATTGAATAATCCACTACCTACAAAATGATAAGTGTTAAAATTTAAATATCTCATCAATAATTTGGCAAAAAACCAAAAATGTTTTATTAAATTAAAAATTCATCTAATTTTGATATTTTTAATATAGATTGCCATTTAAAAATCAAAATGTGATACCCAACCATAGTGGTGACAAAAAATAAGCGAAATGAATATATTTCAGAGTAAATTAGTTTCCTAAATTCTAAAAAAAAAAAAAAAAAAATCTATTACAAATTTAATACTTTGTGAGATAACGAGTTTTCATTATATTGATCACAAAGTATGGCATGCAAGATGTATAGATGTAAATTTTAAAATTATATTATTAGTTTTAATAAATAATTAAATCAGATTAATCAGAATGTGGAAAGTTTTATATTACATTTTAAAATCTGTATTTGTTTTTTTATTATTGGTAACACTAATAAAATCATAATATACTTACGATTCTTGAATTGTTTAAATAAAATTCCAATTATAATTTGTAACTTGAAAAATAAAATAATATCCTATATACTGATACTCTCAACAATGGTAACATTATATAATATAGGTACTTATAAAAACAATTTTATAGAATCAAAATTAAATGAATTGTGTAAGTTGATTAACTTATAGTTTGAAAAAAAATAAGATAAATATTTAATATTTACTAATGATTAATTTCACGCTTTTTCAACTTATAAAAAATTAAATTAGAAAGCAATAGATTACAATACTGATACAATAATGTGATTAAATGATAACATCCATTTCATTTTGCCTTCTTGTTGAGAATATAATGTAATAATAATATATTTATATATACAAGGAAATATTTTATTTTCCGTGTTTGGACTTAATTCTATATAATTATTTTTGTTTTAAATAGTTTGCTCTGTCAATTCAAATTTAATAGGCAGAGCTACTCACAAGCAATTAGGCTCATGTCTAAATAATTTACTTTAAATATCATATACCTAGGTTCTGGTTACTTGAGTATGTCATCCTGATTAATATTATCAATAGCCAGTCTCATTATATTAACTTTAATGAATTCCCTACTCAATATTAGTTGGTCCATTGTATAAATTCTATTACTACTGTAATATATTTAATATCCACAAATATTTAATCGAACTATGTTTATGTGTATATGTTTTAGGTAATAATTTTATTTTTTCAATATAGTTACTTAGTTATCACTGGTTAGTTATTGCATAATTTAACTCAATACACTTTATAATATAATTATTAGATATAATTCTTAACAACCATAATAACTCTGATAATGACAGATAAATTAGTTATGTTAAATGGCTTTTAATTATTATCTAGTATAGTATATTTAATTTTTTTTTTCTAAAATTTTAAAATCGGGTGAAATAATTTTAGGGATACTAATGAAGAAATATTATTATACACAGTCAAAGTAGTAAAACATATGTTTAAATACTCCTATTATATAATTATATAAAAATGAACGAATCATTTTGTATTTTTTTTCCACTTTATAACTAAGTATAAACCTAAGCAACTGTTAAGTACCTAATTCAATATAGCTTCAATTGTATCACAATAAAAAATTTACTTAGCCACATTGACAAAAAAATAAATTATAAAAATATATGAAATACCTAAAATAATTATTATTAATACCTACAGAAAATACAATATTACTAAATAACATCTTTACAATGATTATGTTTAATTTTACAATACTTTTTGTAAGTTTTATTCTATTTTTGAAACTGTTAATATGTATTTTAGAGTATACAAAATTTTGATAAGTACCTAGTTGTCGTTAAATGTTGTGTGAAAACTTGACTTATGTATACTACGAGAGCCCCCAATTTTTATTAGTAAACGATTCACAAGTAATCACAATTATTTTATTTGAAAACACCTAAACTTCATCTTTAAATATAATTAAAACCAAGTACATATTATATATTGTTGGTATTAACTGAATCTATAATAACACCTAATAAATATACTATTGTTGTTATATCAGAAAGGGGATTAAATGGTACATTGAATTAAATAAATATGGGAATATTTATCGGACAAAGTACCTGTTGCTGTCTATAAAATATTTCAAGTTTAAACCATAACTTAATAATTAATTCCGTAATTAAATATAAATTCATATGTAGAGATAAAAAAAATATATTATATGCCCATTATATTAATACTTATGTACTTCACTGGAGACTTAAAAAACATTTTATTGTAGGTAGATGATATTATTATATTACTATTAATTACCTTAGTTTTCTTTTAATTTATTATTTAAGTTGTCTTAATGAGTGTTGTGTATCCTTAGTATAAACGGCAATGGCTTAATTCCTAATTGACGTGTGTGCACACCAAAATACTATATATTTACTAGGATTTCTTTGTTTGCTTTCTCATAGACTGAAGTAGCCAGTAGTGTTGTAGGATTAATCATAGAAGCGGTAGTAGTAGATAATATGTGACTCAAGCTATTTTCTGTGTTTCTTTACAAATCGAAATGAAACGATAAAATAGAGACCGACAAAACAAGACACTGCAACACGAAAAAAAAAATATCACGATAGAAAAAATATTAGCTTGATAATCATGTTTATATATGGTCATAGTTGCCTATTTACATAGTAATATTATAGTATATAATTAATGCGCTAGCGGTTAATATAACTAAAAAAATAAGAAAAAATGAGTTGGTACCTAGCAAGATGGAACGTTACAAGCTTAGTGTATATTGACCTTGAATCGGTTTAATTAGTATTCATTAATATTATAATAAAATATAGATTAACGAAATAAGTACCTAGTATGATAAACATATAATAATTTTAACCTAACTCGCCGAATATATTCGGAGTCTTAGGTAGGTAGGTAGATAGGTAAATATATTTTGAGATCTTGTGTGTACGATTATTATACTTACCACTGAGTTAAAATGTAGCATTAAACAGTAACCCGAAAAAAGAACTTCTCCGGCCGAAATGAAATGTTGTATTTTTTTTTTATTTTTTTTAAACAGGATACAAGTTAGCGAAGATTATTTGAAGTTAGATTAATTAAATCATTAAAAAAGAGAATATAAAAAAATCGCGTTCGTCATCCAAGCTTGTGTCTGTTTGATTCTGACGATTCTGTGAATGTCGAATGAGATATTCAATTGAAATAATTTAATTTTGATCGTTCGAGCGCGTACAAAATGACAAAGAAACGGAAAAATGTCATAATGTATAGGTAATAATAGTAAACACGGAGTGAAAAGATAATGATGTATTAAATTTTATTATAATTATTAATATTACATATTACAACAATTATTACAGTAATTGATAGCGTCATAGAGTGTAACCAAAATATCAAATATACAATCTGCCATTCTACATTGTACATTCTTACCGAGAATCAATGGGACTCTTTCGAAGTTTCATGGAGAAAAGAATCGTACATCAGTGTCGCCACACCCGCAGAAAGCAGCGCAACCAACATCATTTTGCGCGGCGATTGACGTCACGGGCGGGCAGTGTGATTTTATCAGAATAATAATTAATTGTTTATTTATAAATAAAAGTTATTTATTAGCGTAGAAAAAAGAAAAGAAAATTATTCAGGGTAAATTCGAGTGCCGCCAATCGCTACCACCATCGTCGTCGTTACTACCGTCAGCCTGACAAAATCTACACACCGCTGGCGTTTGTTGTCAAATTGTTAAAATATAGTTTTGTTTTATTTTTGAAAACGATTATAAGTATATACTCAGGTGAACGTCGCGCTCAATTGTAATATATTATTAATACTATAAATGACAATATTATAACCATCGGTGTCATTGCATTTTTATTTATTGTGTGCGTTTTATTTGTTTCTGTGTGTGTTTGTGTGTGTATGTGTTTGTTGCATCAGACCCTAATGGCTGATCAGAGGTTTTGTTTGCGATGGAACAACCATCAACCCAACTTGGTGAATGTCATGACCGGTTTGTTGAACAACGAAATGTTCGTCGATGCAACCATCGCTGCGGAGGGACGGAAAATTCAAGTGCACAAAGTCGTGTTATCCGCTTGCAGCAGTTATTTTCAAGTAAATCGATTTTGCTTATTTCTTATAGTTTTCCTTAATCAATTGCGTATGACTAATCCAAATGCAGGTACAAATGAAATGAATCATAAATTGTGTGTGGTGGTACCCATTACCCAATAAATTGTATGACAATTATAATAAGAATGCATTTTCGAAGATTATGTCTAAATTCTGATAGATAACACTAGTCACTAAGTAGCCCCTTTGTAAGTAGTGAAATGGTTGATGTTTGAAACAAGTTACAATACCTGTCTACAAACCAATACTACGCACATTTTAATCACTAGGGTCAAATTATATTATTGGCAAATTACAATAATAATAATGCAAATACTCTATACCTAGATTTTATCTAAACAACAAAATCCCTACCTATTATATAACTATCCATTATAATTGTAGAAGAAATCATTAAATACTTTTCTGGTTTAATATATTATTGCAGTTTATCTTAAATAAGTTATTTTTTAATGTTTTAATATGTTTGATACCTATTTCATTAGCTTAACATGGGTATCTATGGCCAATTAAATGTTGATATATTCATAATATAAATTATTATTATCGATACAAATATTACATTTTTTTTTCAACATAAGTTTATTTTGATAATTAGGTATGCAAACAAACAAAATTTGCATTTTAAAGATAAATGTGTAAAATGAATAACAAGCTGATAAGAAAATATACAACTATAAATACTAACCTAGGTATTGGGATACTTAAATAATAAATATATATTATATCTATATAATATATTATTAATTAACATTTATATTTATATTATATAATTTATAGGTATCATTTTGTAGGTATGATTGGCTTTTATTTGAATGATATATTAAGTGATTTTTAAATGTTTATTTGTTATTTTTATAATAGGCAATTAACTTACTTTGGAACTAATCTATATGGTGTCTCAGCATTAACACAATTTGTGATATTAATAATTAACTAGATTAGACTATCTAGTTGACATTAGTTAATTGAATTAACATATTGTTCTAGATGCTCTTCAATGAAGTTCCCTGTCAGCATCCAATAATTATCATTAAAGACATGTCTTACAATCATTTGAAGACATTAATTGAATTTATGTACTATGGCGAAGTTAATATTTCACAAGATCAACTTCCTATAATTTTAAAAGTAAATTCATTTATTTTATTTTTTTAAATTTATTTACAATTTTATATAGTACTTATTAATTATTAATAGTTTACCAATATAATATAATTAGGCAGCAGAAAGTTTGCAAATTAAAGGCTTAACTGAAAAAACAATGTTTCCATTTGCTACAACACGACCAGCAGAAACAGAATATAGTTTGTTGTCTCCATCAGCTAAACGCAAAAAAATGCACCTTATAAAAACATCCAGTGAGAAATCTGAACATAACAGTTCTATTGAAGATATTTCAGTAACCGAACAAGATAATATGTCATCTGTATGTATTTTAATCAATAAAAATATTAATTAAGTTAATAATCTTATGTATTAATAAATAAATAAATATATATATATATATATATATATATATATATATATACATATATATTATATATTTACAGAGATCTCAATCTACACCACAAGGACAAGAAACTTCAAAATCTATTAGTAGTGTAAGCAAACAATCATCTACAGAAAATAATACTACAATTGTTCATCATAAACCTGAAAGTATGTTTGATAACCTAATATAATTTTGTAGCTTGGTACTTATTTACTATTTATTATTAATTAGTTAAGTTTAATAAGAGATTATTATTATTTTTGTACATTTTGATTCTGTTTTGTATTTAGTCAAACTTTTTAACAAAATCATTATAATATATCTCTTGAAAATTAATGTATATAAGAAAGCATGTTCATGTTTGATTCATTTACACAGTTTTGTAGGATAATAATTATAATTGCTAAGCGAATCCAAAATATGAGTAACTATTTAGATGAGTGAATAGTTTCAAAAACGTTCAACCTGTAAAATGCTCTTTATATTAAGAGTTGCTTAATTGCATATTAAAATGTCTTATTATATTTCTTCTTCAAAAATTAGGTATTCGTTCAATATGCAATGTACCAAATAACATTAAGCTATCATTAGTACAATAAGTGATCTTCTAAATTATTATTTATTATTTAAAAAAAATAGCTGTAATCACTTTTTTTTTGAAAACATGTGATCTTTTTATTGTTAAAAGTATGAGAACTCTAATAATTTGATTGGGTAAATATTTTTCTAATTTTGATTTCTATACATCCATATTTTCCATACATTATTGTGAATTATTTTTATGTTAAATGTTATTGAGGATAAGTGGTTTTTAATTTTTATCTTTAGGTACATTAAAATTCTTATTTGCCTATGTAATGTACTAGACTGAATATTTCTGCTACATAATCTTAAATAAGTCATTTAATTCTTAAAGGAATACAGCATTATCTGGAATTGTAAAACATAGAAATGAGGCAATATTCGGAATGATAAAATCTGAAATGGAGAGAATCTGTGTGAAAAAAAAAAATTAAAACAGGATACTTACTATGAACCTACCGATTTTTCTTATTTAAAATGTTTCATTTTTGTTTGACAAAAAAAGTCTTTAAACTTTGCCGTTCTAGTTTTTATTTTTGTTCCAGATTTTGCCTTTCTAAATAATGATATATGTCTTATCCTAATTTTAATTTAATTAAAGCTCAAATCTAAATTGACCTCCTTAATTTGTATATTTTTATTTTCACTTATTTACTACAATTGTGAATCATCATAACTTGTAGGTTTAATATTATATATCTTTTGGTACCAATGCCATAAAATATTCATAATAACTTGGATGATACTAAACTATATTACATTTAAATGTAAAAAATTTGTGTTTTGAAAATATTGAGTATTGTGTGTGGATTCTTTTAACAGTACACTAATGTTACATCCCATATATTTTCATAATATACAGAATATCTTTTTATTTTTCCACAATATTTCTTAAAATTACCCTTAAGACAGTTTTGTATTTTAATTCTTAAACTAAAATAATTCTTTGGCAACATAAATCATAAATTCATTGTTACATCAATATTTTATAATAGATTGTATACTAACACAGATAGAATTTTGATATATTGCATATTGGACTAGTATCAAAAATTAATTTTTATGTCTTCTTTTTCATTTTAAATATTTATTCTATCAGAAAATTTTATTACAAATTACAAAATTTGCTAACAGATTGGTCGTTTTTGGAGCAGCTCTCTGATTGCCCGCCTCACAGTGTCTACGCCATACCCAAAGCCAAAGCAGCATCCAAACCAGAGAATAAAGTTCGCAAAAAACGAGAACCCGGTATACGTGAGAGTGACCGTTTTAAAGCAGCTCTTGAAGCTGTGCGTACAGGCCGTATGGGATTTTGTCGTGCTGCTCAAGAGTTTGGTATAAATAATCGTACATTATGGCTTGAGTACAAAAAAAAAGGTTATCCCGTTCATCGAAAAGGTCAGTCTTCCACATCTATTCCAGTACCTTCGCCAGCATCGTCTATCAATGGTCAATCCTCCGATCAAGTATATCAAGCACCATTATATGAACCTTCAACGTCTCAAACGTCGGCAGTTGATCACCCTGCTTATGTTTCACAAATGTATTCGCAACCGCTGACAGTTATTAACCCATGCTATTATTCTTCACCTGCACCACCAATATTTTCTGCAGAAAACCATACATGATTAATTATTATTAATATATCAATATTAACAAGCCTTTTTTTTCTGTTTCTTTCTTTTTTTCTATAGCTAAATTCACTCATGCTGGTTTGCACAAAAATTGTAATATTCATAATATTAACTTAGGTGCATATACAAGTGTTTGGGCTTAAACCCCAAAAAGTATCAATGAAATGTATACTTGTTTTTATATATAAGTGGTTTCTCTGTCATTCTGTGAAGATAAAGAAAATGTGTGTGTTATTTCTACTATTTTTGTTATTATCATCATTTGTGATAATTTGTTCAATGACATACAACCTTACCTTTCTTCCTACTGATATTTGTATAAGTGCCTGTATTAATTTTAATTATAATAAATAATATGTATTTAACATTCTATTAAGCCTCCAAAGGGGAGAGACTGTGCAACCTGGCATTTATATTTATTTATTTGTATAGAAATTATAATTATAGAATATATATATATATATATAGTTTTAATATGATTTGTTTAACAAAATTATTTTTTAATGTATTGTATACCAAAATATAAGTATTGTATTTTGTATCTTGATGGTCTTTTTTTTTTACTTGAATTTGATGAATCAAAATAATATATAATATATAATCTTATTTCAAGTGATGAAATCCAATTGATTGTTAAAAAAAGACATTTTAATTTTCCAGTTAATAAACGTATTAGGACCCTAGTGCGCCAACCCCACATAAAAATCAATGAATGTGACATGAGTACAGAGACAAAGACAATGGTAAAAACCGAAACAAACGATGAAGCAGAACCTGTAATCCGTGTACTCGAGAGGCAGTGTTCAGAGCCAAATCCATCATCGACTAACACACTAGCTGTTCCTAAACCGACCATAGTCAAACAACTTTCGCAGCCTACTGAATCCTCTCCGATACCTAGAAGTTATTACAATGATGAACTTTCTACTAACCCATCACAGGTAAACTTGACCATAATTATCAGCTTTAAATGTGTTTTTAATTCAGCAGCATTTATATAATTATGTATATTATAGATGACTTTGAATGATTCATATAATGAATCAACACGTTCAGATCATTGTCCATTATTACGTTCAGGACCAGCACTTGGATGCAGTTTCTGTTGGAACACAATTGACACACGCGGAAGATTTTTGAGACGAAAAACAAAATATCATTGCCCCGAATGCAATATAAACCTTTGCCTGGTTCCTTGTTTTCAGGTTGTTAACTAATATGATATTTAAATATGACAGAATTTCTGTAAAAATATGTGTTGCCTTGATAAAGTAGTTAGAATTGAAATTTGTATTAATTTGCTCAAAATAACAATATGTTTTACTATTTTATGGGCTCCTAATTATAAAGTTCTATCTAAATAAAATATATACCAAAAATTGTCCAACTAAAAATGTTGCTCTGCAAAATAACATTAGCACTACACTTTTTTATTGTGAATCTGAGATTTGCTTTTAAATTTATAATACATTGTTTAATAAATTACTTGCTTGAATTTGCACATCCCCAACCTTTGAATATTATAATTATAAATTCACTTGGTACATTTTATTTTAACACATTATAAATATCTCTGCAATCTAATAATCTATTATTTTCATTATTGTTTTTCAGGAGTTTCATGAAAAACAAACTCAAACAAAATCAACTGATATCACTAAAACTGATCATCTTCAATCCCAAAAGTCAACAGATGATACTGCTGTGTAATTTTCATCTGTGATCAATTTGTTATAACTTAATTTTTAACCAATGTGTTACCATTTGTTACTACTTGAGAATTTATTTCTAATTCTAGAATGAATAATATAGTTATATGTAAATGTTTATTTTACTTTGAATTGATAAATATACCAATATTTGTGAATAAAAACAATATTTTTCACATCAATTTTTTGGTTGAAATATATATTTCAGCATCAATAAGACCTTTTGGGCATTGACTACACCAAGCCACAAATATATCCTTGGCTTAAGATTACGAAATAAGATATTTTCAGGTAACAACTCTTATGGATTTATTCTATCCACATTGTTATCTGAAAAACAAATTAGTCAACTACCAGATAACCTAGTCAAAAACCAGATGGGACAGATATTTAATACTTAATAGTCGTTTTAACTTAATATAATTTTACAAAGTCTCACTTAAAATGGTCAACATCTAATATTAAATTAGTTCAAATAAATTCAATATGAATAAAATTATTTTCATGTTTTGTCTCAATTTAACATTTTATCATCTATTTACCTACACTAATATTTAATAATTTATGATAAAATGGATTAATTCAATGATGGATTAATAAATAATTTATAATTTTATAACTTAACGTCACTATTTTTTCATATTTTTTGTTAACTTCTTTTAACTTATTAAATATTATATTATATTAATATTATATATAAAATAAGACCATATACATTTTGATTGGCTTAAATAAGTATGTATTGAGGAAACATGGTCTGATGTTTTTAATTCATGTAATGCGAATAATATAATTGATGCATTAGTTTATAATATAAACTGTGCAATACATTTGTCTAAAATTTCTCAATATTTTTTTCTACTTAATTATAATTATACAATTAAAAAATGGATCACTACAGGCATAACTATCAATGCAGCATAGGGATAAAATCTTAAATAAAATAAAACAACCCTTCAATATTTAACTCAAATTTAGTTACAAAATACAGAAAATTATTAAAACTGAAAGATATGTTTTTTTTAAAGAAATACGTAAAGCACAAGGAAATTCAAAAAAGATTTAAAATTAAATAAAAGTTCACCATCATATTGCATCGTTAAAAGATGAACAAAATCATTAGATGTGTAGTTCATGAAAGTATAGATATTGCCAATGAATTTAATAAATTTTTTATAAATGTAGGTGCAAAATATGCCAAAAAGATTAATTTATGTTCATCACCAAATAGCTTTATGAATAATTCTGATTTCAAAACTAATTTAAACTCTATTTTTTTCAAGCCTATTTCTAAAGACAAAATTAAAAAGTATATCCTTAATATTAAGGAAAATATATTTTTTTTTAAATTATTGGCTAACAAATTATGTTTTGAAGCATAATGCTGATGATCAACTCTATAGTTGATATATTATCAACTCTTTAGAATTTATCAATAACTTCTAGAATGTTCCTTAATGCATTTAAGGAAACTAATATAATAATTCCACTGTAACTTAAGTATTTTAAAAATGTAGTATTAATAAGTAATAATAAATATTAAAAAAATTTTAAAATCAAGATTATATGAATTAACATCACATATATATCCTCTGTTAATCAATATGAGCTTAAAAACAATGAAGGTACATCTATAGCGTTACAAATTATTATAAGTAATATTCATAAACAAAGCTTGATGAGGGTGACTCAGTAATTGGTATTTATCAGGATGTTATAAAATCCTTTGATTCCGTAACTTATAATTTATAACTAAAAAAAGCTATATAATTTGGAATTTGTGAAGTTCCAAATAATTGACAATAAATTCACTCCTTAAAAAAGCTCTCAAACTGCTATATTCTACTAATACTGATTTTTTTTATATAAAACCTATAATTTATTTAAGCTTAAACAAAAATAAAAATGTATAAGTTTTATGTAATTTGTTCTACTATAATCATACAAAATTTAGCTTCAAGCCTAATTATAGTACTTGCAAAATTCAAAATAATCTTTTACTGTTTAAATATAATAATGAATTTGGAAAATGAAACACCTATTATATTGGTTATTATATTACTGTAATTATTTTTTGGATTGATATTAATAATTTTAATTTCAACTTCTTTTAAAAATGTTATTTATAAAGTAAGAATGTCACAAGTTCAATAGTAATTAAAATTTGTTATCTACATAATTTCACAACCATAATCTAATTAACTATTTGTCTTTGATTTTAAATTTATTGATTTGTATACTATATTGTTATTCTTTATGTTTTTTTGTATTTAAGAACTGTGTAAATATGTATACATTAAATACAGAAACAAAACATTATGAACTCTTGTCTCCCAACAAGCTCAGGCTTTGAAAACAAATTTGTTCGTATTTTTATTACACTATATTAACTAGTATATTATTTGAAATAACAACAAATCTTTCTTTCTATAGATTACATTGCGAGTCAACACAAATAAGATCAATAATATTATTTTTAGAAGTTTGGTAACTAATTTGTTTTATTTTTTTTTATAATAGTTTTATTACTTATAAATAAAAATGTTCAGATGATGTTTAACATTGATATGTTTAGCACATATTTCATTTATATAGCCATAAATTATTAAGAGGACGTCATACCATTATATGCTAGCACAGTTCAACAAGAAATATTTTAAAATCTACCTTATGCAAACTGCATGGAATTCACTTAATTTTGGATTAAGATAGTAAAAATAACCTATTATAAAATTAAAAAGAAGATAATATTCCAGAGGAGAAGACAATGAGTTTTTCCTATTATTCCGAGTACAACATTCAATACATTGTTTAAAAATAAAGACTAATTCATCATTTTGCCCTTTTTAATTTTATATTATAATAGGACAATTTTATTTTGAAACCAAAATTAAGCAAATTCTATGAGGTCTGTGTAAGGTAGATTTTACTACATTGTCTGTTAGTTGGACTGAAACAGCACATGTAGGTGTAACATCCTCTTAATATAAATTTCAAATATTATTTGATAGAAATAATTTTGAAATTTTAAATTTGTTTACATTTTTATTGATTGAGGAATGGTTCATTTTAATTGTGCAATTTGTTTTTACTGTTTTAAAATTGTTTTGCTCTAAAATCCATAATATATTAATACCAAATTAAATACTTCTAGTCTGACTATAATAGATTAATAATTTATTGAAGTATCTAAGGAATAAGGTATCTTACGAAATATTATAATTTTGTGATAAAGGAAAATAAAAACCAATTTTTTTTTTTAAATTTAAATATACAAAGTATATTTAAAATAAATGTATTAATATAAATGTTAATTAACGGTTGGACTTTGCAACACGTTCAAGTTCATCCTTCTTCTTGATAGCATAAGAGTTTGATGATCCCTATATAAACAAAAAATTCACATGATTAATATCCAATAAGACTGTTTTAAAAAAGTATAATTCTCACAAACCTTGGCAGCGTTAATTAATTCATCAGCTAAGCATTCAGCAATAGTCTTAATATTCCTAAATGCAGCTTCTCTGGATCCTGTACACAGCAACCAAATGGCTTGATTAACCCGTCTTAAAGGAGAAACATCAACAGCTTGACGTCTGACTGTACCAGCTCTACCAATACGAGTGGAGTCTTCTCTGGGCCCACTGTTGATAATCGCTTTAACGAGGACTTGTAATGGGTTTTCACCAGATAGCAGGTAAATAATTTCAAAAGCATGTTTAACAATACGGACAGCCATTAATTTTTTTCCATTGTTACGTCCGTGCATCATCAAAGAATTGGTCAAACGTTCAACAATTGGACATTGAGCTTTACGGAAACGTTTAGCAGCATAACGACCAGCAGAGTGAGGTACATATTTAGCATACTTCTCTTTCACAGCGATATAATCCTATACAATTAAAATTTGTCATAGATCAGTAATACAAAAAAAATTATATTAATATTTAAGGCATAGAACAGTTTCTCAACAATAGGATCGCAGACAATTTTCAATGGATTACAGTTAAAAAGTTAAAACCCAAATTATATTAAATTTTCATTTTAGACTACATGTATAAAATAGTTTTAAAAATAATTAATCAATATATTTAGTTACTTTCCTTTACAAAAAAGTACAATTTCATAAATTTGGACTTTGGTCTTTTAATGATATAATATACTTTATCAATTTACATTCATGGAAATTATTTAATTTTTTTAAGTTGTTGACCCACATTGATTTTGGTATCAACTATCAATATTATGAACTTCACAGGGTACTTATTACTTGTTTAATTGTGTATAAATCACTTTATAAATAAAGTAATATAAGCTAAGTTTATTTTAATTTTGGTAATTGAAAAATTAAGCAAAATGAGTAGGGTGAATAGCCTCACCATTGAAAATTATTTTTAAAAAAATTCCATAAAATATTGGGTAAATATCTTGGCTTGACAAAGGTTGAGAACCGCTGGCAAAGAACATTTATATAAATTCATTCTGCAATAGTTAGGGGTACAATAAGCTACAACTATGATCCATACATTTTATTATTATCGGTGGTTTTTAAGTTTACAACTGGTACTTTTAAGTTAACGAGACTACTGATGATTTTTCAATGTCGCGACTCCTGCCGATAGTTAAAATATAATATTGAATAAAATTAATCGAAATACTAATCAACATGTTACAACATATTACACCTAGTGTAAATTATTAATTTTATCGATTATATTAAATTAAATTTTCTTTTTATATTTAAATCAGTATTAAATAATATTTAAACTATTGTTGGTAGCTGTGATACCAGAAAACCGTGGGTAGTCATAATAACCAAAAAGTACCTTATAACCAATACTAGATTAGATATCTACATAAATAATGAGACTTAAAAAAATATACTTGATGAAATTTGATTTCAACTTACTTGTAGAGACATATCCGAAACTTCAACATCATCACAACTCCACCGGCCAAATAATTTTACTTCTGGTAAATCAGCTGCCACTTGAACAGGAGCTGAATCCACATTTATTGATGAATCAACATTTCCCCAATCTTCGTCAGCCATGTTTTTCCTAAAAATATTGATTAATATAAACACAAGTGTAGGTATTCATAATATGGTTAGTCAAGTATGGTTGTGCTATGTAGGGAATATGGAGTATTATTGCCTACAAGTTTGAAATTTTAAAAATTTGTAAAATCAATTCAGGTTATCATATTTTAAAACGAATAAAATTTGCATTAAAATAAAACTCAACATCAACGTCAAATTAGTTAAAATTTCACACTCTCAGTATCTACTCGGCTAATGTCAATGATAAAACTAATATACCTACTGGAAAAACTATACACTTAAAATAATACAAAAGAGAATAGGGTGGCAATGCGGACATGAAAAGAGAGGATGTTTTATAATGTATATTACCTCAAAATTAATATAATTCACAATTGACATACGAAAAATATAATGAAAATTTTGTAGTGTTTATATGGATTTATGAATAGGTTTTGAGGTTAGCCATGTGTGATATTCACTGGGGATTTATCAGACACAAGAGCCAGACAGTTATATAAAGCTTAATTTCACTCCAACATACGGAGATGAAAAATAAGTTAATATTAGGCAAAATTACTTACCGGGGTTTCTTCGAGTATAATTCGTATGGAAAATTTCCCGAAGACGGAAAAATACAAGTTACACTATTCCAGGTGAAAGAAAGCAATCATTGGGACACCGGATAGTGGAGACGAAGCTATATTGTGACAACACCGCGGTAGTCGCAGTGCTGCCAGTCAGTCGGTGGTTGCAAAGATGATAGAAAAGGTTTCCTATTGGACTTTTCAAATCTATTTAATTCAAACACATAAAATAACGCAATTTAAGAAGTTTCTCATAAAAACCAAACATTTTTTTTAACCGTTTATAATTAAACGTCGTTAGATAAATTTGTGAAATTAACTCGTTTTTATCGATGGAGATTATTTTTTGGTGTTGCCAACACTTTATATTGAACCAAACCTATAAACAAGTTATATAAATTATAACTATTATTGTATGGTTCAAAATATTTCAGCATTATCATTTCCTATCCATAGATAATTATTATTTATTATCTATGTAAATATTATCTTCTATTATCTATACTGTTGTCACGATTTATCCTTCATTTGATAATTTACCCTTTTTCTAGGTTCTTACCATGAGCCATGTGTCTATGATTAAAGTAATAAATATTTAAATTATATTTCATCACAAATTATATGATGAGATATATATGTTGAATAAAATTATTATTTCTTTTTCGATCAGCTTTAACCCATACAGTTTTTTAATATTATTATTTTAAGAAAATTGTACATTAAAAAGTGCACGCTTTATCTTTTTGCAAATAGGTATTCACTAATATTATCATGTCTTTAGCAGAACCTAGAAAGAGAAGAAAAAATCCTATGCACAGCATCAATTTGTCTGAACCAAACCACTGGACGAATGGTATTTTTAATATTTGTAATATCTTATATAACACATTTCTTTTTTTCCTAATACCAGTAAAATATCAAGTATAGTTATAAGTATCAATGAATACAATAATATTTTCTATCAACTATTATAAATTACAAGAAGACTAATTATTGTATTATTATAAACATTTTTTTTTAAAATTTTAGATGATTCAAAGTTTGGGCAAAAGATGCTTGAAAAATTTGGCTGGACCAAAGGGTCTGGTCTTGGGAAAAACCAGCAAGGAATATCCGAAAACATTCGAGTTCAACAAAAAGTTACTCCTACAGGTATACAGCTAGCTTGACCTTAATTTATAACTAGTTTTATCATATTTTAGATTCTAAGTGATGCTAGATGACTATTGGTTTTATTATGATGTGTTTTTAAAAAATTTGGATTTTTGATTTCCGCCTTTTTGTACTTAATTTGAAACATTAAGCCCATCTATAAATGTAAGTCAAATAATATATTAATTTAAATTATTTCATGGATTTAATAAACACTACATTTCTTGATCAGTTAAATAAATATTATAAATTGTACCTATTATTTTAAATAAATTTTAGTGTTGTCTACTTTTCTATGTAATTGTGTAACCTATAGTTAAATTATTATTATAATCATTTTATTTCTTAGAGATGCTTGTATAAACATTTTACTAATTACACAAGTCATCTGGAAATTGATAATATTATATTTCTTTTCTACTATATGTTTATACAAATCTATTTAAGTTAATCATTTATACTTTTAGGTTTAGGGTTTGTTGCACACAATGCAGATGATTGGTTTAAAGCTGGTGAAGACTATTCACGGTTGTTATTACAGTTATCAGAGAAGTTTGATCAGCCTACAATACCATCTGAAACAGGTGATGATATAAACTTAAAAAAATCACTTGTGGAAAATTCTTTAAATTCCAAATCAAGAGTACAGTAAGTTAAAATTTTAAAAATAAAGAATAGGTAATATATATTTCAATTGAATATTTTTTTAATATAATTAATGATATTTTTCAGTTATCACAAATTTACAAAAGGAAAAGATTTAACACAATACAAGAAACAAGAATTAGCATGCATATTAGGCAAAGGCATAAAGAATGAAGATAAGAGTGCAAAGGGTTTAGATATGAAAGAATACTTTAAAAGCAAAAAGGAAAGTAAAACAACTAACCAGGGCACATCTTGCAGTACTGATTCTCAGATTATTATTGATGATGAAAGTAAAGGAAGAATTGCTATTAAGACAGACATAGGATTGAAAACTGATATTCATGAAATTAATATCCCACCCAAAAAAAGAAAGCGTGAACCCAAACTGTCAAAAAAAACAGATATTATACCATCTAATGAAAAATATAATATAGAAGAACCAAAATTAAGTAAAAATACTCAAAATGATAACCATGTTATATTATGCAGTGCAGACTCTCTGGTTGTTATTAATAACAAAAATAATGAAATAGATTCTGTTAAGAGTTGCATAGAATTGAAAACTGATAATGGTGAGATTAATGTTAGTCCAGTAAAAAAAAAAAAACGTGAATCCAAACTATTAAAGGAAACAAGTATTATATCATATAATGAAAGTGATAATGTAGAAGTACAAAAGAAAAAAAGAAAAGAATCCAAAGTTATCACTACTGAAGCAGTTCACAATGAAGAAATAATACCAGATAATAATTTAGCTGATGTAGATAATTCCAAATGTGAATACAATAACAAGGACAAAAAGACAACAGTAAAAGAAATATATTCTGAACAATCAATGGCAATGGCACAAGATTTAATAGAGAATAGTTCTGCTGGTAAAAAATATTGTAAAGATTTAAATATTGAAAATAATCATTTGTTTGAAAAGAAAATAGAAGAGTTTGTTAATAGTATTAAATCGAAAACTCCAACTACAATTTCCACTGAAATAAAACTATCAGATAAAGAAATGTATAATAAACCTAAACCTTTAGATCCAAATGATAAAAATTTTGTTGAAAAATTTGAATTAAAAAAACTGGAAGTACTTAATAGTATATCAAAACCCCAAGAAAAAAATAAGCACATTAATGAACGGTCTTTATTCATCGCTAAACATGGAGATATATTATTTTTTGGTAGTAATTTAAATGAAATTAAAGGTTATAGTGAATGGTGAATTAAATATTACAAAAACATGATTTTATTTTATTTATTTTTGAGTTTACCAATAAATCAAGAATAGATCAGTATGATAAATGTATTTTATTTTATACTGTAATAAATTATAATATGTGTTATATTTTAATAAAACATTTTTAAGTTTTTTGTAATTTATGGTAAAGACAAATTATAATAATCATTATAACCGCATATATCATAGTTCATTTTTAAGGGGTTTAATTTTACAACCTAATAATTGTACATATTTCAATATTTGTAATGAATTAGATAATTGAACAATTTGTACATTTCATTTCAACTGTGAATTATTTGATACTTTTCATATTGTGCTTATAGATTCATAAGTTTTTAAAGTACTGCTACATAAATTATGCTTCATTACTCACCCCTACCTAAACTTAAATAGTGGAATATCCTGTCATTGAGTTGATAGAAATTTAAAATTTTAATTTTCGTCTATTTATTTATTTCAACTATTTATATATACAGAATACATATTAATTTCTTAAATTAGAGATTGATACCTATTCTCTGTAAGCAATGCTTGTATTGAGAGTAGGGAGTTTATAACTAAACATTTATTTGCTATATTTACATGTAAGTGGTATTCCTATACTAATCTATGTTAATTAAAACATCATATTTATGGAATTTTTAATGTAGTTTGATATCTGAAAATCAAAAGTGGTTAGGTTAATCACCAAAAATAAAGATAACATTTTAGAGCTACTTCATAATTTGTCTAAAAAAATAAATATTTATTACATTCCGGTCACTTTCAAACGCCTCACAGCGTAAGAGAGTGTGCAGGGAGGCATCTTTCGCGTAACCTTCGGAAGGCTAGCGATGGGAACACCTGGATGACGAGACACTACTAGGGTGGCTACTTTTCCGGGTTTCACACGGATACTCCGGTTTTACCTTTAAATTTACCGGGCTACAGCTTCAATGAATTATTCTCGTCGTAAAATTATTAGTATTATGGTATAATATTGTATAATGTAGTTTGTCGATAAGCAAAGAAAACAATATTTTTCATTCGCCAAAATATGAGATAAAGTACGATTTGTTAATATTAAACAACATATTTTGTATTAAAATCATAATTCGAAAAGTTTAATTTACACAATACAAAAGGAGGTATCTTCTTTTTTTCAAATATAACTGACAGCAGTAATGGGTCTGTTTAACACAGTAGGTAGGTATCAACTTCATTCACTGCTGCCATTGTTTATTAAATACCTAACTTATGAATAAGCTTATACCGTATGTACAATTTTAGCCATTTTCTTCGGGAGAAGGCTAATATAATCCTAAGTTATACAAATCAACTTAAGGGAGATGTGAGGATTTTCATCTGTCAACATCCCTAGACGTGCTTGACCTAAGCGACCCAGTTAGAACCTACCGGTCTGGAGATTCATTCGCGGTGCAATCTCGCGGCCGGTGGCGTCAGCGCCAGATGACTACCATACCTGTTATGAACTTTTATGTATTTATATTTATATACATATATACCTATATAATATATAATCTATACTAAAGTCAATAGAAACATTTCAAAATGATACACTAATGTCTGATATGCTGTGACATGTATTGCTTTTTTATGGTAAGTACCTGTGATAAGATTAATTATTAATAGAAAATAATGGGCAGACAAATTAAATTTGCACCGGGCTTCATTTAACTCTGGCTAGGTAGGCACTCTATATTAGAGCTAACTCTAGCTTTAATGTGCATAGTTCTAAAATGCGAGTAGTGTGTTCACGTGATAAACGAATTATTTCATTGGTACGCATAAAACCAAAAATACGGATCTGGATCAGGGTATACGTCTTATACCGGTGTATACCCCGAGGGTACCTACATACGCAGGTATTACCTTCCAATACATCACTGATTCTATCTATAACCGTGATTTTATAAAAGAATATTAAAACCTCAAAATAATTCAATTATACAACTATAAAAATGCAACCACAGATGTATAAAATAATTTATACCTATTTATTTTTTATTTTGTATGTCTATGAATGCAAATAAAACCATGATAATCATTTTTTCATCAGTATAAATGTGGAAAAATCTCTTCCGCTCTTCTAGGAAATGAACCTACTTACTAGCCACTGTATATATTATTGTTTTGTGAATAGATATAATAGAATTTTTTCAGGCACGTACGCAGAAGGGTGTGTATAAACACCTCCCGAAACGTTTCGATATTTACTTATTCCATTTTAATAACTGATTTTCAAAAACACCCCAAAAATTTATTTTGCCGTGCGTCTTTGATTCTGTATTATTATTATTAATGTTCTTCTGTGTTATTACTTATCCTATTCGATCAGCTGTTTAAAATGTTATCCATGGCAGATTTAACTATATTCATGGCTAATAATAAATAATTTGTTTTTTTTTAAATTTATTTGTGCCACGATAAAAATGAGAAGTTAATAGGTAAACTGCATAATTAATATTGTTTAATAGTAATAATTATTTCTATCATGAATTGTGCGAAAATGAAGAACCCAGAAGAAATTCAACGAGAAGATAACATTACGTACATAACTAATAATTTGTCGGCTCCGGTTATTAATAACTGGACAAACGGTAGTTTTTATTTTTGTTGATAGGAATTTATAGGTTTACCTATAAGTACAAAGGTACTTATGGGATGTTACGTTTTTTAAAATGTAATCTTTAAGAATTCTAAATTGGTACATAAGTCATTCGGATATCCAAAATTTGAAACCATTTTAATTAATTGATTCATATAATATGTAACATATCTATTAGAAATACCCTAACTTAATCTTTATCTTAACTTCATTATTTTTATTCTGATCATAGCACAGAATAAAATAATTTAATTGGTTTAGTGATTGTTAAAGTTTCTATTAGAATCTCGCTCCTATTATCCACTTTAAAGGTGGCTTTAATAATAAATTTTGTTGTTGTTTCATTTAGAATTTTATTTTTCGATTTCCCTTGTTGTAGTTTTCTTAATAATTAGGAAAAAAACGGGAAAGTCTACACAATAATGGTTTAAAAATAACGACATATTAACTCAGTTTGTCTTGCTTGTGATTTAGATTCTATTAACAATTATTTTAACTCAAACTCACTTAAAGTTCAAAATTATCTCTAATTCAAAATACTTATTTATGTCCCCAATATATAATAATGTAATAGCCAATAGGAAATATGGTCTCGTCCATCTTCGTGATACTTTATTAAAAAGTTATCTACAACTTAAAACTTTTAAGTTTCGACTGGAGATTCTTAATAAGTATAATAGGATATGAATAAAATATGCATGCTATTTTAAGTTTGTCTTTTTCTCCTATGTCTTCAAATCCCAGCTATTTGTAGTTTGTATTTTACATTTTTTGTTACTTAGTAGATAAAGTAATAATTAGACAGAAAATAAAATTGATTATTACATTGGGCCATATTTTTTCTGAGATTTTATATTCTTAGGTAATAGACACTATAAAAATAGTAGGTATATATTATTGTAGTAGGTATTCTTATCCAAATAGTATAATCATCACTATAACCAATAATTACTATATCTCTTTGTGTCATCAGTTACCTATAGTTAGAGAGCCCAGCCTTAGATAGGCTCTTTATCTATAACTTTAGGTGCCCATAGGTGAAATGTTGAAGGAGGAAAAATAAAACTAATTTTCAACATTTATGCGAAATAAAGGTTTAAGGGGATTGGAAGCGACAAATTTCTGTCTTTGTCTTATACGCGTGAGTTATGGAGATTTAGAAGTTTTATTTCTAACGTACCGATTGATTTAATGAAGTGATAAGAATTCTAAAAGCAGATTTGTTTTTGTCGTGAAATCTAATTGAAATCAACTTTTCCACTTTTTTAATTTTAATTTCTTAAAAAATTAAAATATTTTTAATTACTATTTTATAAGTATGGCTTTTTTTTTAGAATTTAGAGAGATAAATTTAAAAAGTAGGTAAGTTGATCACAAGTAGACTTCACGACAAATTCAAATGTTTCCAGAATTCTTATCGCTTCACTAGATCAATTGCTATGTTGGAATTAGAACACGTCTAAATTTCTTTATCTCACATGTGTAGGACGAAGATAGAAACTCATCGTTTCCAATCCTCTTAATGTTCAACATAATATGTATTTTTTTTTTAGTAAGCTGAGGGGAATTTCACCGTTTTGCTCTCCCATAGGCGCCCACGCCTATAAGAATGTAATACATATTGTAAAATGACTGAATAATATTGTAGAGAAATAATAATTTTAAGTTATTTTTATGATTGATTCAAAATAATTAAATTGTTGAAATTAAATTTATTTGGTTTCAGATGATTCTAAATTTGGTCAACAAATGATTGAAAAATTTGGATTGATAAAAAGGTCAAATCTTGAGAAAAACAAACAAGTAACCCCTATAGGTAATGTTAATATACAATATATGTAATCATATATGGTGTTTTTAATTTAATTTTTGTTTTTAAATATTTGTTTATTTCAATTATGTACTTGTAATTTAAAATGTAACATAGGTAACATTTGTTATAATTTTTTTTCTTTTTAAAGTTCATTTCAAAACTAATGATTTATTTGTATTATGTTTAAAAAAAATATAAAATTAAAATTAGTAATGAAGAACATTTCATTATAAATTGATTATAAATATATTAATTTTGTAATAATTGTGTAATGTTTTTAATTGGTTATTTTAGGATTCATAGAACAAAATGAAGATAATTTGTTTAAAACAGGTGGAGACTATTCAAAATTATTATCACAGTTAACAGAGAAATTTGATCAATACCAAACACTGTCCAAAGTGGATGGTGATATAAATTCAAAACAATTACTTATACAAAAATCAATAAATTCAAAGTCAAGAGAACAGTAAGCTTGTTTATAATAATAGTGTGCATAAACCAAATAGTTTTTGTTTATTTTAATTATTACTTTTTTTAAGTTATCACAAACATACAAAAGGAACAAATTTAACACAGCATAAAAGAAAAGAATTAGCATGTATTTTAGACAAAGGTGTGAAAGATGAAGATAAAAGTTTGAATAATTTACATACAAAAGAATATTTAAAAATTAAAACAATCCAAACAGATAAACATGATAAATCTGGCCAAATAATTAGTATTACTAATGAATTGAATACTATTCCATTAAAAAATATTAAATGCCAATCAAAATTATCAAAAGAAACAAATATTGTCTTAATTTCTAATGAAAGTAATAAAACTGTAGAGTCAATCAAAAAAAATAAAAAATTAAAAACTTATTCTTATGAAGATATTGATAATATAGAAATATTAAGAAATAAAAAATCTAAAACGCACATTACTGAATACGTAGAAAATACAAAGAGTCACAATAATAAAGATAGTACAAAAATATCAAAAGAACAGTATTTAAAATTGGTTTTGACACATAAATATCAAAAGTTAGTTGAATTATTAGTAAATAATAGTTCTGCTGGTAAAAAGTATTGTAAAGATTCACCAAGTCCTATGTTTGAGAAAAAAATTAAAGACTTTGCAGATAGTGTTAAAGACAAGGATCCAACCATTTTTGATTCAACTGAAATAAGAGGATTAGACGAAGAATCAATGTTTAATAGATCTAAAACTTTACATCCCAATTATAAACAAATTGTCAAAGATTTTGAAGAACAGAAACCTGAAGTATTTGATAGGATATCAAAACGGCACGAGGTGTTAAAATACAGAAATGAAAAGTCTATGTTCATAGCTAAACACGGGGATGTGTTATTTTTTGGTAGTAATATAAATGATATTAAAGGTTATGGTGAGTGGTAAACCAAATAAAATAGTAAAGTGTTTTTTATTTTGTTTATAATTTTTGAAGTTTATACATTTATGAATATAATACAAAGTATTATTATTTTTCTTAATTTAGTCCTATAAATAAGCTTATCTAGAGTGGAAATAAAAATAACACATTTTACGCATATTTTTTTTTTCTATTTTTTATTTGATTAAAATCCCCAGGGATCTAATTGTTGATCTGAAGATTCCATTAAGCACACTGATGATTCGGCAATTTTTGCTAATAATTTCTTTAAGCTGGCTTGTGTAAACAACTGGAAATTATAAATAATTAATTATGCAAGATTTATAATAATACTTATAAGTAGGAATTACTTGGTAGAATTTATAGGTCTCATCTGTTATATAACCAGCTAACTTGATACATTCTGTATACCTTTCAGCACTATGTAATATAGTATGTAGAAGTATAAAAATCTAAATTAAAAAAAATATATTATAATTAATGAACTTTGTATGTAAGTTTTTCAAAAACAAAAAATTAAATAAATTAAATAATAATATATGAAGGCAAATTTTTAGGACAAGTCTAGATTAAAATCTGGGTTTTACAAAGAATTATTATTCAAATGGTTTATCATTTTAAAATAACAGTTATTATTAATTTTTAACAAGGGTTGTGTTTTGGATATTTACAAAATATCAAAAAGTTTTCAAATTAACATTGTTAAAGCATGCAACTACCACCTTTAACTCCAACTAATAGTATATAATAATAGTATAGAAATACTAAACACTAGAGATAAACTGACCTTAGGAATACATATGGTACGCAGAAGTTCAAAATATTCACGACGACTTAGATCTTCATTTTTCTGGTCTACAAGCCAGCCTCCGGGGAAATACAACAAGTTGAAAAGTTGTTCAACAACAATCTAATAAATACAAAAATACTATACTTTCTTATAAGTAATTGTGAAAAACATCCCACATACTTGTGATGAACTGGATACATTTTGTTTCCAATTTTTTAATGCTGTTTGGTATTGCTCCATATTGTGTTCATAAATCAATTTTTTGGAATACTCTGTATTTACAAGTGGTTTGACAGGTTCAATGGGTTTAGTTTGATGATATTCATGAAACCATTCAGCAAATCCTTCTTCTGCATCCTAAATAATAATTTTGTTAATAACTACAATTTAAAAAATGTACATGTACAGTAACTTACCAAGTAACATTTATAAGCGAAATATTCCAAGACATGTGATTGTGTATTTCCTGAAATCGGTAACATGTCCAATTTCATGAGTTTTTCAACATCAATATTTGCGTTATTTACTAACCGAGTCATTGTTTCTTTCTGAATCTAATGTTTCATATTACAGCATTTTAACTATTACAATATTGCATTTCATAAAATATAGTATATGACAAACCTTATTAAATGCTAAACGAGCTGCTTGAATTTTGCCTTGGGCGATAAAATTACGTACTGTTGCATTAATTTGTATAAATGCTTCTTCTACCTGGCTGGGATAATAAATTATCCAATCTAATGCTGAAATGAGTTCATTGTCATCATTGGTTATTTCCGAAAATAAATCTGTACTAGAAGCAGTGTAGTTAAATCGATTTCTATAATATTATAAGTATTATTATAAATTTGTCAACAAAACTTCAAAATATATTAAAGAACATGATCAGTAAATATTAAAATATGTACCGGTATGTCTCTACTATACGTTTAGTTATTTCTTCAACTGGGAGTTTAACATCTTCACCAGCCTTCAATCCACTAGAACGTTGCTCTGGCAAAATCATTTTTTCCAAAAATTTTGAATAAATAGTCACTTGACTAGTTCTTTCCAGTTGTGACGTGTAGTAAGCTACTAGAACTGGGTCATGCATGGGAATTAGGACCTAAAAATAAAAAAGAACTGATACTGGGAACGGGTGTGGTCACTGTTCTGGTGGGTAGTGAGGAAGGTGAGATACATAGTTATTTAATCTAAACTTGGAACCAAGGATAATCATTGATAGCGAAAAACGATTCGGAGTGAAGTTTGGTTATACATGTTTTAAAAGGTTGTAATATTTACAATTTTCATCAAAATTGTATTTTAAAACTTATATAAAAAAAGTATTACATTAAGCTCAATTTTTTTTTTTACCACAAAGTACGACTTTAATGAACCTCTTATGAATTTTTAAGTATTTCTGTTAAGTCTAACAATTTACCTACAGAGTATCTACTAAATAAAAATGACATAAAAAACTTTCAAAATTATAATGTCTATATATAGCTATATAAATATATATATCTCAAATGTTTTAAATGTTTTACTAGTTCTAAAAAAAATCATACATAGAGTGGTTCACTAAGTGTCTTCATTCCATTTTTAGGGTTAATTTTGCATATATTCAAATTCTGATTTTAAGAATTTTTAAAAATAAAGTTAGAGCAAATATAATTCACAGCATTTAAAGAGTATCATGTTGCTGCGAGACACAACTTTGGTTTATCAAATGAGAACCAAAAAAAAAAATTCCATAAATAGATGGATAATTATTTAAATGAATTTAGGTGTAAATTTTTGATTTTGGTCAACCTGTTCCTGAGATCTTTCACTTTTCAAGTTTAGGAGTGAAGTGGAGCACTGATAAGATGCTGCACGCCATGCTGCCACACAAATAATACTCTACTACTCTCCCTTTACCTAAACTTAAAATGGAATATTTCGTCATTAGGTTTACGGAAATCTAAAATTTAGACACTAAAATGTATTTAAAATTATACTCTGTCAACAAATTAAATTTTTAATATAGCTTCTTATTTGAAAAACCAAAGTTGGTATCGTCACTAGTGTTACGAGCCGTTCATGAAGGACAGTCAGTAACACTAGATACTTCTTGAATATTGTGAAAAGTCTAAGTATTTGAATGCATTTTTCAACATACATTTTGATTTTGTTCAATTATTAAAAAAACTGCAAATCAAAAAAAACTTTTGCCACCAACTAGAAAAAAAAATTCAACCAAAAAAAGACTTCTTGTTTTATTATTGGAGCAAAATTTTTTGTAGAAAATAAGTCATAAAAATTTAAAATAATGAAATTATTGTGCCGTAATTTAAACAAAATTTAAATATTTCATCTTTTGGCTTTTCCTAATTATTATAAAAAATACTTCAGATATCAAAAAACGGGTAAATGGAAAATAGGTATGGTCTATTGTGTTTTGAATAAAAAAATGAAATAGCCGAAATATTAGTACAGTAAAACTTCTATTATAACCTAACCATTATTTAGATATGACCCTTAACAGAAGTTTTACTGTACTATAAAATATTTTAATTTTAGTGGTTCAAAAAATGAGTTCAATATTAAATTAAATATAAATTCACAATATATAATAATAGTTTTCTTATGGTAGGTTAATAATAGCCATATTATTAAATTTCAAGATGTACTCTCAGTACATGTATCTTCGGTTTCGAATTTGTCTATTGTTGAGATGCCCGTGTTTATTTTGATTGTTTATTTCAGAAGTTTTTAAACTTTTAGTGCACATCGAATGACAGACACCTGATGAAAGACTTTTAAAAATCACAGACCCCTACCAATCTTTTTTCGAATACCTTTTTTTTTTTACAAAATATCTCATGTTATCATAATCAATATTTACTGAAAGAGTTGCCGCGGATCCCCAACATAAATATCATGAACCCCCAGGGGGCCACAAACCAGTTTAAGAATCACTGACTTATTTAATTCTTTGTAGGTGAGATAAAATACCATGCAGTGCAGATACTTTTTATAGATTTTTTAGTTTAAGAAACCCAGATTTTTAACAACCATAGCAATCTTGTCATTTTTCAATTGGAGTAATATTTCTGGTAGAAACCTAAAGTATAACACAATGAAAATAATGAAAAAGGTAACACCGTGGCGTGCCATACATATTTGCCAATTTACCTATAATTTTGTTTTTTCAATTATTTTAAAAACCCCTTAGAAAATCAAAAAATATCCTCCCCAATGCACCAACTAGAGAAAATTACCTTTCAGAAAAAGTGCTGTAGTAGTAAAGTTTATACTTTGGTGCAAATTTTTTGGTAGAAGTTATTTATAGACAGAAAAAAAATAGTAAAACTACACTCCGAATCTAAAATAAGTTTAATTGGTAGAATATATTTCATATTATAAATTATAACTGAAATTGTATACCTCTATATATTTTTGTATTATTGAATTAGCTGCCTGTTCATCATGTTGAATACCTGCCCAACGAATAACTAAGATCAAATGTGCCAGAAAACGTAAGAATTGAGGATCTGATTCTGAATTTGCTGCCCAATCCACCATATTGTTCACTAATTCACGATACTGATTGGTCATAAAATGTTGTTGAATTTGACGTTTTGGTTTATGTGCTTCTTGACGTACTGATAATTTAGCATTGGATTTTAATTCAGTTATAATGTCATTCATAGTCATTCTAAATAAATTAAAAAAATAAAGCATTTAAAAATCAGCAATTTTCTGAAAAATATAAATACTGTGGGTACTACTTATAGGTTTCATGTTGGAATCAGCACAAAGTGACACCTCATAATTATGAACTAAAGTCAATAAAAACCCCTGTTAATTAAATGGAAAAAAGTAGGTAGCTTGAGGTACAGGTTAATATTGAGATAAAGCTTTAAAAATTGGAGTGGATTTTTATTTATTTATTTGGAACCATCTTAGGTGGTGCACTTAAAACTCAACAATGGCCTATTTAAGAGCCACCCTAGTAATTATATACATATGCACAGATGAACGTACTTGTACTCCCAGTATTTTTCGGGCAAACGTATAAAATTATTTGTTTTGTTGGTTTGTATGTGATTCTCAATGGTTACATTCACAATAGTATGGAGATGTGCCCATAAAATGTCTTCCCATCGATTACAAACAGGTAAAACAGCATCAATATTTCCACATAATATGCCAATGGTCGCTCTCCAGTATGGTGAGTTCTTTGGATCTGAAGATATTTTCCAAGCACATGACTTCCAAATATCTCTAAAATGCATTAAAATAAGTCTTCAATAGTATAATATAAATAAATTAAATACCTATTTGGATTTCCAAGTACTTCATCCGATGATGATTGCTCTTCTTTTGGTCTGTAAAATGGGTCATGGTATAGACGCCATCCTTCCATTATAGCTGACCTCCAAAACTGGCCATACTGACAACATAATAATTGAGCCTTTTCTAACCGACCACAACGAATTTCAACAAACACCTGTTGTAAAAGTCTATCGTCATCTACCTATAAGGTAATTAAAATTAATATGAGTCATATGAATAAATTTGAAATATTATTAACTATAATATAATTTATATTGAACAATTTAATTTATCTAGATTCTTAAACATTATTACAATGTTATTGTAATACTTAATACCATTATGAAACAGTTTTTTTGTGGACAATAAAGTTGATATAATTTGTTGTAAGGTTGAAAGGAAATTTAATGTATTAGTACGCAACAATTAACCACTGCTAATGAAAAATGATTTTGAGTGAAGTTCGGTTAATAGTGTTGCTTTGTCAACAATATATTTTATGTCATAAAATAATTGCAGTATTTTCTTTAATATTTGTTTAGTATTGTACCTGTTTCCCCATTTATAGGGAAAATTAAAAAAATGATTACCCCAGTTACGATTTCCTTCCAGAAAAAATTGCTATAATTGAAAATCAGAACAAAATTCCTGATAGATAAGTTGTTCGGATAGAAAAAGAAAAACATCATTGTTAAAATTAATAAACATTCCTCAAACTACTTAGAATCTAAACAATTAAGGTATTTTGTTTGTTCCAAAACTGTTGTAAAAATAGAATTCTGATTATATATTTAATACAATTGTAGTTTTTACAGAACTGACTTATGTTTTAATAATAAATGTGTGTATACTTGATCTAAATCATGAATGGATCTTGATTGTCTGCTAGGTGCATCTGGATCTAACTGAGTTACCATAGTACCGGAGCTTTGATAAATTAATTCTTTTTTCTAAAAATTAAAATTATATACATAACCATGAAAATGGGTGAACAGTGTAATTGTATCTAAATACTTTTCTAAAATTATACAAATAAAAAACATATGCATACCAAAAGCTGACCTAAAGTATTAGGCCAAGCAATTTCTTCATCTGAAAAGATTTTTGCATTTTTCATGAATTCATTTTCTATACTTTCTGCAGAACAATGTTCTAACCAATCAACAATTCTTTGTATCTATGAATAAAAATAATAATTTATTAATTTTATCTATAAATCATATAATTGTATGGATTACCCCTTTTAATTTTTGATCTTCTTGAAACAATGCATCTGATAAATCACGATCACTAATTATATTATGTATTTCTTCAGGTTCTAAATGTTGTACTTGGAATAATGTTAAGAGTAAACGCCATGTATTTAATTCATGTTCCAACCAATCCACATTCTAAAAATTCACAAGGTATGAAAAATTATTGAAAAATAAAATAAAATGAAATACATTTTTAAAACTATTTCATACTTGATGTTGATCTTTTAAAATGGAGAGCGTATCCATACAAACATCAATGAAGTATTGAAGTATTTCCAATATTTGTAAGGGTGAACTTATTTGATATGTATGAAGAACCTCCAGAAACTGATTATGTAACCTAATTTCAGCTAATGAAGCATATTTAAATTAGATAATTATTATTTATATTTTTAAGATTAATAGAAAAATATTTATCTTACAATTTGATTTTGGCTGTGCAGTAGTTGTGTCAAATATAGCACTAAGTTCACCAGGTGTTAGTGAAACAGACAAGTTGAATTGTGACTTTCTCATTTTTAGTTTTGTTAAATTATCTGTAAAATCTATTACAGATTCATTGTTACCTGTAAAAACAGTACATAGGTAGGTAACTTGTTCTTGAATCTTTTGTACAGTGACTGTTATGAGCATATGAAACATAGGATCCAATGCGTTTGAATAAAGAAAAGAGAAGTTAACTACTTCTCAAATTATTGTGATTACTTTAATGTTATATAACTTAACAGTTTTTTTTAAGTAATACTTAAGTAAAATTAGGAGGTAGAAATTGGAAGACACAAACATTGAATAGAGAAAACTGGAATCAAGGTTATATGTTGGGATGGTCCTAAGGGCCGATTTACCCAAGAAGGAAAATAAGAAGAATAAACTAAAATATTGTTAAGAAACCATGCATATGAAAGTAATTTCTAAAAAAAAAAAGTATGAAGTACTTAAGTATGAAGTAATATTATATATATATATGTGTATTTACTAGTGTTCAAGTCAGCAAACATTTCGGTTTTCATGGAATCGTCCATTGTTGGTATTTTTGTCAGAATTCTAAAAATTATACAAATAATTTATAAATATATGTTATATCCTGAAATAAATTAAATAAGTGAGTAGGTAGCTGCAAAATATTATATAAACAGGGATGGGCACTAATTGATACATACATCAATGAATCGATCAGTTCTATAGCCCAGTTATTTTTACAACTTGTAACTATTAATCTGTTACACCATTTTCAATTAACTATAACATGTAACTGGTTAAAAATTGTTTCATAACTTGCAATAAAAGATATATATATATATAACCTATATTTTGTGTAATAATTTACATTTCTTTTTATTTTAAAATGTTTAGTTAAGATTTTATAAAAAATAGTAATAATAACTATTTATTTAAAGTAGTTGTACAAGTATTAATTTTAACTTATACAATTGTATAATTTAATGCACATTATTGATTGACAACTATTTTCATGTATTTTTGTGAACATTTCTAACTATTGCTATGTTACTGTAACCAGTTACCTAAAATTAGAGTAACTTGTATTTACTATCCAATTACACTACATACCTACTGAAACTTGCTCATTTCTGTATATAAATATAATTAATAATAATAATAATAATAATTAATATAAGGTACATTAATATAACCTACCATAAATATAATAATTTAAAATAATCAATAGTTATATGCTATCAAATGGATTCTTGAAGGAAAGATACTTGGCTATTATAGAAAAAAACAAAAGATAGTGGATTAAAAGTGATCTGTATAAAATAAGGATACTAAAAAGAGTTTGAGAAGAATTTAGAAGTGTGATATATGTAGTGAAAGGCTGAAATAATACATTTGTTATGTACAGATAAACAAATGATTGAGCAATTCTTACAAAAGAAAAAAATATAAATAATTATTGATATATGATATATATATTATGAAGATATACTTAATTAGATGATGCTACCAATTAAATTTAAAAAAATAATAAATATATATATAAAAAAGAAAATTGTTTTACTTAATTATATTACTTTCTTCTATATTTATATTTAGCAACTGTTATATTTTTGAGAATAAACACATGGTGGGCATATAGTACAGAAATAATACATTTATACATACATGGTAAAAGTTATTTCAGTATACATAATAGAGACAAGTAAAATGGAGCAATAAAATAAAGCAAGTACAATACTATTTAGTACTATAAAGTAATTATATAAGACAAAAATATAACTAAAAAGTATAGACTACAAATATTTTTCTAACTATGTTTCATTTCCAAGAGATACTTAAAAAAAAAAAATCAAAAAAGTTTTTTAACTACCTAGAGTTAATATTCAATCAACTAATGTGAATAGACAATAATTACGGTTGACAGTAGATACATAGAATGAAAAGAATATTATTTTAATGTATTTATCAGTATTTAAATTTAGACTGTTGTTTGCATACTATAAACAGAATTGATCGAGGTTATATAGTAGCTTATTACACTCATCTATAAAAGAAAGTGTAATGAATAGCTTTAAATTGTATGTATATAAAGCGGATTTACAAAATCAAAATATTTTTTAAATTATTGACAAAAATTATAAATAGTAAGGGCTAACAATGAACACCTTGTGGTATTCCAGAGGATACATTAATATTCTGAGAGAATTCATTTAATTTGGTCAGATAAGTGATTTGAACCATGGAATAATTGGATCTCTTACATCAATAGTATGAAGTTTATTTATAAATACATTAACATTTATTGTGTCTAACGCCTTTTTAATATCCGTGTAGATGCCATCAACTTGAACACCATTGCATGCATTAAATCTGAATAAAGTACTATTAAGTTGAATTTGTTTAACAAAATCCATGTTTGTTATCAGGTAAAATTTGTTTTAAAAATATTACACTTTTGGTTCAAGATTTTCAAATAATTTTGGTAATACGTTCAGACAAGAAATAGGAGGATAATTATCTGAGAGATCAGTCCCGGACTTAAAAATTGGTTAAATAAAATTAGTTTTCTAGAGATTAGAAAAATATCCTATAGATAATGATAAATAAATACGTAATGAATTGAACAAGCTAAGGTATAAGAACAATACCAGTAATTAGATCTGGACCTAACATAGAAAAATCATTGTACAATCAATTTTGTATTAGCATTTATATTATTTCGATTTATATATGTTTTAATCAGACCGTAGAGACATATTGAAAAACAACTTCGACGCATACGTACCCAAATTAACGAAATGTTTTGTTCAACTTTAAGATGTCAGCATTCGATTTTCTAATAACGGAAATCAACATCAAACATACATACATGCGCGACGCGCGAGAATCGAAAACATAAATTCAGTATTTTGATAATTTGATAACGAACAAAATGTTGAATACCCATAGATAATAAATAAACACGATATTTGACCTTATCAAGAGAGAATTATATTATACAAATTTGAGGTTATAAAGGGCTATAATTGTGTTGATAAGGCGGGTTAGGTTACCTCCTTAGATCATATTATATACAATCATGGATCATGGAGTATTACTTTATGACAATGGATAGAGCCACAGCCTATAGATTATGTTATAGATTATATAATATATTGTCGATGATGTATATGTTAGCGACGAGTCACCAGGTGAGTAGCCATGCGCGCCGACGATTCAAATTGTCAACATGCATATTTTGTTCTTATCTATAATATATTATTGGTACTACAGTTTATTACCAATTTAATAAATACAAGTTTTAATTCATTCAAATTTATATGACTATTATTACTTATCTTACCAGTTATTTAATATTTAACACATTATTCACATCACATAAAGCAGTGTTTCCCAAAGTGGGCGATATCGCCCTCTTGGGGGCGCTAAAGCTATCCAGGGGAGCAATGGAAGTTACAAGCTTAATTGGGGGGTATTTCATTACAAAAAGGGGGCGGTGACAGTTTCATCTGTCGTTATCGCAATAACAGAAACACCGTGCGTGATCCAAATAATCTGAATTGTGTATTTTGTATTTTTAGATTAATCGTTCTTCGTCTATCGACAATCGTCGATAATCTGTCGTTATAGCGATAACAGAAACAACGTACGTGATCTAAATTATCTAAATTATTTTTGTATTTAGTACACTCGCGAATGCCGACCTTATTCGTTGTCGTTTTTATAATAATTTTCGTTAATTTGTTGCGTATTATTACTTGGTTGAACGTGGATTTAGTGCAGTAACCAATCTACTCACTAAAAAAAGACAACGGTTACAAATAACTAATCGTGGGGACTTAAGAATGCTGCTTACGAAAATCGAACCTAATATCAACGAACTTCTTGCAAAACACCAACCACATCCATCATTAAGGTATTTTTTTTCATTTGTACCAATACATTATACATACATTACATTCCATTTTTCATTGCATACTTTTGTAACAATATTTTTTTTAAGGGGGGGTGTCTGTCGGATTTTTTTTTTGGAAGTGGGCGGTAAAGATAAAAAGTTTGGGAAACACTGACATAAAGGCATCGAGATAAATATGCGACTAGTCGCTGGCTAAAAAGAAAAACGAAAATCGGCGAGTCTGTGGAAATAGATACGTAAAACTGTGTAAATTATAAATGAACCAAAATTGTGCCATAGTGGTTACGAATGTTCCGGTCAACAGAGTTTCAAATCGGTTTTCGCTAGAGAAATAGGATAATATCTACTTGCTTATTGCTTGTATGGTATGATAAATATATAGCACAAATCGCTAATCAATTATTCAAAGCAAGGCGCTTATAATAAGCGCCTTGATTCAAACTAGGCGTGAATATACTTAAGTACAATTTGGAATTACAGAATGAACCGATAGAACCTGAAAAATTGAGTACACTACAAAAAGCATTAGTTTCGATGTACTTACAATATCGCGAGTTGACGAGTTAGATTTAAGCCCACACCGTGCTAGAATGTTGTACATAGATTAGATATATAGGCTAGGCACAATTAAATAGACACTGAAGCTGTCCTTTACAAGAAACGACATACCTACTCTTATTGAGTTTATGATCAAAACTTTTAAGGAGTTTGGTAATTTTTAATTTACTTTTAATATCTGTTTTAATTTCTTAACTCAAATAGTCATAAAGAATTGAATTACCGACAACCAATGGGGGTACTATACGATATACGGTATCTACCTATTTAATAAGTTTAATTATTATACTCTCGAAATATATATAAATACTTTTTGAACCATATTTTTCTTTCATTAAACTGATTAATCTTTGAAATGAAAAGTTTTTTGAATTGGAAGTTTGTCTTTATTAAATGTTTGGTATTGACTTGCCGCTATATATTGGACTTACTGTACGCTAATGATATCAAAAAACTCGAAAAATATAATTGGACATTTTCCAGGGCGTAAAATTTCGCGCAAGTATCGTTTTGAATTATTTATATCAAAATAAGTTGATAGATATGATTTATTAATAAAGGTATTTGCTATTTTTTCACTATAATATTTTAAAGCATAGGCGTGTATGGATTTCATCTACAGGTTATGCGATCAGAAAAATTTTTTTGTGCCTTTAAACAATATAATAAAACATAATTGGGCCATAAAAGTCATACATTTAAAAGCTGAATTTTTTTTTTGCAAATTAATAAAGTTTTTTCATACCTGTAATGTATTGATAAATCTATATATAGTTTTAGTTGTTAAGACCTGACCATTCGTTTTAACAATACGCCACTGGGTATATTATTCTACAATACACATTTCATAAGTCTTATCTAAAATTTATTACGGAATACATAATTGAATAAATAAATAATTGATATAATAATATGAATACCGCGAAACAATAACTGTCTACTTATTTATATTAGTCTGTATATTCGAATGATAATGTCTTATTTCTTTGTATAGTTTTGTTTTTCAGCTCTAGTAAACAATCGACTAAACAGAACGTTAATATTATTAAACTTTATTGTCCCACAGAGAAATAATTGAGTATACATATAGGTAATTGAAATACTGACATATTGAAAAATTAATTAATTAATTCTCTGAATAATACGAATATAATGCGTAGTAATACAAGGTGTACTGCGTATTAAGTACCTACCTAGGTATTGTGATTTTACAAACCATTGGTCGACGGCATAATTGACGAATTCGCCAATAAAAACATGGAATTAACTAATTAATTTTTCAATTACTTAAAATTTACGCACTGATCGGCCTGCGCCCAAATCGGCGTTGTGCATACGGCGCTTAATCGTTTTGAGCAAGGCGATCAGGTACGCGTGTTGGATTGTCATGATGTCAACCGACGCGGACTCGACGGCAGACGCGACACCGTGTCGTTTCGTTCCACACCTTGTCCAGTTTTAGCGAATAGTAGTGATAAATGTGCGTCACCGTCGCTTCGTCCCAGAAGTTTGTGGCCAGACCGCGAGTCCTGACGTCGCCGTCGTCCGAAAATCTTACGGATCTCAGGAGTGCAAAGATCTTCGGCAGTGCACACAAGTACATCGACTTCGCGGCCGGGCTGCGGTCGGCCAACAGATTTTCCGCCGTAATCTGCTCGCGTTGCTCTCGGAAAATGTACGCGTCGTCTGAAATATTGCGCTCCAGACTTCAAAAAAATTATCCCGGCCGAAATATTGTAATGTTAAAGTATGTGTATATGTGTGCACGGGAATACCTAAAAATTCGAATAGGATTTTTTCGCTCCGCCAGATATCGCACACGAGTTCTGAGCAGAGTTCTATTACTATTAATTTTGAGTTTTCCTTAGTTACCAAGGTAACTCAGAAATCAACAAAAATATTCAAACAATTTTCGGTTTTTGCATTTATTAAGAAAAAATGTAAGGAAAATCAAAATATAACCTCCTCAATACTTCAACTAGATTAAAAACGCTACAAGAAAATTACCATAAAGTTTTTGATTAGAGCAAGATTTCTAGTAGAAAAGTTGTTTTTATAAAAAAAAAAAAAACACATACGAGTAGTAAAACCAATAATACGAGTACATGCCTCTCTTTGCTCAAAATCTAAAAAAAAAAAAAATCTACTTTGATCAGATTAGGGTCGTCTGTTGAATATTATTTTACGTACAATAACTGATTTTAGAATATAGCGAGCGAACGAATTTTTTTTTTAATATCACTGCCCCATAAATCGCGCTTGTCTATATATTTTTACAATGTGATTCCTACAAAGCGGTCGCGGTCAGCCGTTATTTGTCACTGAGTATATAATCTCTAGTATCAATACGACGGACCAGCTGACTTGGGATTTTCAGTGATTTATTGTCGGTTTCTGAACCCCATATACGTATGTATAATATAATGTATAGTATATAAAACTTCCGGAGGGGTGCACTATATAGGTTTAACTCGATTTTTTTTCGATATTTTTTTATTTTCATTGTTTTAATAATTGTGTAGAGCCCATCAATATTTCTTACTGCGTTACGTGATATTATAATATCGCATTGGTCGGTCCAGGAGAGAGACGCAGTAGGGGTATTCTTCTTTCAATATTCGACATAAGCACATAAGTAACTATTTTATATTTGGCACAGTGTTAAAGTATCAAGAAGTATTGTAAAATAAAATCCCCTCTCACTTTGCCATCGATTATTATTTTTTGGTTACATAATATAAAGACATAAAATCATAATGAAATTATATCGCCTAAAGGCAGAAAGTAAAACAAGATGGTTAGCACAACGTGAGGCTATCGAAGTCGTGTTTAAAACATCTTGATGAAATATTTCCAATTCTTGAAGAGTTAAGTACTCACAGACTCACGTTTGAGACTAAAACTTATAAACTTATTACTGTATGTACACTACTTTCCCGATTTCCCACATACAACAGTGGCTTTTATCTAGACAAAGATAAAAGATAATTTTTGAAAATGTACCAAGATGATAAATATAAAAAATTCAAATTCATCTAGATTAAGAAAAAAAAAGCTGTCCTACAATAAAGGGGACGGGTGCAGTAACTGTTGTAGTTGGGAAGTTGGGAAGGTAGGATACAGAAGGGAACTTAATGTATATCTGCAAGCAACAGTAAACTCTACACAGTACAAACAGTAAACTAAACAGGGTTCAGTTGATAGTGATGCTTTGTCAACAATATATATTTCATATTATGGTCAAATAGGCATTACATATGTTTTTTAATTATATTTGTTTAATATTATACCGATTTTCTTGTTTTTCGTACATTTTCTATTTTTTCCTTCATTTTTTCCCAGTTTTTCCAATTTATTGGGAAAACTCCTGGTAAAATCGAAAAATTAATTTTTTAAATAATCTTAACATTTTAAATTTACACGAAAAAAAAAACCGTTATCGTTTAGATAAAAATATGGTTATTTTAAAATTGTTCATAAAAAAAAATATATATATTTATTTGGATTCGTACGCTGTAGACTACATGGTAGTATAAGTCTTCTTAATTCTTAAAACTTTATGATTGTGACACGTGTTAGCATTTAGCAATATTAGCATTTTTTATTCTAATCGCCGTTATTTGTGGTAAAATATAATATGTTAAAATATAAATTATTATTATTATTATTATTATTTATTTTCAATAATATAAATCATTTCCTCTATAAATTATCATTATAATTTTCAATTTGTGTCATAACTACTACGTAGGCACTATTTTTGAATACGTGCAACATACCTATACGGAGGCATAAGGACTGCGGAATACCGACTTCGGGTATAAAAAAGGCTAGAAATATAATTATTTACTTTATTATATTATCAATATTGACTAATAATTATGATTCTACTAACCTATTCGAAGTTTGAATTTTTCGTTTCTGAATTCAGTATATGATAACGATATACAACTATTAATGTGGAATACAACGTAAAAGTGAGCTTTAATCTTAAACTTAATAATCTTATACGATTTGTTAATTTATGCATTTTTATTGTTCATACGTAATTAAACAAAACAATTAATTATTCAAGTAGGTACCGTCTGTGGATTGGGACTAAACGATTCAAACTTGTTTAGCGATTCGACTGGAATAAAGTGATTACTTCTTTTGGTGATCCGTTAAACTCGTTTATCTGCGGCAAACTCAACGGCGTAGACTGTTAGCCAGGTTATTGTTGTTCGTGATAATTAAATCCCGGAATTATATATTTTTTAAATTATTGTCATCTCCATTCTCCACACTAATAGAACTCTGTATTTTCGATCAATGTAAGTAATGTTTTTATGGCCAAAAATCGAAAATTAACAATATTCGGCAAAAGCGATATAGTCGTGCACATCTATAGACACGCTGTTTTGTCCAGAACTCAGTTCGATCATTATCGAGATTGTTCAAAGCCTTGGAATTCATGTGCGGAAAACAGGCACTGCCTTAGTTATCGAAGAACCTAGATTTTCAATAAAATTCGAATGTGCCGTGTATCAACCGTGGAATGCTGATTTAGTCAATATGATACTCGCTCCGGAGGTATCTGCCTAATTCATACGGGTTAACGAAATTCTGTTATTAACTTTACTACGTAAGTATGATTTAGCATTGGCCAAAGAAGCAGGATAATAATCCTACAATCGTACAATAGTACGCCACAGTGGCTGTGAGCACGTGCTATGACGACATTGTTGATATTGATTACTGTTGTGAGGAAGCATCGGAGACAGTCAATGTAGCAAACGTTAACAAAGTTAGTAAAAAAAAAAAAACGTAGAATACAATAATAATACAATAATAGTAATAATTTTGTTTTTATTATTCTTGAGAGTACGGCCAACATAAAATAAAAATCATAAACAGTTATACACATTCTTAGTCCTGCTCGCTATAAAATATTCTTAGAGTACTGCTGACTTTATTTTATGTCTTCATCAAAACATTTCAAATAAACTAAAATACCCACGGATAGCTTTATAGTATTAAAATGGAAAACCATATAGTATTAAAACTTTGATGTCTTCGTCGTTAAAATTAAAATTGAAGTACTTCACATTTAACCTGAAAATGTAACATTCCGGGGATTGGTTTGTAGGTATATCAAATAATTTAGGTATCTAGGTAGTATTTTATTTAACATTTAACTAGGGATATTAATGTGCCAGTTTCCCATGTCTTCTACATCGCTGTCCAAATCCTAAATCGCTAAGGAGTTGTATCTAGATACATTGTTGATCCTTGATTCTCTTGAACCAACTTTTAGAACCATTTAAGACGACATTTACGACAAGTAATGTTGTATTCTTGTCCCTATTGACAGATGGTTATTTAAAAACATACAAAAATAATTTTAAGCAATGGACCATATTATGTTACATATTAGAACTTAAATAGCAGTTTAAAACAAATTTTTAAACCCAAACTAAAAATAATATTATTTACAAAACATTTACTTGAAATTGTGTAATGTTGTTATTATTATTTTCAAGGTGCATTATTATTTCTATATTGGTATTTTTTAAATCCTATTAATTTTATTATCCTTTTGTACTAATTATTTTTATTTTTAATAATTTCTTTAGCATCACGTCCGAGAAAGCGTGCAAAATATTAATTGAACGTTCCACATTATATTTTAACGAAGACCTATTATTGACAATAATAATTCTTAGTAACTAAATCCTATTATCATAATTACAACATTATTTCTGTTTGGGGTTGGAATAAAATATTAACAGTGTTTATTATAATCGTAATTCTTTTTTAAAATGTTGTTGTGGGTGCCTAAGTAACCTTTGAAATTCCTATTGGTACTAATATAAAACCCTGTAATTAATTCAACTCGACTTTTGTAATATTTCATTGATATTTAAATGCAAATTAAAAAGTAATAAAAAAAAAATTATTTATAATCATTAATAATATCAAATACTGCACGTTGAGCGGTCATCATTGCAGTTAATATTAAAATAATATTTTTGTACTGGACGACCGGCTGCGTATTTCGAAAAAAAGTTCTTATATTTCTCTATTTGAATAAATAAAAAAAAAACATATTAATATTGGGTGTGTAAAAAATATTCAGTATCTACATTTGGAATATGATAAATTTAATTACAATATGCGCCTGTTCTATATGTACTTATGGAATAAAATGGAATTACTATTTTAAATTTTGTGATATTTGTGTGAATAAGATATGATCGTCTGATTTGATTCCCAAGATGGTGCAATGGCTTGGATTTTCCTTTTTGACATTTAAACTGTATCCTATAAGAAAATATCAAAATAATAATGTTATCATCAAAACAATAAAACCCGATTTATTTGATTTATCGCGCGCATTTATTGAATGGGTATAATATTATGGTAAAATCAACTTAATAAATGTGCCAAATATGAAAAATATTATATATATATATATATATATTACAATTACAATAATAATACAACATACCATGATATTAAGATCTATATACCGAGCGATCTATTTAAGTTGGTCCACTTATTATTTCGAAAAGTATTAAATTTTTTCGGAATTTGTTTTCTAGAACATTTAAGTAAAAAGCTGATCTACAGTTTTATATTTATGTTATCTTTTGTCACTCTTATTTTTGGAAGCAAAACCACTACCTACTTTTGATTTTCAAATGGTAACCTATATTAAACATCCCAAAAATAGACGGAGCATTAGATAAAATAAATTTTAGTGTCGACATTTTTGATTTCCGTCAAACCGTTGACGAGATATTCCACTTTTAAGTCTGGGTTGGAGGTAAGTAGTGGCGTGCCGCCACACAAATGATACTTCATTACTCTCTCCCGACCTAAACATAAAAGTGGAATATCTCGTCAACATCAAAATGTATTTTAACTTGTACTCCGTTTATTTATGAGATCTTTAATGTAGGTTGCCATTTGAAAATCAAAAGTAGGTAGCGGTTTTAGTGTTTTACCCAAAAAATATGGATAACAAAAAATAACATAAATATAAAATTGTAAAGCTGATTGTTTCTTAAATGTTCTAGAAAAGAAATTCTTAGTTAATACTTTCCGAAGCAATGAGTGTACCTCACTTAAATGGATCATCCGGTATTGTTTGAATTCGTTTATTAATATTGTTGGGCAACATTTGCATTTTTGAAATAATACATCAAATTAAATAATATCTGGTACGCATTTGTGATGATTGATCAAGTAAGTTTCCGACGGTTTTTTTTTAAATGCTATTTTAGGGTAGAGGAACGTATTATTCATTAGTGTTTGTCTACTGCTAACCAACCACCAAACAGTGTTAGAGGTCCATATAAATGACCATATAGTTTCCCAACCCTGACTAACTGTGTTTATTATTAAATGTTTTAGATTCGGAGCTTAGCGAGGGATTTTATGGTTTTACTATGATGTGTTTTTTTTTTCTGTTTGTGAACAATTTTATTTATCTACCAAAGATCATGCTCCATGTGTAGCATCTTTTCTGAAAGGAAATTTTTTTAGTTGGTGCATTAAGGAGGTCATTTTTTTTAATTTCCCAAGGGTTTTCAAAATAATTGAGAAAATCTCTAAAGAAAATTATAGGTACAACGGCAAATATTTACGGCGCGCTGCGGTGTTAACGTTTCATTATTTTTACACGATGTTTTTTACCAGAAATATTTCTCCAAACGAAAAATGACAAGCAATCGATATTGTTCCTTTTAATATTTTTCCACTGATCAAGAAAGTCGTTTATCGATATCCAAGGTATTTTTCATAATAATTGGGAGAAACGAAAAACGACGAAAAATAAGAATTTTTTTCAAATTACGGTGCAACTATTTAATTATTTACAATTTGTATGGTTTATATTTTCATTATAAATATCACTCTAATAGAAAAATGTTAAGAGAATTTTTTTATTGAATTTTAATCTAATTCGTGTCAAAGTATTTAAGTACTAAAGTATAGAATTAAGCTCAGAATCGCTCTTTCTTATGCAATGGTTTAAATGGTTGCTTACAGGTGTACATTAAATTACCTATAATATCGTCTGCACCCGTCCCTATTATCCTAGGACGTCTTTTTTAAAATGCATTATTTTTTATGTTACAGTAATTTTAAAACAATAAATTAGATTTCATTCTTTAACGATGTATTGAACGTTATAACCAGAATAATAAGAAAAACGCAACGCCTTGCCCTCCAGAATATTGTCCTCTTTTAGTTTTATAACGGGTGCTTTTAGTCTAAAACCGAAATTAAGCGAGTTCTTACTATTAGCTCTTAGCCGTATAGTTTTTACTACGTAAGGTAGATTTTGCTATTTCGCCCGTTAGTTGGAGCGAAACAGCACATGCGGGTATAGCGTCATCATTCCCTGCCTATTTGGTTTTATTAAAATTAATTTTTAGAGACTGACAGTGTGCGTTATCTATTGGCACGTATTAATTTATGTGTTTTCATCTCGCCCACGATCTTAGATTTCGCCAATATCAGCAGACTATCTAGTGTATATTTTAAACTATGATTAAACAATGCCATATCCATATTACTCTATGCATATAATTAAATAATATATATATATATACATCTATGTTTGCTATCGTGCAAGTTCGTGACATCAGTATCTGCATTTTGAACATGATACATTATAATAATGCACCTGTTACCGACAGATACCTATGATTTCAAATGAAATTAATATTTGGTGATATTTGTATGAATCAAATACGATTGTCCGATTCAATTCCAAAGATGGTGCAACGGCTTGGATTTTCCTTTTTGAAATTTAAACTGGATCAACACTAAGAAATACGTCGCGATGATACCGCATACCTAAAAGAAAATATCAAAATAATAATATTATCATTATCGAAATAATGAAACCCGATTTATTAGAACAATTGATATAATATCGATGGTGTTTTGTTAAAAGGGAGTATAACCACTAAAAATCGAAAAATACGTTTTTGTTACCAAAAAGAAAAAAAAAAAAAATCAGATAAATTAGAAGCATAAACTGGTAAAAGGGCGTATTTAAATACAAAAAATTAAGTTGGTAATGTCGATTAAACGATATCCAGGTACCCTTTTAAAATACAATTAAATCAACATTGGTTTATTAAAAAAGCGTATATCACATTCAATGCATGTATACTTCGTGTACAAAGTATTATACGTACGAGCAATTTTATTGTTTTCGATGATAAACATCACTAAAATCACTGTTTTATTATTTTTTTTTTTCTAACATGAGTGAAATTTTGATAGACGCCTTTTTAACAAAACACCATCGATATTATTATGGCGAAACCATCTTCAAAAATATGCCAAATATGAACAATGTAATAACTACATCGAATATCTATAATTTAACGTTTAGATCTCTATATAGTTTGAACTCGTTTATTTTTATTGTTCGGCGTGATTTGTATGTTTGAAAGAATACATCAAGTCAAAACGTCTTTGACATAAACGTGAAAACGCCGTGTAATACTCACTGACTTGATAAAGTCCATGTCAATAATAATGTATCCGCCGATGTTCGCTTTTATTTTTCTAGCGTTTACTCGTACCCAAAATATAGTGATCTGAAATTGCACAATAAGGTCGGTCCATAGTTTAAAAATCGATATTTTAACCTTAATTGTAACATTGTATTACAATTACCATTTTCTTTGTTTCCAAGTCTAAATGATATCCGCGCGAGAGTTTTAATTTTTGTAAACTCGCCAAAGTCCTTTGGGCCTGTTTATTAAAACGTATAATACAATAATGTTAATAATACGTATAGACCTGTTGTGTACACGGTTATCACTAAAACATTAACTCGTGTGTTTGATACTTCTGTTTAGAAGTCGGCTAAAAGCTCGTGCGTCAACTACGCTAAATAAATAATGATAATACACGAAAGACAACGGAAAAGTGACCGGCCTGGTGAGAAAGATGTTCTCCGATGGTGCTGAAACACGACAGCTGGAAGAGGGACAGCCCGATCTCGGCCGCGTGTTCTACGATCAGTATGGCGGCCGAGTGGCCGAACGGGTGGTCGGCTATGCGCACAACTGCCGACAGTTCGATGATCCGGAACACGATCATTATGAGCCGCACTATGGTGTACGGCCACTTGAACAACAGAGACAGCACGTAGGCCCGGTTGAGTGTGTCGACCAGCCGGCCGAGCTCGTCGTGGACGTCGGAGAGGCGGGCCAGTAGTCGGCGGGCCGATACCGGGTCCCGGTAGATGTCTATCGTCTCCAGCAGCCGGTTTACGCGCGCGTAACCGCGTTCCAGTACGTAGTACTGGAGCATCGCCAGGTTGTAGAGGGCCGTCTGGCCCATCGAGTAGAAGGCGTACGTAATCGTGACGCGGAACGGTATGGTGGTCGTGTACATCAAAATGCACGTCATGTATGCGGCGATCACGACCACCGAATAGTATTTGACGCAGGGCGATAGTCGGACCGTGGCCGCGCCGCTGGCTCCCCAGTCCGCGGCGTCCGTGTCCCGGAGAAACGCCAGCGTCCGTTCGGTGCCGGCCAGCGCAACCACCTTGTGCCGGCGGCCGCCGAACATCAGGCACACGAGTACCATTAGCGGTCCCCAGTTCCGGTTGACCAGCTCGATGATGGCTATGCAATACGACTCTTCGAAACACTTCTTGAACGATTCGCCCACGTAGCCCAACGCCTCCCGGTAGTTGTAGAACGCGATGTACGCGTCCAGCGCTACGTACGCCAACCACACGGGCACGAAGCGCACGTCGAACGAATATCGGTACCCTGCGCAATACAGAGTGATCATCGTAGGACACTCATTATCTCGGCGGAAAGCATTAACGTTGTTCGGAACTTGTTTTTTTAGAACGTTTAAGAAACGAGCAGCTCTGTAATGTTATACAGGATGATTTACTAAGCGCGTTCACCCCGTTTTTCTTGTTAAATTTTGCGTATATTCAAATACAAATTATATATATATATATATATTCTGAATTTCGGAATTTTTAAGTGTAGTTAAAGCCGATATTTTCGAATACTTAGATTTTTCACAACATTTAAAGAGTATTCTGTGGCAATACCAACATTGGTTTTTCAGACTAGAATCTATATTAAACATCCCATAAATAGATGCAGTATTTTTCTAAATAAATTTCGGTGTCAATATGTTTGATTTCCATCAATCCGTAAACGCGATATTCCACTTTTAAGTTTTGATAGGGAGAGAATAGTGAAGTATTACGAAAGTAATCCGTGTGGTTGGACGGTGCGCGTCGTTTTATTAATGTTCTTAAAAGGTTCTCATGTGAAAAACCAAAGTTGGTATCGCCATAGGATACCTACTCCTTAAATGCTGTGAAAAATCTAAGTATTCGAAAATATTGGCTTTAACTACACTTGGAAATTCTAAAAATCAGAATTTGAATCTATGCAAAATCGTACAAAAAAAAAAAAAATGGATGAGGACGCTTAGTGAATCACCCTGTACGACCATTATTTTTACTCCTCCTTATTTTAGGGCTAATAGTGCTGTTTTGTTAACAATATATATTGTCATATTATGGTATAATTACAATTATTCCAATTCCAAATTTAAAATGGATCCCGTTTTTCCAACGTTTTCCCCGTTTTTTTTCGGGTTTTTCACATTTGTTGACAAAACTCAGGAGAAAATCTAAAAACGGCCTCTAAAGTACCTCCTCAGTATATTTATCTTTTTGAAAAATTGTTATCATTATAAGCTGGAGCAAAATTGCTGGTAGAAAAGTTATCCACAGAAAAAAATAAATAAATATCTTTGCTTCTTCAGAATCTAACAACGATTTTGAGCGGAATATTTTAGTGTTATAAGTATTGCCCCATTATTGCAGTCAATAATGTAACACAGAAATCAACACAAAACAAATCGATGTATCGACATTTGTTGTCGGTTTCTTTTGAAATTATCTGAAAAACCCGTCAGGAATCTAGACCTTTTTTTTTTTTTTCAAATATAGTAATCACTGCGCGGGAAAAAAAACCCCCATCTTTTAAGATACTGCGTGAAAAACCGGACGATTTTTTACAAACCGAAAAAATCGTTAAGTAAAAATCGCGGTTTCTTCGCTACACTCAGAATACTGTACAATAAAGTTTCCTTTACTAAAAAAAAAAAAAAAAATAAAAACAAAAAAATTCTCTTTATCACGAATCAATAATGTCTGAAATAATACAGTTCAATGACGCGCACGTGGCGCGTGCACGTCTCATATTTCCGTAATATTTCCGACTTGTTTCGCCGTGTATTTCGAAATCGCTCCATATCGGCGCGTGTCGTTACCTCGTACAACCGTACAGTCGTCGGTGCGGCGGTCGCGTTCGCGGGTATTTTCGATTTTTCTCCGTGTTATCGGCAGTCCCCAGCACAACGTCAGTAAATGTGTCAAACGCACGAACCCGTAACACTCGCCGCTATCATCGGCTTTCATAATGTTCCGCATCCGAAGTCTCGGCTGTTAGTCGTCGTCGCGCGTCCGCGAGATATCAGGTTTGAGACGGTATACCAATGTCAAAATAACTCGCAGTGGTTTTTTTCGTTTTTTTCGTTTTTACTGCGTTCCAAACCGAACGACGTCCGCGACAATCGTCTCGCGACTCCCAGTATAATTTATTTCGACCGTATATTATGCAGTGACAACGATGTCTCCACAAACGTCGCGAAGTATCATTATCGTAATGGTTGGTAAAATACACTGTCGCGGACAACCTACTTTGGTGCGTAATAACATAGCGCCGCACTTCGACAGTTCGTCAATACAATTATCACCTGTATAGTATTACACGGGTATATAACCTGTTACAATGCTACCAGCGGCGTGTTCGACTTAGTTTTATGGGGGTTGGGGGAGGGGCGCAGTGACACTGAAATTATTATACATAAGGTATTATGTGTGTATACATACAAGATTGTATTCTACCCTATTTATCTTACACGTGATGTTTTTTTATTTTTGTTTTGGTGTCTGATGACGCTTTAAATAGCAATATTAAACATTTGTATAAATGTATATATATATATTTATATAGCAAATGTATACAGTGGCATATTTTCGGGAGGGTCGCGGGTTTCGACCTTCATCCCAGAAGAGAAAAAATTCGTTCAAAAATCATAAATGACTTGCTACTAAGGTATAGAGAAAGAGAAACATTAATTCATACGGGGTGATTTTTTTTTTTATTTATCACGAATCAGTTATTATCTCGAAAGATTTTTAGCAAATTTGATTTCTGTTATTTTTAATCTCCGTACAATCGTTCAAGCTTTATTTTAAAACCATTTTTAATTTTTTACCCTTACTTCATGTATCGTAGATAAGAATATACTTTTGTTTTTCAAACGGAAACCCCCTCTTTTTCAACAAGTATATTTTATTATTACAGTATATTTTTCTAGACATTTTTATATGCATAACATTAATATTATTAACATTAATATTAGTTTCACCGTTTATGAGTTATAATTGTTTGAATAAACTTTAAACAAAACAGACCGGAGGAGTAGGGAAGAGTTATCAATTATCATTTAAAAGTAGTTATACAATTTATGAAGTAGCGGTAAAAAATTAAAAATGGTTTTGAAATAAAGCCTAAACAATTGTACAAAACTTAAAAAAAAAATATATAAATCAAATTCACTTAAAATCTTCCGAGATAATATTACTGGTACATGAGAAAAAAATCAAACTTTTTTAGAAAGATGTTAAACCCCCCCCCCCCTTCTCACAAAATAATTGAAAATACGCCACTGAACGTATAAAGTAAATATCTACACAAAGTAATAGAAAGTTTGAAAAACGAGCTACTTTCAATGTAACATTCTTAATGAATATTCCATACATATCAATTATTCTATAAAATATATGGTTCAGATACCCATCATGGGCCCACCACCAACCACCCATTAAAAGATGGGCGGTGACTGCCACCCTTGACTGCTGGTTTCGGCGCCACTGTCTCCGGCTCTCTAGAACCGTATAGGCTAGCTAATAATGAATGTACATATAAATATATATTTTTTTAATAAAAAAAAACCGTAAAAAAAAAAAAAAAACCCGTCTCATACTATACCGCGTGTCTCAGCGATATCATTGCATACCGGCGGTCCATTGAAATCGTGTACTCACATAATATTATTGTATACTTTTATACGATATTGTTGTAAATTAAACGTCTAATTGTTTTTTTTTTTACTTTTCACGTTTTTTTTAAATACACGCGAAAACCAAGCGTTTGTTTACAGACTCGAATTTTTTTCGTCCATTAAAACGATTTTTTCCGACGGCAGCGGCACGAGGGGCGAGTATAATTTTATTCAGTAGCTGGTACCTACGATCCTGCACCTATATAGGTGTATAATATTATTATAAATAATCCTCGGAAATGTTCTTTTATCTTAATCGCCGGGTCGTTGTCGGCCACGTAATATTATAAAACGTCCAGTTTTTAAAATTTACTATTTTATATTTTAATCGAATTTCAACTTTATATGTAAAATATTTCCACACAGACGTTGGTTTTTTTTTTTTTTTAAACGCTACTTAGAAAACCGAGACCAGCGTTAATTTATTTCCGTGCGCGTTTTAACGGCGTTTTCATTTAGAGAATATTGTCGTTCACAACATTTTGAATTTAAAAACACACACTCGGCCTGCACGGTAATACGATACTGGGTATGACAAAATATGTTTAAATTCACGCGATAATGAAAATATTGAATTGGTGGTATTGGTTAGCCCATTAACACTCGTAAAAAATAACCAGGGACGGGCCAATATCACTTTTTACCGATTTACTTAACATGTAAATCCATCTATTTATGGAATATTTGAAATAGACTGCTTGAATATAGATATATCGTCTCTCGGATATTCCATTAAAGAACGCACGTGAACTATAGTAAAGTATTTGATTTTGTAGATTGAAATGGGTATGTTATTTTAAAATATTATACATAATAAAAATAAACGTTATCCGTTCGTTGATGTGATTATTTTTATAAATTTCGCGTATAAGAGCAACAGAGAAGCTATTCGATTTACCAAAATGCAGTTCTTTTTCTCTTCTAAAACAACGTGTACACAACAAAACTTGCGGATTTTCTGCCCGGTGATACTTCGTTTAAATTTTCAACGGCTTTTCAAGTAATTTAGTATCGAGTAGTAATCAGTTTTGGACAAAACCAATGGCACACAGAAAATTGAAATTTCGAATCTATGCGGACATCCTGAATCGCGAATTCTAATAAGTGTTAACCGGGAGTCACTTGAGTTTTGTAATCTTTTTTCTGTGTTTTTTCGATTACACAAAAAAAAAAAAAAATCAATTCCTTGTTTAACCTAACTTAACCTTACCAGTTAATATACTTGTGGTATGAAGGTTGTGAAGGACACTCCCCTTGGAATATACTTAAATTAAACATTACAAGTTTCACTCAGGTTTGAGGGGGATGTCAAATTTTTTTAACCAATATTTGAAGACACTATATGACAATACGAGCATCGCACAGTAAGCTTAAGAAAAACATATTAAGTGCGCTGAACCATACTCATAATAATAAGCCGAGTTCCATAATATATATATTTTTTAGTAGTCTGAATATTTATGGAAATTAGCTGAAAACACTATTAGCCAATTAAATGCACAAACAAATCAAGTGTCGTTTCGTGGATACCGTCGCCGAAGAAATTAACGTAACTTCCACAATAGTATAAATACCGTTACAAAGCTACTTAACGCGATGAAATATTTTTTGGGATATTATATAAATAAATACAGTACTTGTTCATTTTATGACTACGCTCAGCATCGTTTTTCTTTAGCAATGACTAATCGTTATTTACAGATATCCATTAAATCCTCGCTATAATATAGGATATGTGGATATTATCCTGCTTTTTTAACTTCTCACCTACAACAGTGGCCCATCCATCGTGCGAAGTATGTCAGTTTTTTTTTTCTGTTGACATTTTCAATTTTCGTTATAACTTAATTATGTCATCGACAATGGGTTTTTTTTATAAACATAAGTGATGTACTTAAATGTATGTATTATTTTTTATTGTTGAAACTTCGTTGGATATCAGTAATATACAAAAAAAAAAAAAAAACGGTGGATGTAACCGTTATCGAGAGAATTTGCCCGGAATCACGTCAAAAAGAGAAACTCCCATCAGCATTGATTACGGTTTTATCGTGTTATTATTATTTTTAATACATTGATAAAACGCACGTGTTTTTTAGTACCCGTGTTTATTAAATTTTATATTATAAAGTTTCGTTTGGAATAAAAAGCCAAATAGGTATATTATTGTAATATAATTTATGAAAGTAATGAAACAATTCTATTATACAATTTTTAAAACGTGCGCTTCGCTCTTACTTTTGTTTAGCTTTTCGTAGTTCCCCTCTTTTTAAGTACGCACTTGAATACTTACAACGGTGCACACGAACTTATTCAAGCATATAATATTTTTATGACGTTTGACTGGTCCAAGTTTATAGCTAAGAAGTTTCTCCGCGGGTATGTGTACGTTTTGTCGAAAACGAGCTTTACCGCATAGTATTAAGGGATTTAAACTCAATAACTTCTCTGATCCCGTTCTCTTTACTCCCATAATGCCCATTCCCTGTTTACCGGACTTTTCCATTTGAATATAAGGTATACAACATACAACATTTAGACGGTCGGTTTTGCATATCATACCTGTCTTTCTTATTATTTAATTTATTATATTTCCACGCAACGACGACATTTTTATCGCGAATAATTCGCTTAACTAAACAATCGGTTTTTTGTAAAAATGCATTTAAAACAATGCCGAAAAAAAAATTACATTTTATTAAAATGTATTTTAGTATAAAGTTTTATTCATCATTTGTGCGAGCCAGATTCCCAGCTATGGTCACTCGTTTCTATTTTGTTCGTTAATAGTGTAATTTTGTAATTTCATATTTCATAATACGGTTATTGTTTTGTTGTATTCATCCACATTAATTTATTTACTGGACTATATCAATTATTTCAAAAACATAGATAACAGGGTGGGATGGCCGTTGGACGGAAAAATGCAATTTAAAAATATTAATACTTACTGATTTTTCACTCTCGCACAATGTCCCGAAGACTGAAATTCAAATTCCGTATTGTCAAAATAAATAATGTTATTTATGGTTTAGATTAGAATTTTTTTCAGTAACCATATAATTAAAATAAAATAAATAATATCCAATCAAATATTGATAGAAAGAGGTTTTTGAGATGACGAATCCACGGCACTATGTTATAAGAGATTATGGATTTTTTTTAGTGAGAAATGTATTGGTTCTACAATGATGTTTTTTTTATCCGTGGACGACTTTTTTATTGGCAAAATGGTGGGACAATTATCGAAAATAATATTTTTATTATTTAAAATTTTTTTTTTTGCTGTAATTCTGTGAAAAATTTTGTTAAGACTTGCAATTTCGACAGACAACTTATATCTGCTTTTATAAACTAGTTCAAAAATCTGAGCTTTTTTTAAGCTATTTTTCATTTTAATTTTGCGAGTTTTTTACGTAATATTTAATAATATTTTTATGTATATATTTTTCTAATTAGAATTTTAGTATCGAATTTTGACGAAAATCGTAAATATTACGGCATTTTAAAAATGTATAACCGAACTCCGCTTAAAACTGTTTTCCGATGGCAAATATTAACCATATTGCGTACAGATATATATTAAATTCTCCTCTATATCTCACATTTCCAACTTCTCACCTATAACAGTGGCCCATCATTGTGCAAATTATGTCTTTCTTCTTTTCATACTTATTATTTTTGTTTGTTAAGCGTGGCCCTATAAATCCGAAATCGAGGGAGGGGCTGGTTTCCAGTTTATTTAAAGAAAACCGTTGAAACTTTAATAGCGGCGGAGTCTACGGGCTGTCGCAAACATTACAGTTGCACGTGCACAGCTCTCCGCTCATGTTATAAATTATTATACTATTGTAACCGACGGATATTGATAGCTGAAATAAAATATGATACTCATACCACGATATAATTTGATCCACATGACTACGATCCGGTTTTTAAAGCGCTCAATTTAGCCTCTCTTGCTGATCATAAGCGTTCTATGAGTATATATTTTTTTAAGGGACTATTGGAAATCTAAGTCGACTCTTTTGTCCTAGTAGCATTGATTAAATTCAAAAGTCTTCCGAGAACAACAAGAACTACTGTTGCTTTCCTTGGATCCCATTCTACCACTTACTATACCTACGGAATGAGCCAATTAGGCGGCTAATGTATCTCGTCAATGCGGACCCCTCATCCATTCTATAACTATAGTAACAATAATGTTTCTGTCCAATGTTATTGTAAGTAAATCTTCCGTTGTATTTTTTGTTATCTTACTTGTTACTGTTGTCTAAGGGCTTCTGCCCGTTTATTTATTTAAAATAATAATTTTCGAACGTAATTTTTCCCCCGAGCGTAGCGAGGGAGCTATTGGTTTTACTAAGATGTTTATTTTTTTTATTTTCTTCTTTTGTTCTAATCTGTGGACACGTTTTTTCTAAGTAAAATTGTTCCGATTTTTAGACATTTTTCTGAAAGCTCAAGTTATTTTGATGGTATTTTAAACAAGTCATTTTTTGATTTTCGAAGCCATTTTTAAATAAAAGCACCTAAGTGGAAAAAAAAACGTAGGAAAACGTAGAATTTCACGATTTCATTATTTTATAAAAACACGGACGACGTTTTCTACCAGAAAAAATAATGTAATCGAAAAATGACTTGTTAACTTTTTTGTTGCCTTTTTCATTTATTTTTTTATGGTATAATCGCTAAAACTTTTGAGCCACTTTTGAGCTTTTATGAAATTTGAATTTTTGGGAGTTTTTTTGCTGTTATTCGGTTATAAATACACGTAAAGACATGAAACTTAGTAATAATGCTTATATTAGACTTACCTTAGACGTGGTAAAATTTCCAAAATCATCAGACGACTTTTTATTTTTTTTTAACAATTGTTTTGAAATCAAATTTAAACGAAAACTGCGCTCGGAATCGTCTTTCTTCAAGCAATGGTTTATCGATGCTTACAGATATAAATGAAATAACCTTATGTATTCTACCTTCCTAACTTGTCATGTACAACAGTGGCCGCTCTCATCCCCAAAATCAGCTCTTTTTTTTAAATGGTTTTTTCATAAGCAGACGCGTCGACGCGACGTATTATTGTAGAAAATGCGACTCGTGACAATGTGATGTACGTACATTATTTTATTACCCGGATTTGGTCGTTAAAATATGATTCGAGTATTTTCTGCGCGGAGACGTCGTGAAGTTTGTTGTCCCGTCGCCGCGTCGTGCGTATCACGTGCTCCGGGTGCCGGTCATAGTTCCGTATGTCCGGTACGTCTGCGGCCGGCGGGGGCGGTCCGGTCGCGCCGTCGGACGGCGGCCACCCGTCCGACAGCGACAGGCTCACGTCGTCCGATCCGCCGGACAAACAGTCGTCGTCGCCGTCGTCGGACGTCACGCAGAAAATGGAATCGCGCAACCGGTCGCGGTCCGCGGCCGGCTTCGGTTTCCGCGGTCGCCGCGTCGTCGTCCCGTTGTTCTCGGCCGCGGTGGCGTCTCTGCGAACGACTGGTCTCGCGGGTTTCGCGGCTCGTTTACAACTGTCGTCCGGTCCGAACTTGTACGTGCATTCGGCGTCGGTCACAACCATCTTTAACCGTCTCGACATTTTCCGAAATTTCGCCGGGTACACTTCGACCTTTACGACCCGGTGTACTGCAATATTATTATTACCGGTGGAATAAAACGCGGTCGTCGCGGTGATAAAAAAAAAAAAAAAAAACAACTAACACCGAGAAACGTCACGCGGTTACCGCGTTTTTATTACAACGATAGTAATAATAATAATAATAATAATAATAAAAAAAAAACAATACCTATCTCGTCGATCGAGCCACGACTACGTCCGTTTAGAATCTTTATGTATCTTTATCGTATACGAAAGCGACGAGGCGTAGCCAAAAACCAGAGGGGGCGTTTAGTTGGCGCGGGGGGGAGGGTGGAGGGGGGGGGGGTGCGCGTAAGGACCATGCCCCCCGCCCTAAATATTTTGTTTAACTGTACGCGTAAGGTGCCACTGAAGTCGATTGCTCAGCAGGTTGAAGGGGTTGAGGAACGCTTTTTCGCCATCGCAATGAAATTCGGTGGTTCATACACGTAACTATCAACGACCGCTAAAACGTCATAATATATCATTTTAGTTTTTCTTGTTTTAAAATTTAAAATTACATTCGTATGAAATAATTATTCGGCGATTCGTGTGTAATTTTAAATTTCAAACGATAATTAACATTTTTCATGATGTAAATTGAAAATTCGCCATTTGTATATTTTGCTTATTAATTAGTTTTAGTGTTTATTGATAAACATAACGGATAACAATATAAATTTAACAAAATTAATTTTGTTATTTGGATTAAACTACCTTCAAAGTTTAAATAAATCTTTCGAAAAAACTGCTTCGTCAATATTTAAATATGTATGCCTAAAGTGCGTATAACATGTTTTATGTTGATATTGTGTGTAACAACAAATCCAATTAACGGTTTCCGTAATCATGATTAATGAAGAAAAACCGGATCCGTCCGTGTTTAACGAAAATTAAATATCTATTAAATGACAGCCACAAACTATGTCCTCGATGAAAAATTGAAAACTATGATGAATTAACGAAAACAACGTAATACGTAATCAATAAGTGTTAAAATGTAATACATAAATTTCGGCACGAACAAATCGTGATCAAATCCATAGGGTTCGTTGCTGTCTAGTAAAAAAAATACTCGTTTCCCGTTAAAGCGATCCGCGCAATCACTTCCCCTCCAGCGGATTGATCAGCAGTTGAATTTAGGAACGATAAAATTCAGCGGCTGGCCAATCTACCGAATTTAGAAACACACGCTTGTATACCTACAGGACGATTCATACCTCGGAACTTTTTTTAACTTTTTTCGGAATTTGCATTTTCAGAACATTTAAGAAATTAGTATGGATCTAAAATGTTACATAACAATTTTTATTTTTTTTTTGTCACCCTTGTTTTAGGGGTTGAAACTATTACCTACTTTTGATTTTCGAATGGCAACCGGTATTAAAAATTCCATAAACACACGGAGTATCTATTAGTTTAAATGAATTTTGGTGTTTACATTTTTAATTTCTGTCAACCAGTTAACGAGATAATATATTTTTTAGTTTTGGTAGGGGAAGAAGAGTAGTCATGTATTATTCGTGTGGCTGTATGGCACGTGTCGTTTTAATAGTGTCGCACAACTCTTCCTCCGCTCGGAAACTTAAAAGTGGAAGGAATATCTCATCAACTTTTTTTTCGATGGAAAACCTTTTATCGGTTTCCCCTTGCGGTATCTTAATCGAAAAGCTTGTCTAGATTCCCAGCCGGTTTTCTAAAACATTAAAAAACTAACTTATTAAACTCTACGACACAAGACTGACGGGATGTATTTATTTGTTTATTTGTTGATTGCAATACGCGGAGAAATGCGACCGATATTTTAATCCTACCGCGTTAACTGAGCTTCGCTCAGAATAGCTTATTGTTGAAATTATTTATCGTTGATTTCGGCATAAACCACTTAATCACTCTGCAAAATTATATTTTATATTCCCGACTTTCCACCAACAACAGTTTCCTATATTAACCACGGTACGAAGTGTTTCCGGTGGTTTATTTTGTTTACTCGTGTACTTATTTGGGCCTATTATGAGTAATTTTTTTACAGATATTTTGGATTCATGGTATACAAAATGTAATTCACCGTGGAATAAAATTATTTCGCATATTACCGTGTGCACAAAAGGAGAGAATCAGAAAAAAAAAAATGTCTACGCCGTTTATCAAGTTTAGTTGTCCCATTGTTTGCGTGAACGAGCTGGGATTAAACGATTTGCGTCTACGCCTAAATCTCGGATACGACCCGCTAAATCTTTTACGTCCAGAGATATAATCGTGAAAAGTTTCTCTACTGTCGCGTTAATTAATAAACATAAAACACGTTTTCGTCGAGCTCTATAATCGTAACCGGAGCCGATTTTTTTTCCTATTGTTATATTTGTGTATACACTATAATATACATATATTGTCAACTTTTCGATTTTATTTAGGAGTAAAACGGCCCGTCCGAAAAAGTTTACGTATTTGCACTGGTTTTTTTTATTTATTTATTTATTTTTTTTTTAAATCACGTGCAAAGTTATATATCGTTCACTACAATATGATATACTGCTCGCACGGTGGCCGGCGATCGTTTAGCTCTTGTCCACCGCAGCTGCTGTTGACGTGCGGTTGACGGTTTTTTATTGTTTCATTTTATTATTATTTTTTCAACGTTTTTTAGCGAAGCGATGTTTTCGTTTACACTCGCGCGAGTCATCTGCAGCGGTACTGTTACTACGGTAAGCCAATGCGATCGATCCGCTGTTTGAAATTTCTAACGCTATCGTTATTCTCGTTTACTTATTACGTTTTCTTTATCATCACGATTCGTAATTCATGTACCGTAAAATGCGCGCATTATGTTTTTTTTTCTTCGATAGCCGCGGTAATCTTTACTAAATATGTCAAACAGCTTACGATAAATAAATAGTATACTATATTAACGAATCATTTGCGAAAATCCGACATTTTAAGCTCTCCGGTTATTTTGACAAACAATCTATATTTACTTTGGAGAGTAAAAATGATTTACGACCATTCATTGTAAGTACTTATTTCAATATAACATAGAATAAGTGGCGTATTCGAGATTTTTAAAAGGGGGAGACGTCAATAAATAAATAGTAAATAATATAAAAATTGAAAATATGTGTCGTGTTTGTAATATGAAAATATTGTACTACCCGGCACCGCGGGTAAAAATGTCGCATTTTTCAAGGTACTGCGTGAAAAAGAATCTAATCGTTTTTATTACACGGCCAAAAGACTATTTTTTTGGAAAGCGTTTGATATTGTGATAACAAGACTTAATAATAAATGTGGCTGGAGAATAGCTCCAATAGTATACGTCTCTGAAAAAATAGTTAGGTGCATACGTATATAATTTGTATAAACATATACCGATGCATAAATATAAGTAGTAAGGCAATGGACGTTTTGCATTTGTATATTTGTTTTGCGTAGTGGTAAAACAAATTTCATCTAGAAAATGATTTGTTTCTGTGTCGCATGTCAAAGCAAAATCTGTAATTTTACGTCAAATATATTTGTATGTTTAAGAATCTTTTGCTTTCGAGACATTTTTAGGTTCTTAGAGACCTACATCTGGTTTTTTTGATTCTGTGTTGATATGGTGTGTGTTTATTTTTATTTTTATTTTTTCTCAACCAAGTTGTCAAACAAAAAAAGTTGAGTCTAATTTAATAGTTTAAGCTATACTAAATAAAATGTTGACAAAATCGTACAAATTACAGTATTTCAAAACATGTATAACCGAACTTCGCCCCAAATCGTTTTTGGGTAACAATGAATATTATTGTTGCGTACAAATATGAAAATAAATAACTTTGTGTATCCCTTCTTCTCGACATTTTATAAAGGACTCCTCTACAAATTAAAGGAGTATAAAAATTACACTAGAAATCTCAAATAAAGTCTTTGACTGAAACAAATCGTCTTAGTAAAATCAGCAAATATATTTTAACGATCCGAAAAACGGTATACTATAGTCTTTAGAAGTAAAGAGCAGTTGGTCTGGCGGTCGCTTTTCGGCCACTCCAATCAAAATTATCAATCAATATTAATGAAATGTGTACTAATGTCTATTTCATTGAATTAATAAAATATCAAAGTAAAAGTGTAAGACAAAATGTTATTTTATTCATTTGGTCATGGTGTATTATACACATAATTGAATTGGACGGTGTTTGTGCGTTTGTGCAAAAGGGCTCTAGTCCAAAAACTTTTACACTAAGAACAATATTTACTTGAGTCCTTCGTCGTAAACTTAATTTAATTAGGTATCACGACTTGGGACAAAACGTATACATGAATAACTTGATAACGATCTTACATTTCTTCAAACTAGTGGTACCAGTAGACGCGGTACAAAATTGTATATACAATTTTGAAATATAAACAAATTCGACTTGAGCCCTTTTGCACAAACACCGTAGGATTATAACATTTTAATAATTGTTCTTATTTTAGATGTTTTTTGAACAATTAATGTTATTGAATTATCTGGCTATAGAAATAAATTTTTGTAGATCATAATATTTTAGCGCACATTATTTTTGGGTTTTGAGCGCACACTCGTTTGCGTATTTAGTTTTGTTTTTATATAGCTATACACGTCCGTTGCTCTAATAGTATTAGGGATAGATGATGTACAGCCGTTTATCGGGTTGTATACGATCGACACGAAATTTTCCTACCGTACATAACGGTGAACGTCGCGAAATTGTATATGATCACAAACTACGCGACAAAATGGAAATATTCTAATAGAGGCAATAAAAAGAAGATTGAAAATCACGTGTGACAAAACATACGGATCAAATTATTGTTATATACGCGTCTTGTATTACTTTTATGCGACGAGACCGAAATTGCGGAGTATTTGTCGAGGATATTATATACGAGTCTTGTGGGAGCGCTGCGCGTCGACCGAGTCCGCGAAGAGTAACGACGACGTGCCGTCTTATTCATTTTAT